TACGATCCTTCATACATCGAGAAATTCAGTGACTGGTGGCGGATCTTGTGCACTTCGACACTCCTCATTCGCCCACAACTCCACCTCATGGAGGGTGGGCTGTAGTGGAACTTGTCCATATAAGCCACGACAACAAGACGAAGCCGTCGTCATCAGCCACAGTAGGCAGGTCCTACGAGACGGGACATAAGAAATTTGTTACACTAAATTCGGGATAGGTTTTCAAAATAAAAAACGATCGCAGGCTTCACTTTTCGCCCTACACATACTATCGAGGGATCCGGAATGACCTAATTACAGATTTTCAGTGAACACACAAATTGCTATAATTGTGGAAAAACATGGCCTGACCTAGCAATATGCGCTCAAATGTTTTACATAGTTAACATTCCCAACGAAATATATTTAATGATCGAGTATATACAACGTAGTAGAACATGTATGTAGAATCAACATTTGCTTGAATAAATTATGTAGTAGGGAAACTTGCAACACAACTCCTGTCCATGTACATGGTTGTTAATAAATGTATTCTTTTATAGAAATAATAAATGTATCCGATTACATGATCCTTACACACTCTAAATGAATTCGAAAGGCTGTATGGTTCGTCTTACCACTTATGCAAACTGATTTAAAGGTGGCTAAGATTTTTGTCTGCATATATTTAATTCATCTTGCAAATATCATTTTGTATTAATAATAAGTAAGATGATGATGCAAGTGCACACTTGGAAAGCATAACGTTATGAAACATTTTTTCCTAGATAAGCTTATTAATTCACAAAAGCATTTCTCCTTTCAGAAGACAAGTGACTGTAACAAAGCATGTATGCAGCTATTGTGAATCTTGGGCCCTTCAGTGGGCCAATCTTAAAACAGTGCCCTTCATTGGGCCAACCTCCTACTGTAGTTCCTGAAATTGGATACGTAAAATTTCCATGGTTGACAATTGCAGCGAGAGCTCTCCGAAAAAAAGAAATTATACTGGCAGTCACAATTATGCCCATTTTATCACGACTGGTCACAAGGGAATCACAAACAGTCACAGTACAGTAGATTGCTATCGCGAGTGATCACAGTGCTATCACGGATGGTCATACCTCGCCCGAGAAAGCTATCACGTTTGGTCACTTGATGAAACGAGGATAATTAATTCGAAACCACAAAATTAACTGTAGAAATTATGGGGAATCCCAACCTTCATTGCTTGTTACCTCACGCAAAATTCTAGCCCGACATTTAGGGGAATGAATAAAAAAATAAACCCCTAAAGGATGGCACGTCTATTGGGAGGCACCAACCCTAAACACCATGCGAAAATGTGTTTAGGGTTGATGTATCCCGAATTTAATCCCATCCGAATGGGTTTTAGTTTTTCTAGTCTTGGGAACAAAAAATGCACCCCTACTAGTTTCACCCATCTGAAGTGATATTTTAGGGTCATTATGCATCCATCGAACAATGGACAATCGAATAGTAACAAGAAATCTCAAATGATTTTAACGAGTTACCGAGAGGGTGTGCGAAACAATTTCGTGACACTACAGACAAAACGGTGCGCGCGAGATAACTGTCCTTGAATCCCTAAAGTGACTTGTGTAGTTTCAACTTATAATGACCAAACCTGATAGCTTTTCGGGGCGAGGTGTGACCATCCGTGATAGCACTGTGATCACCCGCGATAGCAATCTACTGTACTGTGACTGTTTGTAGCTCCCCTATGACTAAACCTGATTAAACGGGCATAGTTGTGAATGCTTGTATAATTTCCCTTTGAGAAACTTGACCTGTGGCACTGTGTGCATCTGCAGGGGCTGCCGCTTGACTGGTCCCAAAAGGGCAGCTTTCAGCCAAAATGCAAACAGATGGCCGAGTCGCGACTACTGTAGTTCCCGTTAACCCATTAATACTGTAGACGCCCAAAAATACCTCGTGGGTGTCGAGAGTTTCTTGGGAGCTCTTCGAGGGAGTGTTGGTTGGGCTGGGAGGTGATGTGGTCCTGAAAGACAGGGGGAGCTTTTGTAAATGTCGAACCAGAGTATAAAATCCAGCTGCCCAGGTTTTGTGTTCACCTTGCTTGTTTTCACCTTTTCTGCACTTCTATGTCTTCTGAAACTCGCTGCGGCTTGGAAATGAAATGATGCTTGCTGGCGCGTCGATTTGATGCTTAGGGACGATGCCGTTTGTAGCATCCTTCACTCCGTCCTAGGCTGCTACAGCTATTTACTGTAGTGAGGTGCAAGCAGCCACCACAGCGATGGTTGTACACCCTTTTTCGCGCTACACTGTTTCTGGCTATATGGGCTCTGCGGCTCAACTCGCCAGAGGACGCGTTATAGTGGACTTTTGCACCAGTACGGTTTGACGTGGTTAGTTACTTTCGAAGACGGTCGTCTGAATGTTTGATATGGCTCGGTAGGGTACCCAGGATAACCAAATTGCGAATCACTCACCCCCTAGAGACGGTTATTGTAACAATTCCGAATATGTCCGGGAAACAGTTTCTCTGTAGCCAGTGAATTCCCGTTGCAAGTGTAGCGCAAAAGAGGGTGCAGATCAGGGCTGTCGCTAGGCCTGGGTCCAACCCGTACGAAGCTGAGCTGCCCCGAAATCAACCCTGAAGGATGCGGGAGGGACTTTTTTTTTTTTTAAGTGCGAGCTTCATTACATCCATGCAAATACATTCACAGTCGTTACTGGAGACAGGAGGGACTGGCGTGGTGTTACTGGGAGGAGGGGAGAGGGACCAGTTCGCGGTCTAAGGTCAGGAAGAAAGGGAGGAGGGGAGGGACCGGTACGGGAAGTCCGGGGAGGGCCAAAACCTGTCCGTTAGTACCGGGCCTGGGAAAAACCAGCCCTGAAAATCTCCGAGCTGATATGAAACGAACCATGAATTCTCAGGGAAAACGGACAAATGTCCGTGAATCGACAGGCCTGGTCGTAGGCTGTCGCCTTGACGAGTGCAAGCAGGCTGGGTGAGGTTGGGAGGGTGGGAGAAATGCATACCCTTGTTGTGGGCCGCGTGTTTGGAGAGTCTGTCGAGAAAAACAAACTCCAAGCATATGATGGGAAGGGATGCTACACCATCTTCTGCAGCTAGATTAGCTTCTGTGGTGTCACCAACATTCACGGACGAGACATTTCTATTCACAGAAAAACAATCGAACTGTCAAGCACTACCCAGAGTTTCAGACGTTACGGGTGTAAATAGCTAGGTAATCACAGGCGCTGCCGTCGCCGGAGTGGCGGTGCTGGTTACAGATCGCCCATTTCAAGCCTCGAGCACAGCCAATCCAGAAAGGTCACCTGGGAACTTCCAACTTCTCACTTTTAGCCAGACCTGAATTTAACCGCCAAACCCAACTTCTTGTGTCACACGTGAGTCGAGTCGCCAGCTTGTTCTTCCACGCGACTGGAAGAGAGAAGAGCCTCCAGTTATTTTCCTCTGACCCGGGAAGAACCCTTCGACAGTTTCCCCAACTTGTCTGGCGTGGACCCTTTCCCAGCCTAGCAACACGATTTCGCGGTGGTGAGCAGCAGCGGCACCACTCTCCTCCACTCCACTCCACTTCAACTTGCTCTAGGTTCCGCTTTCCCTCCTTCCCTCTCCGCTCCCTCTCTTGTCTTGCACAGTACACATAGCCCGCGCCATTTTCACACCCCCCTTTTTCACACCCCCTTGTCGTCATCGTGGCCAGGGTCCCTGGTTTTGGGGCAGGGTACAGACGTGATCGGTGAATAAGACAAGCGGGCAACCCACTTCGGGGGGTGTGAAATTGGCGCGGGCTAGGTGTATCTTCGTGTGAAAACCTCACAGCAGATTGCTTCGTCGCTGATCACGTGCCCGCTGCCACTGCTGCGCCTGCCGCTGCTTTCTGTTGTGCTGCTGTCTTCTGTAGTCTTGGTTGAATGCTTGCTGTGTCCTGCTTTTGTGTGAATTACACAGCTGCTGCTGCCATGTGTGCCTGCCAGTGATTTGATGATCATTCATTCCTGTTCTTGCTATCCTTGGCTGTGTACTAAAATTTCGTCCATCTACGGTGCTGACAACCAACGCCCGCTTCTGCCAGATGCGCAACGAGTATCTGCAACTGGTCACTGATTACCGTGAACTTTAATTACCGTGACGACGACGATCACCTTCTCTCTCCACTGGCCCTATCATTCAAGAACGCAGCCAGAAACAAACAGCAGTCCGTGACGAGAAGTGATCAACCTCAAAACCGTGACAAAAAATGATCTCCTTGATGATTGTGACGAGTCGTAATCGCCAAAGAATCTTAGGAAGAAGGCTCTAAGACGGAATCTGACACGCTCGACTCGCGGAGCTTATCACCGCGACGACGCGTCGCGTGAAATTCATGTCTCCTCTTGTTCAGGGGCCGCTCCCCGCGTGTCGCCGCGGCGGCGGCACCTCTGCCGGAAGAGGCGCTGCGGCAGCATACGTTTACCGTGCGAGCAGCGTTTCGACGGCCACCAGCTCTAGCAGCAACAGCAGCAACGGCAGCAACGGCAGCAGCTGCTGCTACAATCGGCGGTGCGCTATTAACTGCGGCCATCAATCTGGTTCTAATTACTGTACACACCTCCGAAGCGCGATCGCAGCGGCAGAGGCAAAGGTGGGAACGGCCGCAATTTACGCCAAACACGCAGCGGCGCGAATGAACGACAACACGCCGCCTCTCACGGTCTTCTCCCATCGCGTCGCTCAAGGCGGCAGCGGCGGCGGCGCAGAACCGTCGCCACCCGACACAGGCTGCTCCGCGCTAGGGAGAAATGGCTTTGGGGAGAGTTTTCGGGGTAGCGCGGGCAGAAATAGCTCGAGCCGCGGCGGGGGATGCGGTGACGGCAGAAGCTGGGGCGGAGACGCAGATACGGGAGGCTACGAACAAGCCGCGTACCTCAGCGGCAGGGTAAATTATGGTGAATGCAATAACCAGGATACCAGAATGTTCAAACATGCGACTTTCTCGCCAATTCCTGACGTGACGGAGTCTATGCGTCCGGACCAAGCGGCCATCGCGGCTGGCGCTTTGATACCGACGACGCCAGCGCATGAGCTTGGAAGCGCAGGCGATGTCGCAGACGGCTGTGCGACAAATTGCGTCGCACAGTCGCCGCAAACGACGACGAACGACGACGCTGGCGACGTCGCAGCAGGCGCGGAGGACCTGCGTGCGGGGAAATCGACATGCGTCGCAGCGGTTGCCGCCAAGGACACGGGCGACGCATGCGACGAGTCGGCTTCTGAAGGCACGATGTCGACGCGAGTCGACGACGACGCAGCAAATCCCACTGCGGGGACATGCATGCATGCGCGTGCGCCGGCGGCGGATATGGAGGTCGCAGCCTGGGGGAGTGCGGGCGAGATGGCCGCGCAGGAAGCGGATTTGGGGCTGCGGGGAACGGGGCGACGGGGAAGTAGCAGTGGGCTGGGGTTGACGTCGCTGGTTGTGTTTCAAGATCGCTTTTCGCCAAGTAAACTTGCCAGTTGGGTGGGATGATGGATGGGAGATGATGGGGTGTGATTGGTTGGGAAGGGATAAGATTTGTAAAGCTGGACGGGGATTGGATGGGATGCGATGGGGTGGGATGGGATGGATTGGTGATGAGGTGCTAGGGTTGGAGGGCTTCGGCGTGCAAATTTTGTTATCAGCCAGGTTTTGCTTTTGCTTTCTATGTGAATGAGCATTTCTAGGTTGTGATTCTGTATGACCGACAGTGACGCAGACGTTGATTGTGCGAGTGACGCGGACGTTGACCGTCACGATGTCGGTAACGGTGATGGTAACGGGGACGGTGACCGTAACGGTAGACTAACCCGGAAACGGTGGATGGTCAGATTCGATGGCCATATAATCGGGGACGGTGGACTTAGTGTCATGCTAGACCATATAATCCGCGTGCGTTCCAGTTAGCAGGCGAATTCATGCTTTTTCTACCTCTTCTCCTGTCCTTCCGCTTCCCCCCCTGTCCTTCCGCTTCCTACCCTGTCCTTCCGCCCGTTCCCTCCTTCCGCCCTGGTTTCCCTTCCCGCGCGCGCAGTTATATTCTTCTCCATCCACCTACATCAAGTGTCGCCGAACCATTTCGTCTCCACGCAACTCAACTTTATCCTCCCTATAAGCTCCCCCGGTTCGCTCGACGGCCGGCCGATCTTCACGTGCCTGCCGACCGATACGGAATCGGATCCGGATTCGTTCCACTGCGCCGGATCGTCGCTCGCGCTGCGCCACCTGCTCGCGTCGCGTGCGGCGGGAATCGAGGACGGATGGCTGCCGTATCTGGAGTTTTACGGGGGGGGAAGCGCATGGAGGGGATTTTGGGAGGGGGACGGGTACGGGGACGGGGAAGGGGGCGGGGAACGGGAACGGGAACGGGGAGGGGGGGGAGGGAGGGGGAAGGGAAGGGGGAGATATGACTGAAGAAGCATGCATAAGCGCGCCGACTCCCTCTGACGGTTTAGCGCCTTCGTCTCGTTTGCCTCCTGCTCTCTCTCCCAGAAGGTATACCTCTCCCCTCCCTTTTTACCGCCTGGTTCTTGATGGCACCCCCTCGCGCATCCTCCTCCCCTCTTTCCTTCCCCTTGCCTTCTTTCCCCCACCCCACCCCCCCAACATTCCCCCCACTTCCCCCAGCCCAACCCATCTCCCCACTCCCCCCTTCCCCCATTTCCCTTCGTTTCTCTTGCCATGCCTTTGCTCTCGCTTTAAAGATGCCCGTTTTCTGCACCCCCGCACCTCCCTCCCTTCCCCCTCCCCCCAACCTCCCTCCCTCCTCCCTCCCCCCTCCCTCCCCCCTCCCTCCCCCCTCCCTCCTCGCTCCTCGTCCCCTGCCGTCCAGTATCCCCTCGCTTTTCTCTATCCTTGGTTCCTCCAACACCTCTCCTTCTTGATCGTTCTCCCTTCATCTTGCCTCCGTCTAATGCATCAATTCCCCTCCCTCTTCCCCACCATATAACCTCAATTCCCCTCCCTCTTCCCCACCATATCCCCTCCCCTCCCTCTGCTCCCTCCCCTCCCTCTCCCGCCCCTGTGTCCCTTGTTCTCGCGTCTCTTGGGACTTCCGTCCCACCTTGCCTCCCGTCTCCCCTCATCTCTTCCTTCCTCGCCCTTCCCTTCCGCCCCTCTCCCCCGCTTCTCCCCCCCCTCACCTTTCCCCCGCTTCTCCCCCCCCTCACCTTTCCCCCGCTTCTCCCCCCCCTCACCTTTCCCCCGCTTCTCCCCCCCCTCACCTCTCCCCCGCTTCTCCCCCCCCTCACCTCTCCCCCGCTTCTCCCCCCCCTCACCTCTCCCCCGCTTCTCCTCCCCCTCACCTCTCCCCCGCTTCTCCCCCCCCTCACCTTTCCCCCGCTTCTCTCCCTATCTCGCCTCTCCCCCTCGCCTTGTCTCTTCCCGCCTCGCGTCCTTCTCGCCCCTTTCCACCTTGTCGTTCTCGCCTCTTCCCGCCTTGTCTGCTGCAGCAACCCTGACCTGCACCGAGTGCCAGCTCTGCTACAGGACCTGCTTCACGTGCACGCGGCTCTGAGCAACGCTTGCACTAGTGGAACGCGCGTGTGGGTGCAACCGGAGTTTGCTGGTGCTGCTGCTGCTGATGGTGGTGGTGGTGGTGGTGGTGGCGATGCTACCGACGTGGGTGCAGCTGAGAATCGTGATGGGGATTCTGGCAAGAAAGGCGATGGCAGTGGCGACGATAATGGGGATGGGGATGAGGGTGAGGATGCTGACGCTGATATTTATGAGGGTGCTGATGCTGACGCCGATCATGCTGATGCGTGTAAGATGTTCCCTGCACCTGCTGGTGCCGATGCTGTTGCTGCCGGTGATGCTTGTGATGATGCCACCGCTGCTGCTGTGAATGCCTGGGATGGCACTGCTGCTACAGCTGATACACCCATGGATTCTGACTGTGCAGCAACTCGCACCCATGCCTCTGCCCACGCCACAGCACAAGACCCTAACACCACCGACGCTGCTGCTCCTGCTCCTGCAACCGCCACCACCACTGCTGCTGCTGCAGCTGGTGGCATGAGCAATAGCAGCAACGGAGGTATTGCAATGGAGGTGATATATGAATCGCCTCACAAAGAGAATCAAGCTCAAGCTCAAGGGAAGACATCAGAGGAAGGGCAGGAGGAGGAAACACTACAGGCGGGACCCGGGAGGAGACCAGAGGATATGGGAATATTAGAGGATGGGGATTTGAAAGCCATGGATATGACGATGCGGGGAACGGCGTATGAGGCGCAGCAGGAGTTGAAGTTGTATGGAGATATGCGGATGGAGGTGCGGGAAGTGGTACAAGTGGAAATGCACGAGGAGGTTCGGGAGGAGGTTCGGCACCAAGCTACGTCGTGTGCTCCTCCTGCTCTTTTCCCCATGCCTTCTCGCCACCCTGTGCCTGCTCTTCCCACCGCCACCACCGCAGCCACCGCCACCACCGTCACTGCTATCACCAACGCCACTGCTCCTGCTCCTGCTGCTGTTCCTGCAACTGCGACTGCCAGGACTGGCACGAGCAGCATTCATCTCCGCCGGAGCGCCTCTCTTCCCTGTCTCCCCCCCATGCAACCCCCAAGTACCTTGACATCAACCTTGGCCTTCCCCCGAACCACCAGCAGCAGCCTCGGGAGCTGCTCGCCCGAGCCTAGCGTGAAGGCTGGGCCCGAGGCTGTGACTCCAGGCTCGGCGGAGGAGCCGCTGCAGAGGAAACGGAGGCCGCCTGTAGAGAGAATTGCTCTGCTGGAGGGAAGTCCTGTGAAGAGCCCTAGAAGGCGCCTTTTCCTGCTTGAGAGACGGACAGCAGCAGCAGCTGCTGCATCTGCTGCTGCTGCTGCGGCGGCTGCCCCTGCTGTCCCCCCTCCCTCTCCTGCCCCTGCTGCTGCGGCAGCGGCGGCGGCGGCGGCAACGGCGGCGGTGGCGGCTCCTGCTGCTCCTACTGCTGCGGCTGTTGCTGGAGCACAGAGAGAGGGTCTGACAGGAGTGAGAGGAGAGGGTCTAGAGTATGGAACGGCCAAGTGCAGCGCGTCCTCTGGCTTTCAGAGCGCGAGAACAGCATCTGGCAGTGGGGGTGTCACACCATCATCACTCACACAGTCGGTCACACACAGCGGCGGCGGTGGCGGTGGTGGTGTGAGTGCGATGATGTCGGGGAGCCTTCTGAAAGCCACTGCTGCTCTGTCCATGGCTGTATCTACTGCTGCCTCTGGTACTGCTGCTGCTTCTGCTTTCGCTGCTGCTGCTGTGCCCTCACCTCTCGCCTCCACGCCGGTTTCTCGCCTGTCGATTGGATCGATGGGTGGGGGAGGAGGAGGAGGAGCAGGAGGAGGTTCTATGTACCCTGTTCTCAAAGCTTCGTCTGCTGCTGCGGCTGCTGATACGCTTGCAGCAGGGGTGTTTGGGACCATCCAAAGAACTTCTACCATAGCCACTGCTCCGCTTGCCTCTCCTGCTGCTGCTGCTGCTGCTGCTGCTGCTGCTTCCCCATTTACTACAACTGTACGATCTGCATCTGCTGCCGCTGCTGCTGGTGGTGGTGGTGCTGCTGCTGCTGCTGCTGCTGCAGTTCCCTTGACTCCCGGCTCCCCTGCTACTCTCTCCCGAAGACCCAAGCTTGCTCCCAACAGCCGGCGCAGCCGCCCGAGTCTACGAGTCGAAATACCCCCAGTCAGATGGGCTAATCTGGGGCCGCCCCCGCTGCCCCCCGCCGCTCTCCCGCCCCCTCTGAGGCAAGTCGTGTCAGCGGAACCGGGAAAAGCGGAGGGAGGGGAAGGAGGAGGGGAGAGAGGAGAGGGGTCGGGGAGGGGAGGGGAGAGCAGAGGAGAGGTCATGAGGAGGCGAGTGAAGGCGAGGACTCCTGGTGGGTCGTTGTTCCGTGGGGTGAGCAGTGGGATAGATGGAGATTTGTGGCTGAGGCCGCATAAGGAGGGAGAGGAGGGGGAGGTGGGGGAGGAGTTGGGTGGGGAGGAAGAGGAGGGGGAGGAGGGGGAGGAGGAGGGAAGGAGAGGGAAAGGGGAGGGAATGGATGTGGAAGCTGCGCTGGCTAGTGTGGAAGCTTCGCTGAGAGAAAGAGGGGTGGTAGGAGGATGGGGAGGGGGCGAGGGGGGTGGGGATGGAGGGGGGAAGGAGGCACAGGGAGGCAGCAGAATGAGGAGTGTCGATGAGAGATCTGCTGATGAGGGGAGTGCAGAAGTGGGTGCGGGACAGTCTATTCTAACACCACGAGTTGCACCACCAACAGTGCTGCCGTCGCCACCAGCACTAACAGCAGCACCAGGATCAGCAGCAGCAGGAACAGCAGCAGCAGCAGCAGCAGCAGCGTTGACAGCTGCGCTTTCGTTGCACGGAACGGGAGGAGAAGAGTGCTCTGGGCTGATCTCTTCTATGGCTCTCCTCTCTCCCTCCTCCTTCCTTCTCTCCCCGTCTTTTGGCACCCACTATCCCCTCTCCCCGGTGCACTTCCTAGGGGGGTCTCGCCGGGTCAACGGCTCGACTCTTAATGGTTCGGACGGTTTTGGCGCTGCTAATACAAACGAGGGAGCTACTAATGAGGACGGCCGTCCTGGTTACTCTTATGGTGCATCGCCTTATAGGGAGAACAGCGGCCGTAAAAGAAGCAATGGCGACTCAAACGCTGATGGCGTTTTGTCTTTAGACATTGATAGCAGCAGCAGGATCAAGAGTACTGATGACGTCACACCCGCTCTTCCCTCTGCTGCTGCTCCTGCTGCTCCGCCCGCTCCTCTTCCTCCTACTCCTACCCTTGCCGCTTCTTCCGCCGCTACTGCTGCATCATGCCTCTCCCATTCCGCACCATTCAACGCCTCACAACCATTCCCCCGTCCGCTCACCCAATTACCCACCACCTTCCCTCACTCCCCCTCGCTTTCTGCCCCTCTCCCGTCTCAACCCATGTTCTCTAGACCAAGTCCCTTTGTCTTCCCCCCAACCACTCCTACTGCTGTTGCTGCTGCCCTTACTCATTCTTCCTCCTCCACCCGTCTCTCCTCAGTCTCTCTCCCCTCCCCCCCACCTTACTCAGCCAGTAACGTTCGTCCTGCTTCTGCCTTCCCTGCTCCGTCCTTCCCTCCTTCCACCTTCCTTTCCTCATCATATCCCCCCTCTTCCTTCCATCCCCCCTCCTTCCACTCCTCCTCCCTCCCTCCTTCCCCCTTCCCATCCTCTCTCTCCCCCTCCACTTTCTCCTCCTCCCCATTCTCCCCCTCTCCTTTCTCTTCCTCCACTCTCTCTTCCTCACACGCTTCTCTCCTTCCCCCGTCCGCCTCTCGTTTCCGCCCGTCCTTCTATTCCAGTTCCCGCCCACCGACTCCCATTACCCGTTTGGAAGCTCCCCTCCTTCCGCCTCCGCGTAATCAACCGATCCCTCCTGCTATTGTAGCAACAGCAGCAGCAGCAGCAGCAGCAACAGCAGCTCCTGGTGCGCCTTTTACAGTATTTGATTCTTTCAATACTGCTCTTTCTCCTCCTCCTCCTCCTCCTCCTCCTCCTGCTGCTGCTGCTGCTGTTGTTGTTGCTGCTGATGCGGCTGCTGCTGCTGCTGCTGCTGCTGCTGATACTACTGATGGTGATGCCAGTGCTCCAGCTGCTGCAACCATAGCCATGGCTGCTGATCTACCTGCCTCAACTGCTGTTTCTACTGCCCCTGCTGCTGCTGCTGCCGCAGCTGCTGCTGCTGCCGCTGTTGCTGTTGCTGCCGCGGAAGGCAGTACCTACCTCCCCCTGACGTCACCTGCTTCAGTGCTCACCACCCCCCTGACTTACCCTACCTCGGAACAGCTGCTGCTGCTGCAGCGGCAAGCACAAGCACAAGTCCACGCACAGGCTCATGCACAGGCACATGCACAGGCACAAGCACAGGCGCAGACTGCCATGGGCATGGGTACCGGAATGGGAATGGGCATGGGCATGGGCTCTGGCTTGCATTTAGATGGGCATAGCAACATGGGTGGCCATATGATTTCGACCGTAAATGGCAATACAGGAGTTCACTCTGGGGATGATGGTATTCAGCATAATATGGAAACGGAAGAGTGCTATAAGGAGTACAGCACGCAGTGTAAGGGTGATACCGAGGGTGGTCGAGCGGTGGGGAACAAGGAGGAGGGGGGTGGGGTTGGTAATGGGGAGGGGGGTGCTAGTGAGAGTGTGGGTATGCATGGTGGTGCCACTAATTTCGTGAGTCTGCTTCTCTCAAGCTGTCCGATTGATGTAGATATGATGCACATGCTTCCAATGTATACCCCTTCCCCTCCTCCAACTGCTGTTGCTGCTGCGGCGGGTGGTTTGACTGCTTCTCATCCTAACTCTGTTGTGGCTGCTGGTGCTGCCGATGGTGCTGCTGCTGGTGCTGCCGATGGTGCTGCTGCTGCTGCTGCTGCCGATGGTGCTGCTGCTGCTGCTGCTGCCGATGGTGCTGCTGCTGCTGCTGCTGCGTCCTCTCCTTCCTCCTCCTCTTATATCTCCGAGTCTCCTTGTGCAACCAACCCTTCTGGCCCTGCTGCTGCTGCCGCTGCTGTTGCTGGGCTCGACTCGGCTGCCGATGTGTCAGTGCATGGAAGCTTTCTCTACGCTCTCACCCAGGGTTCACAGCAAGAGAACCCAATGCCTTCGTATGGAGCAGACACACAGGGCGTGAGGCGGTTGAATCCAATGGAACGCAGCTTAAATGATTTGTTCTCTGCTGTAGGAACGGGAGCAGCAGCAGGTGGCGGGAAGGTGGAATTTCTTTCGTCCAGGATCAAAGGAGAGGTTTTGTCACCATCAGCAGCAGCAGCAGCAGCAGGAGCAGCAGCAGGAGCAGCAGCAGCAGCAGGAACTGCAGGAGTGACGAGGGCTGGTGAGGTGAAGCACGGCCTTGTGCAGTGGCCTGGGGGGCAGGGAGGGAATGCGGCTCTTGGGGACCTGAAGCAGCAGCACTCACAGGTTTCTGCGCTGGGTCAAGTGGGTCAATTTGAAGGCCAATCCAAGGGTCGGTTTGAGGGTCAATCCTCCCTGGGTCAAGCCCAGGGTCAATTCCAGGGTCTTTCACAGGGTCAAGCCAAGGACGGGGATCATCAGGTGGGGGAGAAGGTGGAGACTGGTGCAATCAACGAGGAGATGGGTGGTGCTGCTGGGATTGGGAGCGGTGGTGGGAGCGAGGCGGCGGGAGGGAGCGGTGCGATTGATGGGGTGCTGAGGCGGTCCCTGCGGTCGCCGTCAGAGCGGTTGAATGAGATGCAGTTGGATGAACTGTCGCAGGTGAGTGGGATGGGAGGGATGGAATGGCATGGGAGGGATGGGATGGGATGGGAGGAAGGGGTGGGAGGGCGGTTTGGGAGGGGTGGGATGAGGGATGAGAGGGATGGGATGGGGGTTGGGAGCTTGAAAATCACCCCATCCTGCACAGTCTCTTGCTTTCCCATTTGTCCTGTTTCTCATGTCGTTTTGCCATTAGTCGTAAAAAAACCCCGAGTATTCTTTCTTGCCGTCTCCGCTGCCTTTCCTCCCACACTCTCGCCACCCCATCCCTCCGTGCCCATCCATCCTCCCATCCCTTTCTCCCATCCCTCCTCCCGCATCCCGCTTGTGCTTTAAACCCGCAGGCCAAGATATTCAAGCTTAGGAAGGTTGGCTGGAAGTTGCTGGACGAGGTGCTCTAAACTCGGGAAAGTCACAGGCGTTTTTGGGACATCCAACCAACACTAGGAAGGATGAACCAAATTTGGCCTTCTTGATCCACGGGATCTTCAAACCTAATGAGTTGTCTACCTGCCATCCCACCCCATCCCACCTCCACCAAATATCATCCCATACCATCCCAACCCATCCCCACCGCAGTATTTCCGCATGAGCATTCAGAACGCAGCGCGAGTGTTGGGGGTGGGGCTGACAGTGCTGAAGAAGCGATGCCGGGAGCTCGGCATACAGAGGTGGCCGCACCGCAAGCTCAAGTCACTCGACAACCTTATTGAAAACATGAAGGTATGCTTGTAGTGAATTGTGTTGCTGGACAGGCTGCTGCCCTGCTCTGCTTCGCTGCTCTCTGCCCTCTTCTCTTGGCTCCCCCTATTCTTCCCAATCACAGACTCGTGGCAGGTCCAGCTGGTTCCTCTTGAGTCCACTCAAGGTTCCTTACCCTCTGTTCTACCTCCCCAAATCCACCCACCCCTCCAAACCTTTTCCAACCGCAGGAGATTCACGGCCCCATGGCAGCAGAGACAGTAGAGCAGCTTGAAGCAAAGAAGGAGCTGCTGGGGAAGGACCCGAAGCAGGGGCTGGACCCGCGCATCAAGACGCTGCGGCAGGTGTGCTTCAAGGCCAGCTACAAGCGCCGCAAGGCGCACACTGGGTCGTCTCTTAAGGCGCTCCAGGGGGAGATGTTGGCCGGGGAGATGAAGGAGAGGGGTGGAGGGGTGGGAGGAGGAGGGGTGGGAGGAGGGGACGGGGTGCAGAGTGGTGGGAAGGGAGAGATGGGGGGGATGGTGGAGGGAGGAGGAGAGTGTGGAATGGAGATGTGATGTGTTGTGTGTTTGGGGGGGGGGGCAGGGGATTGGAATAGGGGGGAGGTGTGTGAGTGTGTGTGTGTTTGTGTGTGTGTGTGTGTGTGTGTGTATGTGTGTGTGTGTGTGTGTGTGTGTGTGTGCGTGCGTGTGTGTGTGCGGATGTGCATGGGTGCTACCATTGCACTATGACCTGAAGTACAAATGCTGGCAGCACAGTTGCTCGTGCTGCAAAGCTTACATGGTGTACTACCATAAAGCATGGTGTACACCCAAGTTTGGAAGATATCTAAAAGTTTTAGACGTCTCCAAACTTGTCTAAGACATGCTAGCAAGTATTACTGAGCTCTGCAGCATTGCTGTTTGTGTGCATTAAACCCCTGAGCTGCTTATGTAACATGATTAGGGCATAATGCCCCAACATACTGTCTGCCGACAATCTTCAATTGCTTCTTTCTTACTGGTAGTACTATTCTGATGATTACTGGACTGCATCAATAGTTATGGTGTTTTGATGCCCAATTTCTGAGTGTCATGAAACTTTCACATGGGATGTCTAGAGGACCCGCCCTTTTATACTGCTGAGTATGGCATAACTTGTATCACATCAGGTGCCATGCCTGTAGCTCTTCTGTTGCATGTGTGCAAGCAGTCAGTGTAGAAACAATGCATTGACTGGTTAATACGTTTGTTTTATCAAAAAGCACATAGGCAGTAGAAGAGGCCTGCAGAACGGATGCATGAGATCAACCTACAGTGACATGCGACAAGTAGACGGTATGAAGGAAAAGGATGCACATACAGCTACAAAAAGGCTGTGCAATTTGTGGGTCTGGCAACCCGGAAAAGGTGAGAGAGACGAGAGAGTGGCGAAGGATGAGCACCACGCACTGGCAGAAGGCTATTCCCCAAGAACCACCTAAACTAAAACTGCTGCTACAACTGCCGCCGCTCCTGCTGCTGCCGCCGCCGCTCCTGCTGCTGCTGCTACAGCTTGTTCTGAATGTGCCCAACTGTTTTGCCCATGCGATGGGTGTGTGATGTGCAGGGAACATGTGTTGCATGTGCAAGACATGTGTGTCACACGTGTGGTATGTGCATGGTATGTGTTCGTGTCTCTACGAGTCTGAATCGCTTTCCTTCTTGGAGAACCACTCTAGCTGTGGGTGGACGGGCGAGGGGAGGAAGGGAGGTATGGAGAGGGTGAGAGATGGAGAGTGGTTCTCCATTGATAGGTATGGAGAGGGTGAGAGATGGAGAGTGGTTCTCCATTGATAGGTATGGAGAGGGTGAGGAGGTGAAGCATTAATGGAAGCAGATTGGAAATCTGTGAGCGTGCATCGGTGCGGGAGTTGTGCGTCTGCACATGCATATGTGCGTTAGGTCGATTTTGAGAATCCTCAAAGATCGGTTGTGAAAATCCCCAAAAGGTCGCTATTGAGAATTCTCAAAATCGGCCTACATTGTGCGTCTACACATGTATAAGTGTGTGTTTCTGTGCGTGCGAGCGAGAGCTGGGCACAGCAAGGCAAAGGCGCATGACCGAAGGGGTGGAAGTAGGGGGGAAACGAGATGAGTGAGGGTGGTGTTAGCAAGAGAGAGGTGGGACAGAAAAACAGCCATCTCAGCAAGAGATGAGTGAGGGTGGTGTCAGATTCCCACCCATTCCCATTTATTCCCACCTATTTCCACCCATTCTCACCCATTTCCACCCATTATCACCCATTCCCACCCATTTCCACCCATTTCCACCCATTTCTACCCATTCCCACCTATTTCCACCCATTCCCACCCATTCCCACCCATTTCCACCCATTTCCACCCATCCCCACCTTCCAGGCGTAGAAGAGCGTGAAGACAATGACGTCGGCGGTCCAGACAGCAGCGAATGACTTCCAGACGAGTGGCAGCGTGACATTGACTAGAGGCACGACTAGGAAGAGGTAGTTGAGAGCTGTCTTCTCGTTCTCACTGCAGTCCCTCGCTCGCAGCGATGGGATGGCTGGGGAGGGAGATGGGGGGAGGGGGAGGAGGGATGGAGGAGGGGGAGGGGAAGGGGGAGGGGGTGTGGAGGAGAGAGGAGATGAGGGAAGGGGCACGTACACTGGCATTTCATCGTCCCACTCGCAAAACATCCAGACGACCACATCCCCATGACGCGCCAGATGTGCGTGCATCTATATACACGTCCATCCACACCCATCCACACCCATCCATACCCATCCACACCCATCCACACCCATCCATACCCATCCACATCCATCCACGCTCATACAAAACAGCACTCACTGAACATCCAGATGGACCACATCACAACCCCATGATGCATGCTGCTGCGTAAATACACACAGATCCGTACGCGCTCATGCTCTTTGAACCCATAAAGTCACCACACTAGCATTCCATCGCCCCACTCACTGAACATCCAGATCGACCACATGCCCATGAGGCGCCAGTTGCCCATGCACGCTTGCATATACACACAAACCCATGCACACACCCATACAAGCGCCCATGCACTTAAAAGAACCCATCAAGGCCACTCACTGAACATCCAGATGGACCACATGCCCATGAGGCGCCAGATGTCCGGCTCATGGAATGCTGGTAACTAACTACAGACATACATACACACCCATTCGCGCCAATGCACTTGTATTCCATTGCCCCATCGCCCCCCACTCACTGAACATCCAGATGGACCACATGCCCATGAGGCGCCAGATGTCCGGCTCATCGGACGGGAAGAGCAGGTTGAAGGAGAGCAGCCCGCCCAGCGCGGCGCTGAGGTAGGCCTGCGCCTCAAAGATGGTGTAGAGCGTTGATCCGGGCACGGCGGGGTTCTTTGACTTGGTGGACGCGCGCGGGGCGAACGTTGTGGCGGTTTTCTTGACTACCTGGAGAGAGGGGAGAAATCCGGGGAGGGAAGGAGGGGTTGAGACGGGAGGGGGGAAGGGGAACGGGGAACAGGACGGAGGGGAGGAGGAAGGGAGGGAGGAGGTTGAAAGGAAGGTAGGGGTGAGAGGGGGGTTGAAGGAGAGCAGCCCGCCCAGCGCGGCGCTGAGGTAGGCCTGCGCCTCAAAGATGGTGTAGAGCGTTGACCCGGGCACGGCGGGGTTCTTTGACTTGGTGGACGCGCGCGGGGCGAACGTGGTTGCCGTCTTCTTCACCACCTGGAGGAGGGGGGAAGGGCGGGGAGGGGGTGCGGGGAGGGGGTGCGGGGAGGAGGGAAGGGGAGGAGGGAAGGGGAGCAAAGACTGGCATGGCAGCGCAGGGTTGCTTGCAGGTTTCTTAGACTTTGTGGACGCGCGCGGGGCGAACGTGGTCGCTGTCTTCTTCACCACCTGGTGGGGGAAGGGGGGGTGTGGGTGGGGACGGGGAGGGGGAGGGATTATGGTGGAATGACGGGGGAATTATGGAGGAATGACTGGGACATAATGAGGGAAATATTGGTAGAGGCGGGAGGATGGGAGATGTACGTGGGGAGATCATGGGGGAGCGAGTGGGGAGAGATGGGGGACGGGCGGTTGAGCGTAGGAGAGGGAGAGGGCGAAGAAGGCGGGGTTGAGATTGGAATGCGATAGGTTGGCGAGAGTGAAGCACGAATAGCAGTAGGAGGTGGAGTGGGCAAGGATAGCGGGAGGCGGAAGAGAATTCGCGTGAAAAACGCGAGAGTCGGGGACAAGAGGAAGAGTGGAGAGGGCGAGGAAGAGGAAGAGGGAGAGGCAGGGGGAGGGGAGAGGGAGAGGGAGACGAAGAGGAAGAGCGAGAGGGGAAGAACCCCACCAAGTCGTGCTAAGCTGTGAATTTCTTGGAGGCGCATTTGCTAATTTTCTTTATTCTTCGGGGGGCACCGTCTAACGCGCATAACGCGACCCGTGCGAAGAATAGAGGCAAATGCAGTAGCCAAAGCGGACATCTTTCGCTCATCATTCTGAACGCAACCGCGACGCCGCAGCAGCCAAAGCGGGCACAACCGGCAATGCGTCGCCGTGTCAACGCGTCTCTTCTCGAACCTTGGAGATCTCTTTGCTGACGTCAACATCGCTGCTATTGCCGTCATCCACTGCTGGGCTCGCAGCGCTCTCCGCTTGCTGCGTTTCCGGCTGCTGAGCCGCGGCGCGTGTTATCAATGATGAGCGCCTCGCAAATGCGCCTCGAGATCGCACGGGCAGGAGGAACACTCCACGCGAAGCGACGCGAGATGCTAGAGCCACTGTCTTGGCGACACGTGGCACGGATACAGCGGTCTCGAAGACAGCCGCGGCCGGAGCAAGCAGCGCCATGGCTCTGGTAGCGTCAAGCCACGTAATCAGGCGCTAAGGTAACGCGCGTGACGGATAAGCCGGAAATTCTCAAGGAACGACGTGGCAGCAGAGAATCCCGCAGTTGAAGGTTCAGCAGGTTGAATGGATGAGGTGGGTGTACACTGTACATACAGGAGATTGGAAAGCGACGACTCCTCCCCGCTATAACACAACTGTTTGGATCAGGCTGTGCTAACACTTCGTTCGCAAGCAGAACAATAAATAACATTTAAATATGGCATCCGATTTTCAACTACCACCATAACATGTTTTCAGCCCTCACTACGACCAGACAATCAGGTCCTTCCAGCAGCCCTTGCAAAAGTTAAGCATGCAAAGAATACGTTACCACGGCTGATAACTTCACTGAACTATCTGCCTCAGACTATCTCATCAGCACTAGGGTATAAAAGTCCTAGGAGACATGGAGCCGCTTGCGGAAGTCTTCAGCCATCAACGGCAAGCCTTCTCGCAGGGTCACCTACAAAAAAAAAAAAAACACGAAACAAAAAATGAGAAAAAACCTCAGAACCGATACATGAAGACTCGGCTGAAAGTAGATAGGCGGGAAGAACACGCACTTTGGGTTCCCATCCAAGAATCTCCTTGGCCTTCGTGATGTCTGGCTTGCGCTGGCGTGGATCATCAGGTGTGTTCTCCACTATCTTCCATGAGGCAGATGGCTCAATCAGCTACACAAACAACAAGAGTGCGGGGGGCAGGGGGGTTGAGGGGATGGTATAAATAACAAAATACGAAAGACAAACCAATGGGCGACAAAATGGTATGAGTAAAGGAGGCTCAGCGCGCGAAATCCAAATGTGTGGAGCTTGCACACAATGCTACAGCAAACAACAGACCAAAAAACGCACCTCTTTGACAGCAGCTGCAAGCTCTAGCATGGTGAACTCGCCTGGAGAAAGAGAAAGAAAAGAAGGTGGAAAGAGCAGAGTAGCAGAGCTGATGCGAGGGTAGAGCCCATTAGGCTTGACAAGTGCACCAGACGAAGCACAAGCGGCTAGAAAGCTCTGGGTGGATGTATCAAGGAAAAGAAGAGGAACAGACAGGCCCACAAGTGCAGCACACGTCTCACAACATGTCATGCTTGTTGACCCACGCACCAGGGTTGCCAAGGTTGATGGGGCCAGTGACAGGGCCTTCCATGAGCTTGATCAGTCCGTCCACCTGCACACACGAGGAGGAAGTAGGCAGGGAAGGAGAGAGCAGACCGGGAGAAAGCAAACAGGTATGGAGGAAGCAGATATGTAGAGAGCAGGCAACGAGGAAGCAGATACATGTGAGAATACATTTAACTGCGAGGATGAGGAGGCTTAAGTGGAGAGAATACGGGTGAAAACCTTTGAGAGGTGGTGTGATAAACACAAAAGGCTGATACAGGACATAAAGGTGGAGGCAAGAAGCCGGAGGCAAGAAGCCGCAGGTGCCAAGATATGTACAAGCCCAAATGAGAACAGAATATGGATGGCACTTGCATTGGGGTTGGCATGGAGCTGACATGATATGGGCATGATAGTGGTATGCTGTTGCATCAGCACCACGTAGAATGTTAGCAACCAAATACCAAGTTAGCAACCACAAACCACATTAGCAACCGCATACCACGTCAATGACTGCATACCACATCAGCAACCACATACCATGTCTGCAACATAGCAGAAGCTACGGGTCTGTGTGCCTGGGGCCTGCACCGTGAGTTCCTCATTCCTGAACAGATCAGCAAACAGGAGGTAGGGATGGTTGAGGAGATATGAGATTAGACATCAGAAAGACATGAAATGAGATAATGATAAGCGACAACTGACAAAAGTACAAAAACAGGGGGTACCAGTTTCCTGATTAAGGGAAAACGACGAGTGGCTGGTGGAGCAAACGACATGTCCCCCAGGTCCAGCGGAAACGTCAGCAAAGGGGATAAAACCAACGAGTTGGAACATTCACCTGAAGGCCTGGGCAATGAAGTTGCTGACGACACGTCCGTCGTCAATGTTCATGCGAGGTCCGTAGGTGTTAAAGATGCGCGCCACCCGGATCTCTGATGTGCAGAATTGGGGAGTGGGAGGGAAGAAGGGGTTCAGTGTGGTGCAGAGTGGTTGACGTTGGCAGCGTGAGATAGAGAAACGAGGGGAGCGATGGAGCGAAGGAGAAGGACAGAAAGAGAGATTGTGCGTGAAAGAGAACGAGATCGAAGCGTGGGAGCGTAAGGGAAGTGTGGGATAGGAGGCTGGGAGGCCCGGGGAATGAACAAAAGACTTAACCTCCGATCAGCATCAAGCAATCTATTTTGGTTTGCTTCACCGTTGCGATCATTGCACCATTGCTTCATTCCTTTCCCCGTCGTGGCGAAAATCCCCCATTAATGACACCGCATCCTTTCCCCATCAAAACACCCTCTCCCAGTCCACACCGCATTCCCCCCTTTCCAAAGGACCAAACAGTTCTTGCGACGTACCAACGCCGTGTTGCCGGTGGTAGTCGAACATGAGCGTCTCCGCCACTCGCTTGCCCTCGTCGTAGCAGCTCCGCACGCCTGAGAAAGGAAGAGAGCGTGAGGGAGAGGGAGGGGGGAACGGGGGAGAGGGAGGGAGAGGGGGAAAGAATGGGTAAGCGAGGGGAGAGGGAGAGGGATGGGGAGAGGAAGAGCGAAAGGGAACCAGAAATTGCCCATCAAGCACTCACCAATCGGGTTGACGTTTCCCCAGTACGTCTCCTTCTGCGGGTGCTCCAAGGGATCGCCGTACACTTCTGACGTTGAAGTAAGGAGGATCCTATGTGAGGAGGAGGACGGATGACGACGAAGAGGACAAGAGAAGAAAAAAAGGAAACACTCGTGGCAGTGATGAGAGGTGAAGCAGTTTTTATAGGTTCCTTCGACAGACGTCAGGTTGAGGAATGCGTAAATCCAATCTAATGCATATGTGTTCTATAAAATAAAAATAGAGTGAGTTGGGCAAGGTAGAAGCAGAAGAATAACACGCCTTACCTTGCTCCCACTCGCTTCGCAAGTCCAAGCATGTTCAGTGTACCCATCACGTTAGTCTTGATGGTCTGCAGAGACCAGCAACAAAAAAAAATCCTCGTTCTCTATCAACATCGCAGATAAGCAGCGGACTTTAATGTAATTGCATGCTGAGCAAACTGATTTGTTATGAACATCTAAACATTTTTTCACCCTGCATGGGTTGCCTTTCTCCGAATCTCCTTACTACATGATCTGCTCAATTTGGTGCGTACCTTCACCGGATTATACTTGTAGAAGATCGGCGAAGCAGGACACGCCAGATGGTAAATCTGATCCACCTCCACCAGAAGAGTCTCCGTGACATCTGCGAACTCGACCAATCCATGTTATATACAAAGGATGTTTATGTACTATGTGGTCAGACGGACACATCTCGGAAGGTAGGTCGCATTCGTACCATGACGAATGATTTCGAAGTTTGGATGGCCGATCCACTGTCGAATATTGTCCTTGGTCCCAGTGAAGAAGTTGTCAGCTACAATAACCTGAAATCGATACAATAGGAAACAAGGTTAAAGGCATCATTGCATACTATCTCACGAACGGTAACCTGTCAGACTGGAAAAAGGAAATGAACCGTCACATGAATGACATGTCGGATAAAATAGCAAGACAGTCTGACAAACGAACCTCATGGCCGGCTTCCATAAGCCTGTCGACAAGGTGAGATCCGATAAATCCCGCACCTCCTGTTACCAGAACTCTCAGGCGAGGCTGCGAGAGAAATACAGGCAACCACAAAGGAAAAAAAAAAAAAAATCCACAACAGAAAATGAAAAACTCGAGGGGAAGAAAACGCAAGCTAAAAAAACGGTAGTTTTAGCTTTACTCTCTGTAGGCAGAGACTGGCTCGGTAGAATAACGAAACACAATGCCATCGGATTCAAACGATAACTTCCTTCGACGTCCGACCATGACGTAAATCATGAAGATGCGTGCTTGCAAGTTAAGCAGCCAGAAAGACGAGCTTTTAGTGAACAGAGAAACAGAAAATCAACGATCACGTACGCTAGAATATTTAGACTGCCTGATCGGAGATGGAGGAGGAGGGATTCTCCTGGTCTCGCCTCCATTCTCTGACGCCTTGTCCCCAGCATCACTCATCTTGAAGGCCTAATACAAGAGAACTCGACCACCAAGACGAGTCAGCCACCTGCCAGGAAAACGGTCTGTGACCGGGAGGTGATTAAGTTACACAAGTGACCGGCTCTGATCTGAGGCTCACTGGAAGTGGTCTGGAAGTGGCTCTGATCTGAGACTCTCTGGAAGTGGTCTGGAAGTGGCTCTGATCTGAGGCTTTGACGACAAAATGAATTTCTCAGATACACAACAGACGGTTTGCGCGGGGAGCAGAGATCGGAGAAGGACTGGAAGATGGAGAAGCCTGTTACTGTAACAGTATAGCTACGAACAATAATGTTCGCTAATGGCACCTGCGACGGGGTTCGTGCGAGGAAACGTACTCCCTGTTCTTTCGCCCAGGTTGTCTGGTCTGGTGATGTTTGATTTTATGACAGTCCTTTCGCGCGGGAAAACGTACTTTTCCTGCGAGTCGACGAGGCATCAGCCTGACAATCAGTTCGTGGGCGACGACTGGAAGTTGGTGCGAATTTGGTGGTTCAGGAGGAAGGAGGGACCAGCTCAGGCTGGTTCCTACCCGACTTCCACGAAATCCGTACGCGTATTTTTCTGCCCGTCGGTAGTGGATGTGCCCTCCCACGAGTGCGAGACGTGCGAAGACCGTCGATTTCGGAGAGGATTTATCAACTTTGGACAAGCCGTTACAATATCCACCGGCGATGAACGGCAAGAGGACAGCAGCAGGGCTCTCGATTCATTTTGGGGCACGCTGCCTCATCCGAGTTGTGACCCGCGACACCCTGCCTCTGCAGTGTGCCTTGGCAGTCTTCCCACGAAATGGCAGAGTCATTTTTTCCCGAAGTCGAATCTAGCAGGGTCAAATTTCCGAACACACTGCCAAGCTGAAACTTTCGGGTCCCGCAGTCGATCCTGCCATTATCGATAATTCTCGGGGGCCAGAAATCCTGGTCGAACCGGGTCTTCCTGGCTCGATTCTAAGTGTTCACCTCAACCGACAGGGAGGGTCGTCGTCTCTATGGTTGAGGTTTTAGTGGTGTAGGCTGGGAAGATAAGAGGCCTGTCGGTGGGTCTTTTAGGTGCGGTACTAGTGATAACAAGCCACACTCTTTGCTAGAGCTGAATCTCTGGTGTTCGAAGGACTTAGCCGACTCTGGAATTCCAGTCACAAACGCAACTGGACACATTTCGGTCACATTTCAGTCACATTTCTGCTCGAGCTGAATCTCTCGTGTTTCAAGTACTTTGCCGATTCTAAAAATTTAACTCACATCACTAATGGACACATTTCGGCTAAAAGAAAAAGCCGCGCAGTTAATGAAGTACTGCAGAAGGGAAATGATGGCAGGGTGTCTGCCGTAACGAGCCGGGACACGGCAGTGTGGCACATAAGCGATAAACAACATTTGCAGGGTTTAGTTTTAGCCCTGCCTGACGATGACAAGGTGGACGCCCAGCCAAACCCATTTCTAGCAGTGTGGGCATAAACTTTCACCCTAAAATTCAGGGTAAACAGGGTAAAACACCTTGCTATCCTGCCTGGAAAGCAGTCGTCAAATCTTCAAGTGGAGAAAACTCTTTATTAGCCCACTGCTTGCGTCCAGATGCGTATTCGCATTTGTAATTGGTGTTAAGATTTCTGCTTGACAATAATAACCCACATGAAATCCAGCAAGGACGGCGCAGAGTAGGGAAAAAACACAACATCCGCCCTACAATAAAATATATCCCTAGTATAATTTAGCGTCTTTCAACACAAGTGAAGATACAACCAGTATAGGCATTTACATTCTAGTGACAAAACGGATTGTATTGACATTGTTTAAGAAAAAGCCATTTTCCTTACTTCGCGTCCCCGCTCAGCGCGTACACCGCTTAAGCACCACAGTCAACACCGTTACCACTCGCAACTCTCGCATCGACACTCCTCCCGCCACCTTCGAACGTCGCACCCCGACCTCACGGCTCGGCGGGTAACCCGCGCTCCGGGCCTCCGCTTCGATACTTTCCTCAAACCTTAGTCACAGGCCCGTCGCGCGACAACCACAGTCCATTACTGTTACCACTGTAGTTTCGCTATATATTCTTCGCTCACGCCTTCACACATTGTACTCTTGCTTCGATGGTGCAATTCTCGCTTACTCACTCAATTGCACTCTTAACACTTGGTATTCAGAGCCTACGATCTCTTCTCGGACCGCACCCACACCTTCGCTTCCTCACTATCTCAATTTTTGGGGGGGTTGACGTCTCTCAGCAACACAGCACCGCCGCTCGTTGTGCTCTCCCGTAAGCACGCACGGCCACGACAGAGGCTCTCGCTGAGCTTGCCCAACACCCCCGCCATGGCCGAATTCACGCTCGCAACATTGACGCAGGAGCAGCTTGATCGTCTGGTGCGCCAACTTGAAGATTCGGCGCTCAGAATTGCGACGCTCACGACTGAACGTGACTCCGCGCGTCAGCAATCAACGGTGAACGCTCCAGCGCCACCACACGCACCGACAAATGCATCTGCACAATCGGACGAGCCGATCGTCATCTCGTCCGGCACACCAATACAACACGACAGCGTGGGACAGCGCTCAGGCGCAGCCAGTGATGGCGCCGCCCAGCCGATGCCTGGCATGGGAGGAAACAGGGTCGCACCAAGCCCGCGGGAGCCTCGCGAAGCCCGTCGGCACTTGGAATTCACGGCGACAAGTGGCGAACAGGCCATTATGGCACCAATGCCACTTAAGCTGCAACGCCCATCCTGCTTCGACCCGAGCCAGCGTGGAGGTCCGACAGTTCAATCGTGGGTCTTCAAGATGAACGTCTTCGTCGACGCGAATTACGTCGAGTCGGACGCAGCAAAGATTCGGTATGCCGTTTCGCTGCTAAGGGGCCCCGTCACGAACTGGTGGCGAGTCATCGTGACGTCGCCACGCGCCTACGAGCCACCGTCGCAAGAGGAAGGGCCCACGGGTCCAGTTGTCACCTGGAGTTCATTCTGCGAGACCGCCCAGTACAGCACGTGAGATGCGTGGTGCGCAGGGCTTTGAACGTGCTTTGAGCCAATCACGGCCTCTATTACGGCGCGTCAGAGATTGCATACTTGGCGGCAACTCGGGTCGGTTCAAGACTACACGAGTGGTTTTCTCGCATTATGCGAGCTAGTCGGCTACATGCACGAAGCAGAGCGGGTGGACCGTTACGTCAATGGGTTGAAGCCGGACATCTCGCACGAGATTATGCTGCGCGGGCTCTCAAACTTCAACGAGATTCTCGCGCTCGCCGAGAAAATCGACATTTTACGCAGTCCGAGACCGGGGTCCTACTACAGACATCGTCCTCGGGGACCGATCGAGCACGCCACCGTACATGCCGTTGCGACGAATGCAGTTGCCCCGCCATTTAAGGGGAGCTGATTCGCTTGCGATAGGCCGGGCCATCGCAAGAGTGAATGCCCAGAGAAGCTAAGGCGCCGCGGAGCAGAGCAGGGGAGGGAGTCTTTAGGGCAGGGAAACGCCAGCAGGCAGTAGGAATCGGTCCAACTATTGACGAGACTGCCTGCTCGCCCAACCCCACCGACCCTCACCGAGTCACTGTACCGATTCATGCTATCGATCGGACTCGGATGAATAAGGTGGGTACAGCGATGGATTGCCCAGTACTGATCCACGGAATAATACAGGGAGCAGTAGTGAAGATTTTTATCGACGGAGGAGCAAGTCATAGTTTAGTTAATACGGCAATCGCCCGAAAACTGCAACTAACACTTAGCCGTTGTTTACCTGAGATAGACGCACGCTTAGTCGACGGCACGCCACTAGCCATACGGGAAAAAGTGGAGAGAGTCAAAGTCCGCTGCGGGGGGAATTTCGGGTTTACACAGGAAATGCTCGCAACGACACTAGATGGGCACGACATTTTACTGGGACGTGATTGGCTGCGACGGTATAACCCGTGAATTGACTGTACGGTACGAAGTAGTGGTAACTGGGTCGAGCTACCTCGCTTGCAGTCGCCCGAGTCGTCAACGGTACACGTCAATGCCGTCACCATGAAATGGGCTGTCGCTGCTGGAGCTGACGTGTACGCGATAGACATTGCAGTATTAGAGGGAGCAGAGCAACCGAGTGATTTCAAGAAATTGCTGGCAGCGATACCGTCCGAACTACAGGAACTGTTGAAACGATACCCCGGGATTTTTCCCGACGACTTACAGGAAGGGCTGCCACCTCAGCGAGCACATGACCACCGAATAGAATTAGAACCGGGGGCACAACTAAATATATTGCGCCAGTACAGACTGACACAGCCCAAGCTCGACGAACCGAGGAAGCAGTTAGATTACTTGTTAGAGACGAAATTCATCCGACCGAGCTCGTCACCGTTCGCCGCACCGATACTGTTCACACCAAAAAAAGACGGAGGGTTTCGCATTTGCATCGATTACTGAGCGCTCAACAGGGTAACATTCAAGTCGCGGTACCCCATTCACTGCGCCGACGAACTGATCGACCAACTGCGAACAACACGGGTTTTTTTCGAAAATAGATTTACGGGAAGGTTACCATCAGATTAGGGTCGAACCATCAGACTGCGCCAAAACAACTTTCTGGACTAGGTACGGGTCATTCGAGTACACCGTGATGCCTTTCGGGCTGACCAACGCACCAGCGACATTTCAAATGACCGTGAACAAGGCATTTAGGCCACTCTTAGATAAATGCGTGATAGTTTACCTCGACGACATCCTTGTCTACAGTCGCGACAAGCAGCAGCACTTAGCAGATCTGGAAGCAGTATTTAAGATTTAAGACGACCATCGGCTCCTGACAAAGGGTTCCAAGTGCGAGTTATTTCAGGACAGGATAGAGTTTTTGGGGCACGTTATTTCGGAGGCCGGGGTCGAAATTGACCCAAAATAGTTAGACACGGTAAAAGCCTAGCACCCCCCGACGTACATCACGGAACTGCAGAGCTTTTTGGGGTTCGTTAACTATGTGCGTCGGCTCGTCCCCGATATGGCACGGTTAACAGCGCCGCTGATAGACTTATTACGGAAGGGGGTCGTTTTTGCGCGGGGGGAGAAAGAGCATGATGCCTTCTCTGCCCTGAAAAATGTTATTTGTTCACCGCCCGTCCTGCGCATCGCTGACCCACACCACCCATTCGAAGTAGTTACCGACGCAAGCGAAATCACCATTGGAGCTGTATTGCTACAAGATTTCGGCAACGGCCTTCAGCCCATCGCATACGAGTCACGAAAACTGCATACGCCCGAGAAAAATTACCCGATACACGACCGCGAAATGCTTGCGATCGTGCACGCATTCAAAGTGTGGCGCTGTTACTTGACCGGCGCGGACGTGACAGTACGGACAGACCATAAATCACTACAGTACCTTCGCGCACAGCCACACCTCTGTCACAATAGCGGTTAGAACGCAGGAGCCATAGCTAGCAAGCTAGGCAAGAGAGAATAAGCAAAGGAGAGGGTTCACTAGCAAGCAGGTGGATACATATAAGAAACCCAAAGGGGTCATACTCACTACAGAGTACACCACTGCAGGCTAGACAAACTACACATTCTGACAACCTCAACCCACGACAGATTCGCTGGCTCGAATTTCTCGAGTCCAATTTTCACTACACAGTCACCTACAAGAAAGGAGCCTCGAACATCGCCGACGCACTGACCCGCCCCACTGCCCAGATCCACGCAATACTACTCACCTAGACCAGCCCCCTACTAACAGGCCTATTTACCCACGGGTACCAAACGGATCCATTCTTCACAGAAGGCAATTTGCAGCAGTTCGCAGCAGCAAGGGGAGTCTATTACATAAAAGCCGCGACCGACCGCATCTCAGTGCCCGGTTACACACTGCTACGGGAATTAATGTTACAGGAGGCACACGACGGAGTTACTTCGAGACATTTCGGGGTAGAAAAAACACGGCAGCAGCTGCAGCGGTATTATTACTGGCCCGAGATGTTGACCGACGTACAATGACACGTGGCATCGTGTCCCACCTGCCAAATCATGAAATCATCACAGCCGAAGAAACAGCACGCCTCTTCATCTCCACCGTCGTACGCCTGCACGGGATACCAGCAGCAATCATCAGCGACCGAGACACGAAATTCACCAGCAACTTCTGGCGGGACCTGTGGCAGCAGTTTGGCACGCGACTACAGTTCAGCTCTTCGTACCACCCCGAAACCGACGCACAGACAGAATGGACAAATCAGACCATGGAACAACCCATCCGAGCCACGTGCGACGACCCGACCACCTGGGAACAGCAACTGCCACCCATCGAGTTCGCGTACAACAATTCACCTTCCGCCACGACCCAACAGTCCCCGTTTTACCTGAACTACGGACAAGACTCGACAGTACCCATGACCCCGAATCCCGACAACCTAGTGTCACGAGCGCAACAGTTCGCCGGAATTTTACAAGCAGCTTGGACCCGGGCAGCCGACGCAATAAAAAAATCCAACATCATCGCTAAACGTAATGCCGATCGCCACCGCAGACCTGTCACTTACTTGCCCGACGACCTAGTTTTACTTGACACACAGAACCTCCGCCTGCCCATCACCCAAAAACTCTGCCCCCGATACTGTGGACCATTTCGCATCAGCCACATGATCGCACCCGTCACCGCCAACCTCCTCCTCCCCGCTGATTGGTACGTCAGCCCCTCATTGCACGTCAGCTTGCTTTGCCCCCACGTCCCGTCCATAAGCCAACTCCCACGCGATCGCTCAGCCAGCATGACACGACCGCCGACTGAACCAATCATCACCCCCGAGAAGATTATGAGTCACAGAGTTCGCGACCCTCGAGGAGCCCGAAGGATCGAGTTCTTGATCCACTGGAAAGACCGTACACCCATCGAAGACAACTGGGTTCCCTTCGATAGAATCGAAAACCACCCCGTCCTCACCAAGTATCTGCGTTGCCGAAACTTCAGGCATGTACACGCACTTTCGTAAGGAGGACCTCCTTAGGGGGGGGGGGGGGGGGGGGGGGTAGCGTCCCCGCTCAACGCGTATACCACTGTAGCACCACACTCAGCACCGTTACCACTCGCAACTCTCGCATCGACAATCCTCCCGCCACCTTCGCAAGTCGCACCCCAACCTCACGGCTCGGCGGGTAACCCGCGCTCCGGGCCTCCGCTTCGACACTTTCCCAAACCTCAATCCCAAGCCCGTCGCGCGACAACCACAGTCCATTACCGTTACCATTGTAGTTTCGCTATATATTCTTCGCTCACGCCCCCCCTCATTGTACTCTTGCTTAGATAGTGCAATTCTCGCTCACTCACTCAATTGCACTCGTAACGCATTGGTGCTGTTCGCCAGCAAATCGTTTCTTCAACAGAAAACGATGGCATCAGCATCGCGACCGCATATGGAAACGGGGGCGGAACCCTCCTCCGAGGTTTGGGCGAAATGCCGGCCGAGAAACTACGCGCGCCCGAAAGTCGAAATTTCTCCACCGCATCTGGAAGGTCCATCCCCACCTTCCCTCAATGGCGCGAAATTTGCTCATCCCTGACCCTTGTGCTGCCCGCTGACCAAAAATTGCTCAACGTGGGTAAAAACTCAAATAAAACATACGCTGCTCAAACACAACCCCCGCCACGGTGTGTTTGGGAGGGAAAAATGGGGGGTATACGAATCCCCCTTTCTTAAACTGCAGGCTTGTTCAAGGGTTTCCCTCTGAACAGCAATGCGTCGGCTGTGCCACCGCTGTGCTTTGAAAAACGCGGCATGATGATGGCATGGCTAAGGGATGGCATTTTGCCTGGGGACGAAGTTTAGTCCCCACTTCCAGATGCCGTCGAACTGTTAGATTTGGTGGATAAAAGTGGGCGTTCGCCAGGCACCCACTTTGTTTGTTGGTTTGGACGGTAGGTGAGGCACTTTTTTCACGGGCTGACCAAGTTGACGGAGGTTAACGAACTCTAACTGACGGGATCAGGAAGGCGAGACCCACCTTCCTGATCCCGTTGTTATCCCGTGGTTTTTGGACATAATGGCGGTGTTCGCCAGCACCCTTGAGATTGGAAGAAAATGGAAGGCATTGGACTGGCAACGGCATCAGGAAGCGGGGTCGAAACCCTCCGAAAAGGTTTGGGCGAAATGCCACCTGCGAACTTTCCAGCCCCGACATGAGAAACTTCAAAACCGCATATGGAACCCCACACCCCACCTTCCTCCGACAGCCAATTACATCGCCAATCCACGGCGGTCCACGTGAAACGGTGGATTGCCACGGGATGGCATGAGACGGGACGTTTGCCTGGGGAGGAAGTCGCGTCCCCATTTCCGAATGCCATGTTTCCTTCCGAAAACTGAGAAAAATGAGAGCGTTCGCCAGGCACCGCAGATTGCTTTAGGCTCGGACGACATTTTAGCTTCGGCACGAATTTTACGGGCTGACCAGGCTGACGGAGCTTAACGAACCCTAACTGACGGGATCAGGAAGGCGTGACTGACCTTCCTGATCCCGTCGTTTTCGTTCTCAAAAGTGCTGGCGAACACCGCCAATGGTGCTGGCGAACAGCACCATTGTCACACCACATCTGACGTTCCAATCGCTTAGTCTCTGCGCCAGCAGTAGCTAGCCACCTCGCCCCATCAGCGCCCTAGATGGCAACGCGAAACACCCTCGCGGCGCTTTACAACGTGAATTCCGCTCGGCTTATTTTCCTCGCGTCTCTCTCGCTGCTGTTCCTCTCTTGCTCCCATGCCACGACTCTCTCTCCTAAAGAATGCGAAGCGCTGGGCTTCACGGGGCTTGCTCTCTGCTCCGATTGTGACCAACTTGCCACCTTCGTAAAAGACGCCAGTGAGTGGAGGGAACATTTACAGTGTATACGATCTCTCAAAAAACAGTCCTTCACTCCGTACGCTTCTACTATCTTCGTACTTATCTGCTTGGATCGCAACACTCAACACTACATTCAACGGAGCGCGATTTCGAATCGGGAAACCGATCCCGTCATTTCTTGAGCGAGCGTCCGTCGTGTATCGTCCATCCAAACACTTCATCCCAGGCCTTCCTTTCCCGCCCGTCGATACGCGTCTCGGTACCTTGCTTAACCTTATCTAACCTAACTGCATCCTCAAGATCACTCCAATTCCTTTGATAAGACCTCCGCAATGGTTTCCAAAAGTCGTTTCTTCTCGACGTGACTCGACATTTCTTTCCCTCCCATCCTCCTTCCCTCCCATCCTCCGTGCGTGCATGCAGAGCTCGAGGCAGAGTGTCGCAGCTGCTGTGTCACTGACGAAGACACGTCCACCCAGCAGGTCTCTTCCGTTCTCTTCACTTCCCGTCCCGTCGCTTCCATCCCCCGCTTCGCCTCTTCTTCTCCCTTCCCTTCCATTACCCTCCCTTCCAGTTTCACTCCCTTACCTTCATTTCGTGTTTGAGGCGAGTGTGCAGTGGGTGCGCTGCCAGATGTCACTCTAGTCACGTCTGAAACAGTCCACCCATATCCCTTGTCTATCCCTCGTCTGATATCCCTTGTCTCATTGATCCTATCCCTTGCCCCTTCCTCGTCTGATATCCCTTGTCTCATGACCTTTGCCTCCTATCCCTTGCCCCTCCTCGTCTCCCCTCTCGGGACTCACACCCACCCCTTATCCCAAATGCCAGTACGCATCTGCAGTCCTGAAGGCATCTGCATGAGGCGCGTGCAGTGTCCTCTGTCAGCTGTCGTTCTAGTCACTTCTGAGACAACTGTCTCTTCTTCCGTCCGTCCTTCCCCTCTCATGGTTCACACCACCCATCCCTTCCCTTTTCCCCTTCCCGGCGTGCCAGTACGCATCGGCAGTGCTGGAGGTGTGCATGAGGCGCGTGCAGTGGATGCCAGTCGTTGCAGAGTTCATTGAAACCAAGGCGCCCAGCTTCCCCAACCTGCAGGTAATGGTTTCGTCTCGTCCACTCATTGCAAAACCCAGTCGTCGCAAACTTCATCTATACCAAGGCGGCTGGCTATCCCAAGCTTCTACCTTCCTTCACCATCTGGTGTCCCCAACGCCCTCCCCACCCGCGCGAGTTTCCCGTCTCCCACGCTCCTGTCTAGCTCAGCGACTCGCATTCTCGCATACACTATTTTTCCGCCATATCTCCCTTCCCATCCTGCCGCCCATTCTCGCTTCTGGGCTTTACTGTCCCTTTCCGTTGCCCCACCCCACCCCCTTCCTCTTCCGGACCGGAAAAGGAAAAAAAAAATGAATCTGTTTGTCTCTCACATTCCTTCTTTCTCACTCTCTTCTGCCTTATCCCCTCCTCGTCCAACTCATCTTCGTGTCTGCATCAATCGCCATTCCACCTGTTGTAACTTGCACTCTACATTCCTTTCGATCCCACCTGCCACCTTACTGCCACGTCCTTCCCTTCTCCCCATCCCTTCCAAGGCATGTCTTTTTTGCTTTCCTTATCTCTGCCCCCCCCACCTCTCTCGCGGACTCTCTCTTTCTTCTCTCTTTCCCTCCCTGCTTTCTCTCCCACTCTCGCCTGTACCAGGTCCGCTACCGAATCAATGCTCTCCCCAAGCTTATTATGAAGGACGCTGAGGGGAAGAACGCTGATGTCATTAGGTGAGTCATGCCAATGCTGGTGATGTCATTATGTGGTCACCTAAAGATCACTGAACCTTGGCTGAGGTCACCACCAGGTTTCCCCACACTTCATTCCCACACTCTCCCCTCTCCTCCCCCGCCCCCCCCCTTACCCTCCCCCCCCCACCCCCGTTCCTCCATGCTCTCACTCACTCATACTCCTCTTTCCCCTTCCGGACATGTCTCGTTCTTTCCTGATTCGTCTTTCAGGATTGAGAACTGGAAGATGGAGCACATTGAACAGTTCCTGAAGGAAAAACTCACGGATGCCACTGCAGCCAGTGCTGTTGCGTGAAGCACCTAGTACAGTCATGTCTCATAGTTCCGTATGATATGTCAACCCCTTCATGTTCTCTAGAAGCTGCTGCTGTGATGATGAAACATGCAACTCGGGCTGGTGACTATCTTTGTAACTTCTAAGGGCATGGTGCCTCCGGATTTGGAATTGGTTGGCTTCGACGGGACAAACTGTAGAGGGTAACAGGTTTCCCAAATGTGTTGTCAAACGCAAGAATTCCAACCATGGCCCTTGTCCCGCACGTTGAGTATATATACCCTAAGGCATTATCAAAGCGCTTGAGAGATTTACGCGTTATAGCTTAACGAATCGCGAATTTGGTTAGCTTAACTCAAGGTTTCGGTCTTTACGAAAGCAGGCGATGAGAAACAGTTTTAGGGCAGGAGCAATATAGTCAAACCCCGTCGGAATGGATATCTTGATGTCGTGAACTCGGGGATCAATTCCATGTTGGGCAGGACACTCTCAATGGGGTAAATTGTTTCCGCTCCTGCCCTAAACTACTTTAAATTGTGGTGCTAGTAAACGCTATCTGGTGGGCGCAAATTGGCTTGTCGAACGGGGGGGATTTATGGTTCGCCTTGGCCAACTTGCTTCCCCGTCCATTGCGTTTGTATCCGACAAACACTTCGACGCATTTCAGGAAATTCTCTTCTTCCAGGACGTCAACGGCGGTGGTTTTTGTCTAGGCCCTTCCGTTAACCTATCCCACCGCACCGCACCCCACCTGAACTCATCCCGCCGTTTCGTTCAGTCGCCCCGCCGTAAACACCGTTTCGTTACCCTATTCCACCGCACCGCAACTAAACCACCAACCTCCGCATGGCGTCGACTTCATTCCCTACGGTGACTACGGCGGCGCCTTTTGCGGCGCCTGTTGCGGCGCCTACAGCCGCATCAACCACGTGCACTGGTGCAGCCGAAGTCGCCTCCCTGCCTGCGCCGACCAAAGACCACGTGGACCCCACGTGGCTGAGCGCCGCGCTGGGCCTTCCAGCTACAGCCGTCGCGTCAGTGGCGGTGCGACCATTCGCCGGCGGCTTCTCCCCGATCGTCAAAGCGCGCCTCGACGTCACCTACACCGATGCTTCGCGCGCACCCGACGGCGCGGACTCTGGCGCGGATCCCGGCGCGGGTCCCGGCGACTCGTCAAATCGGCCCAGGTCGCTCTTCATGAAGCTCCTTCCGCCGCCGCCGGACGCGTCAGCAGGGCCGACGACGCACCATCTAGGCGACGCGATACTCGCGATGGTGAAGCAGGCGCATCGGGTGGAAGCCGCGTTCTACACTCTCGCCATGGCGCCGCGCTCGCGCCACGTGGCCGCGGTGGTTCCGCGCGCGTATCACGCCAATCCCGACCAAGCCATCTTACTCGCCGATGTGAGCGGCTCCCCCGCTGCCACCCCTACTGCCACCACTGCTCCTGTTAGTGAGCCCGGGGCAGCTGCGGAAACAGGGCACGAGGCGGGGCACGAGGCGGGGTATGAGGCACTATCAGCATGGTCCATGGAGTTAACGGAAGGCCCGGATGTGGAGCGCGATGCGCTGCTGGCGACTGTCCGCGCGCTCGCTGTGCTGCATACAGCTGACTCTAGCCCCGCTGCTTCTACCACTGGCACTGGCACCGCTGCTGCTGCTGCTGCTGCTGCTGCTGCTGCTGGCGCTGCCGCTGGCACTGGCTCCGGTGTTCCAGGTGCAGGAGGAGAGGTGCAGGGCATTGTGCCTGGGACCGTGAATCAGCAGCTGCTGACGTGGGACGAGCTGATTGAATCTCGCGCCGCCCGGGTGATGATCCCTGTGGAGCACAGCGCCGACAAGCTCGCCGCCCTCATGCTCCAGTTCGCCGCCCGGTTCTGCCCGGAGGATGCCGAACCAGGAAGCGCTCTGCACGCGCTCTGTGCCGCAAGCGCGCGGGTAGGTTATGCAGGGCTGATGCGTGCAATCACTCTTCAGCCTGCTCCGGTCCCCCCTGCCGCACTTCCCCCGACTAGCCGCCTGCGGGGGATTCTTCATGGGGACCCGAACCCTGGGAACGTGCTGTTCCACAAGGGGAAGAATGAGGCTCTGCTGATAGACTTTCAGGACACGGCTGCGGGCGCTCCCGGCGTTGTAGATCTTGCTCGGCTGCTGCTGTCCTCCCTGCAACCGGCATCGCGCGCCAGGGTGGAAGAGGAGGTTGTTGAGGCGTATTTGAAGAGTTATGAGAAGTGTTATCAGGAACAGGAGCAGGAGCAGGAGCAGGAGCAGGAGCAGCAGCAGCAGCAGCAGCAGCAGCAGCAGCAGCAGCAGCAGCAGCCAGCCCAATCCCTGTTGCCAGTGCCGCCAGTCTTCAAGAGGGATTTGCTGCTGGCGATGCTGGGCGATGCGATGATGATCATGGCGTCTGTGGGGTTCACATTGGACGCGAGGGGCCCTGCCCTGCTGTACGCGCTGGGAGAGAGGAGCATCATGTGTGTGCGCGACCACTGCAAGGCGATGCTTGCTGCTGTGCAGGAGGTGGAGGTGTCAGTGGAGGGAGCGAACTGAGGGCGTGGAGCATTTTTACTGTACGAGACGAAGCATTTGGTTGGTCGTTGCTTTGGGAGATGGCGATGGTGCAGTCAGGTACAGAATGGGCCCGGGCAGAGGGGCAGGCAGGCGGGCATGCTGCACTGAGTTTGATGCTTTGTGCAATTATAATACATACATATATATTCAAGTTCTATTTACACCAATCTTACAGGCTAAACTCAACCTGTCATGACTAACATTCAGGTTCTTGCCAGCAGTAGAACCAAAAACCAGTGGATGCCACTACTTGCAAAAGTAAGATCCCAGGAACACCAGCTCACCTTAGTTTCCCCCCCACCCCCCCCAACTCCCACCCCTCCCCTGTTCAATACCTTCGCATCGTTCCATTCCTAGTTTCTTCATTCTCTTAGCTCGCATCCTTGATCTTGAGTAATGGCTCACGGCACGGATGCCAAGCCCTTCACCAGTTCTTTTTTTGAAGCAGCTCGGCACTAGGCTCCTTTCGCTCACTTCCATCCTCTTGCCTCAGTCCACTGGTGAGGTGAGGCGCCTCACCAATTAGACTCCTCACCTCACTTCTTCAACCTCTTGGCTCGCATCCTCAGCCTTGGGTCATTCAACGCCCATCCCTTCACCAGTGCCGCCCTGCTCCTGGCATCCTTCTCATTGGTCCTCCTGCCTTGGTATTTCCCCGTAATCTCCGCGTCTACACTGTCTAGCAGCCTCCACGTGTCACTCAACCGCGCCTGCAGGCACAATGCGACCATCTCCAGTGGGTCTATGATTCCATTGCCCCCGCGCATACCCCTGCAACCAGCAGCAGCACTAGCACCACCACCGCCACCACCAGCACCAACACCAGCAGCATCAGCAGCACCAGCAGCACCAGCAGCACCGGCTACACCAGCAGCACCGGCTACACCAGCGGCGACGTCAGAGCCGCTTTTCATCCCAGTAGAGACATCCCCATTAACGTCAACCGAAGCTTCCATTTCACCAGTTGTGCTAGTTTCAATTTCAGGTACTTGCTCGTTTTCCTGAACTCCACCCGCGCCCACCATCCCTTCAACGACCACAGCATTTAAGAGAGATTGAGCGGCTGGGAGCGTGTGAGCGGGGAGTGGCTGAGACTGACGGCCAGACTCAAGCGAGTGTTGCCTATCCGGTTGATGGGTCCGCTGCTGCCGCTGCCGCTGCTGCTGTTGGCGAAGTTGCTGCTGCTGCCGAATCTTTTGCTGAGAACGCCACCTTTCCATAGCCTCGCTCCCGGAAACTGAAACATTGACTTGATTATCCGACATCAGCTCAACCAATTGTCGCCTGAAACCGCGCAGTAACTTATGATTCCTCGCAAGCGTTTTCGCAGCGGCAACCTCCCATGCGCGGAGCTTCGACGGCTCGGCGGATGCGATGTTCCGGCGATGGTCCTCCTGAAAATCGCGAAACGCTTCGTGAAGGCTCGTTAAGTCGGAAGATAGCCCACGTGCGGCTTTCATAAAATTCATCCTGTTGCGTAGATTGCTCGCTGCATCGTGAGATGCGGGGATAGGACCTGCGACGTGATCCGCCATGTGTAAGCGTTGCTGGCCTGAAACGTGAAAGCCAAATTGAGCGGAGATTGCCTCGCTCAGGTCACGGGCCGCGGCTCTAATCACGCGACGCCGGGCAATGCGTTGGTACTCGGGGTTTGCGGCGGCGGACGGCGAGGAGCCTGGAGTTGGGATTAACCTCGACTGCTTGACTGGGAACGAGACTGGAACGACAGGCCGTAGGGATTTTGGAGCAACTACGGAAAGTAATGAAAATTGCAATTTGAACTGGAAAAAATGGACCGAATTTACACATTCACAGATTGGACTGAGACGGATTCCGTCGAGCTGCTGTTGCGCTTCCGTCAGAATGGTGTGTGACCGAGCCACTGTGAGATCTGTTGGGAAGGGGAGGGAGTTGGCGAATGAGAGAGGCTGGCTTGGCGCGCAGGAAGATTGCTGGGATGTACTTTCCCACTCGCGTACACTTGACGCTTGTCGACTCCACCACTGATTTTAGGGCGGGAAATTACACTCGTGTTGGTGGTCCTTCCCACCAATAGTAACGCAGAAGATTGAAAGGCTTGACTTCCCTAACGCAGAAGGTAACGCTGCCTGCTCCACACGGAGTGTGGAACTGCCCATTGCCTGGTTCCACCCAAACCACGGCTTCAGCCACACGCTCCAAGGGTAGCGAGGGCGGGAAACTAGTTTTCATCGTTACAGAAAACTCACTTACAGAAGTGCATACATCCTTATACGACAGATGATACCGAAACACAAAATATGTGGCATACATGAATCAGGTCATGGTTAGTCTGTTAACATAAAACGGATTATCTTCACAGACATATCATTAAAAAATATTCTTCAATAAAAGAAGCATCATGTATATACTACACCCTAGGCTAAAGAAAGAGCTCTAACAGCGAATACCACAGAGAACAGGGTCAGGCCCTTTGAAGTGATACCCAAACGGATCTATGTTCACCCACAGCAGCGTCAGCACCGATGACAGCAGGACTCCCCATATCAGAACAAGAGGAGGCAGTCTCCTCTCCTTACCAAAGAAACCCTTAATTAAAGGGTGTAGATGCATGATAACCCACAGGGCAAAGGCCACCCGTATGAGCATCATTCCCCACGCACTTAATCCTCCGTTCAGACCCTGGGCGATACCCACAACGATCCCAGCTGCATTGAAACCCACCACCAAGGCAGGCGGGAGGAGGAGAGCAGTCCACTTGAAGGTGTACAGTTCAGAATGCTCCCCATCCTTATCATCACCAGCAGAACCAGCAGCAGCCACAGAATTTGGATTCTCTTTCACTGCGACGCTGGTGTCGATCCCAGCAACGACCTTCAGAACCCCTTGCACAACGGCAAAGAGATGTGCAGACACACCGCCAACCACCCAGAACTGCTCTGCCCTCCACAGGTCCGTTAGCGTAACCCCACTCCACTGCACTTCCAAAACACTAGTCCCCATGACCACCGCGAGAAGAGCCAGTAGATAGAGCACTGCAGTGGTGGTGATCTTAGGGAGAATGAAGGAGTTAAAGAGGAGGCAGAGGCCTGGGAGGAGGCAGTAGATGAGGAGAGGGACCGAGGTGAAGGGAGAGAGGACGGTGTTGATGTAGGCGATTCTTTGCAGCAGCTTCAAGTGGCCATGATGGAGGCCGAACCAGACTGGGGAGCGAGAAGAGAGAGCGAGCTCAGTCGCTCCGATGGATGAGAGAAGGACTTGGTGTAGGCGGTCCGAGAGGTTGAGATGTGCTGAAGAAGCAGGGGAAGCGGAGGAGGAGGAGGAGGAAGTGGAAGTGGACGGGGGCGAGGAAAGGGAGAAAGAGGAGGAGGCGATGACAGCAGGGCGGGGCGGGCAGCAGTAGACGGACCGCCAGCCTCGAGAGTGGAGGGTAAGACCAGTAAGAAGCGGGTGGGTGAAAGCGTTGCTGTGATACAGCCACCCTACGTGCTTGCCCCAGTCCGTGAGATCCTCGTACCCACAGGAGAGCACCCGGATGGTCTCTTTAAGCAGAGTTCCCTGGGAGACGAGTGCAGTGCTGCTCCATGTGCCTGACGAGGAGCGTTGTGTTGCTGCCGCTCCTCCTGATCCTCCTCCCCCTCCTCCTCCTGCGCCTCCTGTCACTCCTGCTCCTCGTCCCACTGCAAGTGCTGTTCTCGCTGCGGGTGTGAATCGTGCGTCGTGGAACGAGGAGAGGATGAGCAGAGGGGACTTGCCGAACCTTCGCTCATACCGCTTCGTCTCCGTCAGAGGGGTAGCCTCCGTGTCCTCTGTATCCTCCTCATAGCCTCTACCGGCTGTAGCAGCTGTAGCTGCAGTGGTGTGTGGGTCGGCTTTGCCATGCACGGCCGTGAGATGGTAGTGTGAGAAGGGCACGAGGGAGAGGGTGGCACCACCATCAGCAACAGAGGAGGCAGCAGCAGGGGAAGGAGCAGCAGCAGCAGCAGAGATAGAGGTTCCTCCGCCTCGCCTGCGCATTGTGTCCAAGCGCGCGTCCCTATCAATATCCACCACCACCTCCCCACCACCACCACCACTGCTACTGCTACCACCTGATTCTGCTTCTGCTGCTGCTGTGCTTGCCCCTGCCTCTTCCTTGGCTGGTTTCTCCTGCTGCTGGGTTTTCCTTCGTCCCCAGAAGAACCAGGAAAGGCCACGGATGGGTGTGCTGGTGCTGCTTGTGCTGCTTGTGCTGCTTGCATTGGTGGTGCCAGTGACGTTGCTACTGCTTGTGTTAGTGGCAATGCCGCCGCTAGTGTTGGTGGCACTGCTGGTGATGGTACTGCTCTGTATCCTGCTTCTGCTTCTGCTGCTACTGCCACTGCTGCTGCTGCTGCGACTGCCGCTCCCGCCCTTACTCCTATTCCTGCTCTTGCTGCGCCTTCCGCTCTTGCCGCTCCTGCTGCTGCTGTTGCTGCCGGTGGTGGTTCTACTGCTATCCTTAGCCCCAGGGGGTTTACCCCCATAGAGTGCCTGCCTGCGGAAGCAGCAGCCTGATCCCATGAGTATGGGTCCCTGAATACCGTCCAGAGCAGGCATTTGCAGCTGTTAAGGGCAAGGGATGGGAGGCAGGGCAGCGTGGAAGGGAGGAAATGGAGGAATGTGAGTATGAGAATGATAGTCGGACCAGGGTGGGGCCCTGAATGCCGTCCAGAGCTGGCATTTGTTGCTGAGAGGGGCAAGGGATGGGAGGCAGGGCAGGGGAAAGGGATGGGTAAGGGAGGAAATGTGGGGAAAGGACTGAGTGAGACAAACACGGACTCTCATGGGCGCGTGAAATGCCGTCTAGAGCAGGCGTTAGCAACTGATATTAAAGAGATGGGAGATATGGGTTGAAGAAAGGACGGATTAGCGGTGGGGGGTGTGAACAGGGGGAGGGTGGAGAGGGTAGAGGGTAAAAAAGCGAGAAACAGGAAGAATGGGGAAGAGCAGGAATACGGTCTTTTAAGATACTCACATCGTAGAACACAGTGTTGTGGTTGTCGTATCGGTCGCTCTCATCCACACCATCAAACCGCAGAGGGAACTGCACGAAGCAGCACTTATTCCCCACCCCTCCCCCCATCCCATCCCCCTCTCCCCCACCCGCACCCGCGCCCGCGCTCCTGCTCCCACCCGTGCCCGCGCTCCCACTCCCATCCATGAGAAAGCACATAGCCTCTCTAAGAGCCGCTGCGTTGTTGACATAGTGGTTGGCGGCTAGGATGAGGAGGAAGGGCGCGTTGGAGAGCAGAGCAGAGACGCGCAGAAGGGCGTTCAGTGCCCCTGCTGTGCCGTGCTCGTTGTAACCCGGCCGCTTCTCCCGTGCCACATATACCAGGCGAGGTAGGCTGATACCCTCCTCTGCTCCTGCTGCTCCTGCTGCTGCGGTCCCCCTGGCAAGCTCATTTGCTTCCGTTGCTCCCTTATCGTCCTTGTCTGCTCCCTCTTCTGCTGCCTTCTCTGTCCCCTTCTCGGTTCTGCTCGCCGTTCCGTTCCCTGTTACCCCAGATCTCTTCTCGGCGCTCCTTTCCATTCCCTTCTCAAATTCACCCGCCGCACCACCAACAGCAGCAGCAGCAGCAGCAGAGCCAGCGGCAGCACCACCCCCACCAGCACTCCCACCAGCACCCCCACCACTGGGACCCAGCAGCACCTGCACCATAGCCGGGTGATCATGTGGTCTACTCCCAGGCCACGGCATCCCATCATCCATGCTCCACTCGCCCCTCTCCAGCCCCTCCTCCCACCTCGCACTCATCTTGTTGAGCCGAATCTTGGTCTGCTCCCACGCAGACTTCACCGCGCGGCGATCCGTGAGGAAGGGCGGGTGCGTCTGGGAGGCAAGGTAGCTCACTCCACTGCCGCTGCTGCTGCTGCTGTTGGTGCTGTTACTTTTGCAGCTACCGCTACCCCATCCACCACTGGGAATGTCGGCACGTGAGCCTGCTGCTGCTGCGTCATCTGTTGCATCACCGCCAGCATAGGCATCAGCACCAGCAACACCAACATAAACAGCAACCCCTCCCCCCCCATTCACTCCCCCTTGTCCTCCTCCTCTTCCTCCCGCTCCTCCTCCTGGGAATGCCTTTTTCTTAAAGTACACGTCAGGTGCTCTCGGCTCTATGCTGTATTTCTTGCAGAAGGGCACCCAGAGACGGGCGAATTCCGCAACTAGACCCACCATTTGGAAGGTCAGCAGAGAAGCGCCCTCGTCGGAGAGATAGCACGATACGCGGTCAGTGGGGTAGTCCATAGCGAGTATGGAAAGGAGGGTGTTGGCTGTGGTAAGGGGGGGATCCGATCTAGGGTCCCCAGAAGAGACAAAAACGTCCACTGGTGCGAGCCCGGACACGCCAGAAGAAGAATTCTCGAATCTGACCGACAGCCTGCCCGGAAAGGTTCTTCGCTTGACCGGCGTCCACTTGGGAAACTGGTCGAAAATCCAGGATAGAAAGAACCAGATTTCGCATGCTACCGAGGTAGCCCATAGGGGGATTGATTTCGTGTTGGGGTTGAGGATTCTCCAGCGCAGAAACAGGATTGTGACAATAAGGCGGAGGACTATAACGAGTCGGTACGGGTTGACGAGAGACGCTGGGAGGCGAAGCTTCTGGGAAAGCGGCTGTCGGGATTCATCAGCAGTAGGGACATCATCCTCCCCCTCCTCCTCGTGTCCTCCTCCTCCCCTTCCTTGTACACTCTTTCCAGTGTGAAACTTCCTGTACCCGTTATAGCACGGCTCGTTAACAGTGACGAGCTTGTTGGTCCCAGCGTCGGTGGGTAGAAGCAGGGCGAGATGGGACTGGGATCGGTACGGGGCAAGTGCGTTATGAGCAGACTCTGATGCGGGAGGAGCATCGGCAGAAGGAGATTCAGAGGCGGGAGGGATGGATGGGAGAGGTGGGAGAGGAAGAGGCATGGGCGGAGGCACAGCAGCAGTACCATCAGCAGCACCAGCAGCGGCACCAGCAGCAGCAGCGGCACCAGCAGCAGCAGTGGCAGCAGAACAGCCAGTAGCAGTAGCAGCAACTTCTGCCTTTCCTCTGACGCCTTTTCCTCCCTTCCCCTTCCACACCACACTCCCATACCCATACACCGCTCGATCCTTCCCAGGGTTTAGCGCTCTCACTCCTCCTGCTCCTTCCCTCGCTTGCCTCTCCTGCTCCTTCTGCCACAGCAGCAGCTGCTGCTCCCGGGTCAGAGGCCTTAAGAGGTTCCCTAGAGGTTGGGGTATCGTCCCACGCGCTGCTGCTGATGCTGCTGCTGGTGGCATTACTGCATTTTCGGCCAGGTTGAAAGGGGGAGGAATGGTGGCAGCAGGTGCAATAGCGTTGGGAGTACCATTGGGAATGTGGGTGGGGAGATAGGGGGAAGAAGCAGCAGAAAGATTGGGTGTGGTGAGAAGCATAGCAGTATTAGGAAGAGCAGGAGCGGGGAGATGCACCAAGGGGGGATAGGGGGGGGTGTAAGGGGAGGAGGGGGAGGATAATCCGCGGAGCATGTAAGGGGAAGGCGGAAGGGGAGTGCAGGGGGAGTGGTTTGCCGCCCATGGGGAGGGGGGGACTGAGGGGGAGGCGGAGGGGGATAAGTTGCGGCCGCGCGGGTAAGGAAAGGTTGAAGCAGAGGAGGAAGAGGAAGCAGAGGAGGCAGAGGAGGAAGAGGAGGAGGAGGAGGAGGAGGTGGTGGAGGAGGATAGAGTGGGTTGCTTGGTAGGCGTGGCAGGGTCGAAAGGAGGGATGGGAGGGATGGGAGGAATGGGAGGGATGGAAGAGAAAGAAGAGATGCGAGGGATGGGGATGGTGACGGGACGATCTTCATGGTGCGATAGTAGAGGGGAAGTCGTTGACTGCTGCTTCCGATGTTTATACTGCTGCTGCTGGCTCTGCTGCTGTTGCCTTTTCTGCTGCTGCTGTTGCTGCTGCACCTCTGCTGCAACAGCTGCTGCGGCACCAGTCGACGGAGGGCAAGGCGTGGGAGGAGGGGGATGCGCAATTCGAGGAACTGAGGCGGAGGCGGTCAGGCGAGCGGGCAGATCTCCGGGCAGGTGTGCGGGCAGGTGTTGTTGTTTCCAGGCATAACCCCACGATTGCTGCTGCTGCTTCTCCTCCTGCTGCTGAAGCTGCCACCGGAAACGAACCGCCTCTCCCTGCCTCGCGCCCTCCATACTAGCCACTGAAGCACCGAACCCCGTGGCGGGAACAGCAGCAGCAGCAGCACCTGCTGTCGCATCCCTCTCCGCCCGCTCCGCCTCTGCCGCCCGCCCCGCGCCTTCCGCCCGCGCCGCCCTCTCCGCGGTCGCGGAGTGAGCATCACCGTCGGACGCGCGCTCTCGCCCACTGCTGCCGGCCCAGGATCCCTCACTCTCCAATCCATGAAGCTCCCACCCGTCCGCCCCCTGCTGCTCCCCGGGACTAGCAGCTCTAGCAGCGGCAGCAGGGGCAGCTGCGGCAGCAGCGCCACAGCGACGCGTTTCCGCGTCGAGAAACGATGAGTTGCAGTCACTCGCTTCGTTGCAATCACTCCCTTCGCTACAGTCGTACGGAAGGTTACAGTTGAGGCACGCGTTCGCACCGTGCTTACGCTCGTACGCGACGCACGCGCGGCAGATGGGGAAGGAGAGGCCGCAGCGAGAGCATGCGACGAACGGCCGCCGTCGCCCGTCATCGTCCACCGGCGACGACGATAAGCCGACGACGTCGCTGCAGATTTCGCAGGTGGGGGGCAGGTGCAGCGACGTCGCAGGCGACGGGTCGCTGGCGATCGCCGTAAGGCGAAGGTCAAGGATTTCGTCGCCGAAATAGGCGCCGTACATGTTTGAGACGATAACGATCAAAATGAAATAGAAGAATGTTTTTTTTTTTCTCTCTTTCTTCTTTGAAGGAAATCTTCAAGATTGCACTGGTGACTAGTAGTAATACACACAGCGCCGCGGCTCTACGAATGGACGGCTCGAGGTGCTGTATACCTACGAGGAACTATGCAGTCAGTGAATGCTATCAGGAGGACGATAAATCCTAGAAACCAGCGAGCAATAGTCCTAGGCTTGTGTCAGTTTGTGAAAGCGGAGCATTTCGAGGGTTACTAACCAGTCTGTCAATCATTCGGTCAGTCTGTCAGTCAGTTAGTCAGTCAGTATTTAACGGGTTTATTTCACTCCCCGAGGTCCCTCAGAAAATGTGGTCGAGGTTCAGAGACATGCGAGCTCGCGAGGAGGCGAACATAAAGAGAAGGCGACGGTAGAGGCGATTGCTTTCCAAACCATTCCATGGCAGAGGGAACGAGGAGTGTGGGGGACTGTCAGGTTAGACACTCAGTACGCGTGGCTTTGCACAGAGAAATTGGTGTGTGCAGTCCACGCAAGAGATTGTGAGACGGACCAGTTTTGCATGCCATGGCCACCTGAGGGATGGGCTTGGAATTCGAGCTGTGATGACGAGACGAGGTTGCTTGCTCATACAAGGCGGAGGGAAGAAGAAGCGCGTGTGGCACGGGTAAGAGGGGCGCGGAATGGGAGGGAGGGAGGGGAGAGGCGCGTGATGGAGCCGGAATGAGGAAACGAGAGAGGGGCGAGAGGAAAATGCAGGGGAAATTGGGGAGGGGAGGGGAAAGACAGCGTGTGGGGACGGACTTCACGTCGGGCGAATCTGGCGCGACGCGGATGCAAAGAAGGGCGGAAGTTGGGGCGAATGTGGCGCGACGCGGTTTGGACGACGGGCGAATTTCATGACGACTTTGACGACGCGTCGGACTCACATAATTGTATTCGCGTGTGGGAGGCGAGAAGCGAGCGAACATCGATGAGGGGCAAGGGCGAACATCGCCGTAGATGAGATCCACATGGCGATGGTGAGCAGGCGAAGAAATCTCAACGATGTGGCGTGGCGAAGTTGCTGGAGTTGTTGGCATCTTGTTCGCTGGGCCGCCGGCGGAGCCGACACGCGGGGCAGCCTTGACGAGTCTGAAACCAGCACGTGTCACCATCCGTATGCTAATGCTTTGTAGGACGACGCTGGCCGCTGAAGCAATGGTGAGCTGAGCTAGCGCCGTCGATTTGAAACGCCGCCACGCTTCGTTAGAGCTGTCCCGATCGAGCGACAAACCTGGCGGTGGGATATAACAACAAAATTCGAAAGAATTCATTGTAAGTAAAAATAAGGTGAATTCTTCATGATTGAATCACTTAAATTCAACAAATGGTCAGCTCTAAGGAGAACTTTCTCCTTGGCATCCTAGATTACAACCCTCCACATCAACAATACAAATCCGTACGTCTTTTCCCAGAACCGCCTAAACAACACACCTAAAGATTTTTTGCATAGCAGACCGACGGCATGAGCCAGCCCCCCCACCCCACTCTCACCTCCTCCATCCTTAATCTATCGCTCAACTTCCAATTCTTCTTTGTCAGCCTTATCCTGGTTTTCCGAAACACCCTGCTCCTTCTGCTCGCCCTCCGCCTCAATACCCTTCTCTGTCTCCTTCACCTCCTCTCCCTGTTCTTTTACCGTCCCGCTATTGTCTGCCGCAGTTACAATTGCAGCAGCGGCAGCTTCGGCAGCAGCTTTGGCTGCCACCTCTCCGGGAGGGGGGTGGTCAAACTTACAAGTCACCCCGTATTTGCAGGTGCCAGTCTGAGGGGAAACAGTGCAACAAAATTCGAAGGGGAGGTGGGGGGTGGAGAGGGGTAGGGATGGGAGTTGGTGGAGGAGAGGAACGAGGGACATGGGAGGTATGAGAGGAGGGAGAGGTGAGAGGCGAGAGGTGAGAGGAGGGAGGTGAGAGGTGAAAGGTGAAAGGTGAGAGCTGATTGGTGGGAGGGCAGGCAACAAGAGGCTGTTACTGAACGGAAGTGGAAGCAGGGAATGAAGGAATAACTTGGTTGAGAGAGTACATGCATCACATGATGCCACTGTCAGGAAATGAACAGGTGAGTAGACTGCAAAAGGACATGGAGAGCTAGTGGCTATATACATATAGATAATTACTATAAATGTTAAACTGGGAAACAGAATGAAGATGACTTTGGAAACATGAAGGGGGAAACCGGGGTGAAATACAGTAGGCGATGGAGAGACAGCAAGAGAGGAGCGGGTAAGTGGTGTGAGAGAAAGTGCACCTTAATATAGAAGGCACATGACACTGCTTCCTGAAAGAATGGGAGAGGGAAAACGCACAAGACACAGAGAGGGTGAGAATCATAGAGTGGTGTGTGAAGAAGTCTGGTGAGGTGCGGGCTACTAAGGAAGGACAAACGAAATCACAGAATTGCTGCATTTGTTATCTGAACAATAGGAAGGAAGTGATGAAAAAAAAGGTAGGCCACAGGAAGACTGTAAGACAGCACTGGGGAAGACGAGAAGCCTTGGGGAAAGATCATGGGGGTAAATTGGTTGGGGGATAGCAGAAAGAAAGAGGGTGCTGGTGAGTAAGGGAAATGAAAGAAAACAAGGAGTAGTCAGAGGTGCGAAAGAGGTAGGTGAGTAGGTAGGTGGGTGGTAGGTGGGTAGGTAGTTAGGTAGGTAGGTAGGTAGGTAGGTAGGTAGGTAGGTAGGTAGGTAGGTAGGTAGGTAGGTAGGTGGGTAGGTAGGTAGGTAGGTAGGTAGGTAGGTAGGTAGGTTGGTAGGTTGGTTACAGGGTATAGAAGTAAGTAAGTAGGCAGGGTTTAGGGTTGCAGCAAAGAGTGACCTCTCGCTGCTTACCTTGCGACGAGGGAGGCCTGCAGCAGAGAGAGTCACTCCCGCTGGCAGCAAACCAGCAGCAGCAGCAGCATGAGAAGGAGACGGAGAGGCGATAGCAGCAGCATGGTGCCGGAACACAGGATGCATGGGCGGAGAGGAGGACAGGTGCATGTGAGAAGGCGGGGTGAAGAACATAGCTCCTCCCCCTCCGCCTCCACCTCCTCCTCCTCCTCCTCCTCCTCCCATTCCCCCACTGCCCAGTGGGAATGGCAATGGTGATGGTGAAAGGTGATGCTGCTGCTGCTGCTGCTTTGGGGGATGATGGAACTTGCAGGAAGGCCCGTACTTGCAGCTTCCAGTCTTCATGTAAAACTGGCATAACGGTAGGAAAGGTAGGTAGGTGGTGAGATGAAGTGACTAACATGCCTCAACAATGGAAATGGAAGAGTGTGAGCAGAACGAAGATCAGTGCTGGAAAGGGGGCAGGGGGCAGGGAACAGGGAACAGGGGGCAGGGAACAGTGGGCAGGGGGCAGGGAACAGGGGGCAGGGGGCAGGGGGCAGGGGGAAGGGGACAGGGGGTAGGGGACAGGGGGTAGGGGGCAGGGGGTAGGGGGCAGGACAGGTTGATGCACCAGTCACTTACTGCGCATTCCAGCTGCCCTGGCCGCTGCGGAAACTGCTGCTGCTGCTGCTGCAGCTGTTGCAACTGCTGCTGGTGGTGCTGGCGAAGCTGCTCCTGTTGCTGCTGGTACTGCTGTTGCTGCTGCAGCTGCAGCATTGATATTGGCGACGCCGTGGCTGGCAGCAGTGGGAGGGACGGGCCTGGGGAGAGCACGCCGCCAGACTGATGGGGAAGGAGCTGAAGGAGAAGGGGAGACAGAAAGGAAGAGAGGAGATGGATGAGAGCTCTGATGAGTAAGCCGCGATGAGCTCTGATGGATCTGATGGAGCTTCGATGGGTGTAAGGAGTGGAAAAGGGGTCGAATAGGATTTCTGATGGAAGGATTGATTGGATCTCGGATCGACAAAACGGATGGGAGGGTTGGTGTGTGTTGTATGCATGAGTGCATGGAAACAAGGGAAGGGGATCCAATAAGGCCGCGGGGCGATGGCATGGTGGCAGAGCGGGTGGCAGAGTGGGTGGCAGAGTGGGTGGCAGAGTGGGTGGCAGAGTGGGTGGCAGAGCGGGTGGCAGAGTGGGTGGCAGAGTGGGTGGCAACAGTGAGAGGAACATGGTCGTCATAAAAGCAATTCAAGGCACCTCAAATCAGAACTCTCGTCATGAACAATATGCCCGTTAATAGATGGAGACGGGAAGTATGCAGAGAGGATTGGAAGAAGAAGAGGAGCAGAGGGGACGAGAAGCATGGTGCAGGGAGCAGCACAAGGTGCAAGATAGCACAAGGTGCAAGATAGCACAAGGTGCAGTGCAAGATCGCAGGATAGCTCACCCTTTGTGGGAGCAGAAACGGTGATTGCACTGGGGAGCCTGACAGCCATGAGGAGCGAAGCAGCAGGAGGAGCAAGAGGAGGGAGAGGAGGGAAAGTCGTCAGATGGATGGAAGAAATAAATCGGTATGATGTAAAGACATATGTACGTATGCACAGGGCAGACAGGCGGCTGGGCAGAAAGATAGACGAACTGACAGACGGACGGACGGACGGACGGACGGACGGACGGACGGACGGACGGAAAGACAGACAGCCGCAGAGCCACAGAGCCACAGAGAGACGTACGGAAAAGAGCAGGAGCAGAGGGGCGGGCAGAGGCGACTGCGTTGGTTGCTGCAGCCGGTGACGTGAGGGCCGATGACAATGCCAGTGTGACGCACGAACACACCAAACAGCAGACAGATAGACAGACAGACTGACACACCGGCACTTACGGAAGAGAGCAGGAGCAGAGGGGCGGGCAGAGGCCACCGCGTTGGCTGCTGCAGCCGGTGACGTGAGGGCCGATGGCTCTGGATGGTTGAACCGGCAGTTCTGACTGAACTTGCAGCTGCGGAGGGGAGGAGGAGTGGGGAAAGAAAACGGGGAGGGAAGAGATTTTTGAGATATAAGAGAAGAGGCCGCTGCAGCAGGTGACGTGAGAGCGGATGGCTCTGGATGGTTGAACCGGCAGTTTGGACTGAACTTGCAGCTGCGGAGGGGAGGAGGAGTGGGGAAGGAAATTGGGGCGCGAGGGGATTTTTAAGGCATATATATATATATATTATATACATATATATAAAAAGAGGCTGCTGCAGCAGGTGATGTGAGAGTGGATGGCTCCTGGTGGTTAAACCGGCAGTTCCGGCCGAACTTGCATCTGGGGAGGGGGAGGGGGAGGGGGAGTGGGAGTGGAAGTGGGAGTGGGAGTGGGAGTGGGAGTGGGCAAGGGCAAGCAGGGGGGGTGCGGTTGGGAGGAGGAGTGGGGCGGGGAGGAAGCCAAGAGAGGAGAAGAATGCGAGGGCGAAGGGAATGAGAAGCGGGTGATGGAGAACGAGAAAAGACGAGGCACTGTGGGTGGGACATGAATGTGACCAGATGATCCATAGACAAGAGGAGAGGAGAGGAGAGGAGAGCATGCTTGGATTGGAGGTATCAACGAGATCAAAAGATAGATTAGGATTCAAAGAGCGGCAGAGAATGCTTGGGGACACCAGGAGGTCAAGCAGGCAAAAAAAACATTTCAAAAAAAAAGGGGGGGCGTAGGGTGTGGGGGAAGGGGAAGCAAGGAAGACAAAGAATGGAAGAAAATGCCAGGTAAGGCAGGGGGAACAATGGAAGGTGGAGGAGGAAGATTCGGGATAGGAGGGTTGGAATGGAATGCAGGGAGAAAGAGCATGAACAAGAAGGCTGTCAGAGAAAAAACAATGAAGCGAAAGATAGGGCACGGGAGGTAGGGTAGTAAAAGGAGGCTCGGAGAAGGTAGGTTCGGAAGAGGCACATCCCAATGAGGTAGATTTCCATGAGTATGTATGTATGTACCTTCCATTCTTCAGGTAGAAAGCACAGTCTGTCTCGCCCTGGCCAGAAACAGCATGCATGCACAAGCACACACTCTCCCATTCCCCCCACAAACACGCGCACACCCATCCAACAACACATGTGCACACACTCCCATCCCCCACACACATGCACACACACACACGACGAGTGCACGGAACACACACAACACACGGACACGACAGGCACGCACATAACATGCACATGGACTATTTTGAGACATCGGCACTGAAACATACATGGTAAGAAGGGCATAAAACAGAAAACGGAAAAAAAACACGTAACGCAGGGCACTTGCTGTGAATTGAGACTCTGCAGGAACACCTCCCCCCCCCCCCTTGTTCTGTTCATCCGCACTCCCTGGCCCTCCCTCCTTCCCCCCCTCCACCACACCAACCTCATCCACCACCACACTCAACACTTGCCAAGGACACTTACTTAGCTCTCCCATCCCTCTTCCCCCTTACCCCCATTCCCCCCTTCCCCTTTCCCCTTCCCTCTCACCCATGTTCCCCCACCACCGTGCTGACTCACCGGCCTAAGAGGCAGACCCACTGAGTTGTGCGCGGCAGGCTTGCCAAACTGCCCCTTGCCCTTGTCCCCACTGGCGCCGCCGCTACTAGCACCACCCCCACTAGCACCGGCACCACTAGCATCAGCACCACTGCCATCACCACCACCACCACCATCGCTAGCACCAACACCATCACCGCTGCCGCCACCACCACTGCTCTTCTCACTACCTTCCAAAGCAGCACCCTTTCGGCCTTCCTCCTCATTCTTCTCCTCCCCCTCCTCCTCCTCCTTTTCCTCCTCCTTCGCTTCCCCCTCACCCTTCTCGCCCGCCAATCCCTTAGCCTCCTCCTCACCACTCCCTTCAACCCCACCTGCTCCTGCTCCCGCTGCTGCTACTGCTCCTCCTTCTGCTGCTGTTGCTGCTGCTGCTTCCTCTCCTGCTGTTGCCACTCCTGCTTCCATAGCGCTATTCTTTGGCCGTTCCGCAGGACCTACCATTGCCGCTGCAGCCGCTGCTGCTGCGGCTGCTGCGGTGGCGGCCGCAGCAGCAGCAGCAGTGCCTTCCTGCTTGTCGTTCACATGAGAAGGCCCCGCGTTTGACTGCTGTTTCTGCTGTTGCGCTGGCTGCTGCAGCTGGCGGTCGGGCGGGTGATTGAATTTGCAGGTCGCGCCATACTTGCATGTCCCAGTTTTCATGTAAAACTGCGATTGGAAGGAGGGATGCAATGCAGGCAGGCAGGCAGGACACAGGGGTGCAGGGACGGAGGGAAGGGGGGACGGCAGAGCAACACGCGGAATGGACGCACACAGCACGCTTGCACAAAGCAGCAGGGGGAATGGGGAGGGAAGACGGGGGGGAGGGTGGAGGAGGCGGGAAAGAGGACCGAACGGATAGGGAGAGAGAGGGGGAGGGTGGGGAGGGGGGAAAGAGGGGGAGGAGGAGGGGGGAGGAGCAGAGGCAAATGAGGATCAGGGGTGGTTCCGTTTTATTTGGACAATGTTCCTTGGACGATATCAGGGCAGAATCACTGGTGAGACTGGGAAGGGGTACAACCCAAGGGAGAAATAGAGGGCAACAGAGAGGAAGAGAGGGGCGGGTTGAAGGAGCGGGGAGGAGTGCGGGTGGGGGGAAGTGGGGGAAAGAAGGGTGTGGATCAACGGGTAGGAGGGGTTGACGGGCGGAGGAAGGGAGGGAGGGAGGGGGAAGGGGGGGTGGGAGGAGGGGGGGGGGGGGGGGGGTGTGGGAGGGAGGGGGGATAGGGGAAGGGGGAGGGGAAGGTAAGGGGGAAATGTGCATCGGGGAAAAACATACCGCACAGTCTGGTTCACCAGGCCTCTCTGAATAAGCTGACTCATGAGTCAACTTGAAAGACGAGTGCATTCATGGGGAAGCAAACATACCGCACAGTCTGGTTCACCAGGCCTCTCTGGATAAACCACTGCTGCCAATCCTCCAGGGAATTTTCCAAACAGACCCCCTATACCTGCTCCTCCTCCTCCTCCTCCTCCTGCTCTGAATGCCGCTACAGGCCGCACTCCCAACATGCCCGCAGAATCCCTAGTCGCCTCGAGATAGGAGTGAGAATAACCACCACTGGGATACACACCCCCTGCTGCTGCGGTGCCTGCTGCTGCTACCATTGCTGCTGTTGCCGCTGCCACCGCCGCTGTAGCAGAGGCAGACGCGTTCGGGTAAGCAGCAGAGGCGGATGGGGCGAACGGGGCAGACGGGCAGGAGGGGCCGGAGGGGCCGGAGGGGGCGGAGGGGGCGGAGGGGGCGGAAGAGGGGGAAGGAGCGGCGGCGGAGGAGGAGGAGGAGCGAGGAGGGTGGTGGAAACGACACGTGGCGCCGAAACTGCACTTGCCATGTCGCATGTAGTAGGCACACTCTTTCTCCCCTGGCCTGACCGGGTATAGCGCCTGCTCCTGCTCTTCCTGCTGCTGCTGCTGCTGCTGCTGGGATGTGGAGTAGAACACTTCTGCTCCAGAGCCTAGCCCTGTGGCGTTTGAGTTGTAGAAGGTGCTACTGGGGAAGGTAGATGCAGCGTCAGTGGCAGATGATAGGTAGACGGAGGAGGGGTAGGGTGAGAGGGAGGGATCAGCATGGGATGACGGAGGGTGAGAGGAGTTGCCAAAATGAAGCCGTTTCGAAGGGTACTCGTAACAAGTATGGTGGGAGGAAGGGGATGAAACTGGAGCTTGTGAAATAAGTGATGATTTTCGTATTTATATGCAGTCATTTGCACACCCCAGTTAGGAGATATGATGAGAGAAAACGGAGGGTTTGTTTTCATTGGCAGATGAGCAGTAGCACAATGAAACGGCGTGCGGGCCAATCAACGTGTGACAAAGAGGCATATAAAATATTATAATACGACGAGGGTTCAAAACATTAAACACGGGGAGGAATACATGCGGTGTGGCGAATACAGGAGGGATATTACCCGATTAATAGTAGTTATTATGGTGGTGGTGGGAGCGTTTGGTATATGCACCGTTGCAGTGTCATTATGGCATACACCATATAAAGTGGAACCCATGCCAGTTATGGTTGATGCATAAGAGGCACACGGAGAAACCACATGCGCATCATAAGGATGCATAAACACGTTAACAGATATGCATCATGCACATTCAGGCATGCATACAGACAGAAACACACAAGGACAAGAGTCGACACAAACAAACATGCATGATTATAAATATTGGACGCGACTGAGCAAAAATCAGAATTATGGACATCCAATTTTCTCGTTTGTCTTCAAGAAAGTAAACATTGATGAAAGAAGAATAAAGCAAACAATCCCAAAACCACACAAGTCTATGACTCCAAATTGCTCCTGAATCGTACGCTCGCGTATTAACCGTTCCCACGGCACCCTCAGCACGCGACATGTAGAGAATAACGGAAACATTCTCAATCAAAAGCTAAGTACCAAGCAACACATGGCTCGCCACAGTATCGCACCTGAATCGAGACCTCGCTTATTCATCCCTCGCATTGCACCCTCTCCAGGCGACGCTTCCGCATATCCCTGGCCAGAGTAAGCACCGGCTGAACCATACGCGGTATAGCCTGATCCATGACCATCGCGAATGCCAGGCTGCTGAAGCGACGTAGACGATGGGTTGTAGTAACTCTGCTGCTGCTGCTGCTGCTGCTGCTGCTGCTGCTGCTGCTGCTGCTGTTGCTGGTGTTGCTGGTGATAGCCTTGCTGTTGCTGCATGTAATTTGACGGATTAGACCCGGCACCGTAGGGATCTAGCGATGACTGCAGCGCGTGATGATAAGGGTCCATTCTGGGCGGTAGATTGAGCGAATTCCGATTAGCATGCGGCGAGGTGAAATCTAGACGAGTCAACTGGATACAAGGCTGTTGAACCGCGACAACAGCGGAGGGACATCAGCTCACAGGCGACTGGCAGTAAGTAGAACCATCTAGCAGTGGATGGGTGATACCTTTTCTGGAGTTGGATAATGGTGGCCCAAGGTTTCGCTGTGGTGGTCGAGTACTGCAACACAAGAGCCATGTGAAACTTGGGGGCACGGGGTAAAGGGTGGAGCGAGGTACTCGAATCTCGAGGCATATATTGGAGCTTGTGTGACAATATCCAAAGTCCATACAGTAAATATGGATTAAACAAATTTCCAACTGCTTACACATTCGGAACAAAACAAATACGGTTCACTTGGTTTGCAACCACTAGTTGGCCCTGCAGACGTTGGCTCTAAAAACGTTATGCTAGAACACCTGACTTGGTGATGGTAATCTTTTTGTACGGGCGATAAAACCCCCTCTCTGCTACTGTAGCCCTGGTATCTCCTATCAATTTTGCAGCTCTGCAAGGTAGGGGCAAAGGACGACAGGGAAAGATGAAATGTTGAAACGAAAAAAAATATAGTCTAAGTGGAAACAGAAATAGCAGGTAGCTGGACAATAGAATACAGCTGACATGCAGGTTTGGTTAATGGGATAGATGTAGAGGACAGGTAGACACAATACAATTGATTGACATGGGAATAAGGGATTTACGAGGCACCAGTAAGAGCACCTTGGAGGGAGGGGAGGCAGCCAGAAAGCGACAAGGCCAATGAAAGTAGAAACACCAATAGCAATATCCATCGTAACAACACTCGCATTAGAAGCAGCCATAACCACAAATACCACAATATCGATCACATAGCCATAAACCACAACCAAAGGAAACAGCCAGAGCCATATATACTCACTTGAAAAATCCGTTATCAGTGCCGTCCCGCACAAACGGCACCTCTCTAACCTTCTCCAAGACTCCAAACCCATCCAGCACCCGTCCCACCACCAGATGCGTAGAGTCTAACTCGGGGCAGTCTGTAAAGGAGACAGCAAACTCGGTGCCGTTGGGGGCCGGTTTCAACGCCTCTTCCACCATCTCAAACTTTCCCCCTCGTGCCACCAGCTTTTGCTTCGGAGGGGGGATGGTTGGGTCGACGGCGAAAAGGGCGACGGAGTAGGCTTTGTTGTAGACTGGCCCGCGCTTTGCTCTGGAAGAAGTGGGGGAGGGGAGGAGGAGGGGAGGAGGATGGGAGGAGGATGGGAAAAATGAGTTCTGGGTCGGACGAAAAAGGGCAACGGAGTAGGCTTTGTTGTTTACTGGCCCGGGCTTTGCTCTGGGAACGGGGGGGAGGGAGCAGAACCTTGAGTTTTGAGCTTGATGGCAGAACCTAGCAGAAATAGCTTTGTTGAAGGCGGACCAGCAGCAGCAGCAGCAGAAGCAGCAGCAGCAGCAGCACCAGTGCCACCAGCACCACCCAGCACCAGCACAACTCGCATCTCCCACAGCGCACGTACATCTGCAGCTGCTGCAGCTCCTGCGCAACAGCATCCGCGTCCAAGCCGCCGACGCCTCAAAACTCCAGCAGCATCAGCACAATTCGCACATCCCCACACCATCCCCACCCCACACGTACATCTGCAGCTGTTGCAGCTCCTGTGCGACGGCATCCGCGTCCAAGCCGCCGACAAAAGCAGCAGGATCAGCAGCAGAGCCGGTGAGGGAGAAGGAGCGCAGCGCGCCGCCCTGCACGTAGGAGTCGGTGAGGCGGAGGAAGTCCTTGCGCCGGTACGACACGCCCGCCACGCCCTTGGCTAGCTGCGCAAAGCGAGCCGCTCCCACTGGCGCGGCCTGGGGGAGGAGGGGAGGGCGTGTGGCGGGGTGGGGAGCGGTGGAGATCAGGAGGGGAGGGGTGGAGGGGAGGGTGGGTGGTGGAAATTGTGAAGGAGAATGGGAGAAGGAGAGAAGGAGAGAAGGAGTGCAGAGCGCCGTCCTGCACGTAGGAGTCGGTGAGGCGGAGCAACCGGTACGACACACCCGCCACGCCCTTGGCTAGCTGCGCGAACCGCGCTGCTCCGATTGGCGCGGCCTGGGGGGAGAATGGAGGGTTGGAATGCCGAAGAGAGCGGTAGAGTGGGGTGGGGGGGTGGGGGGGGTGGGGAGGGGAGGGGGGGATGGTCGGTTGGCTTTCGAGCTGCACGGTTCACATGTCGCAGTGCGGTGCTTGCTGCATTGCTTTGGTGCTCGCCCTGCTTTCCTCTGACGTTTACGCCCTTGGCTAGCTGCGCAAAGCGCGCTGCTCCGATCGGCGCGGCCTGGGGGAGGGTGGCGGAACGGGGAGCCGCACGGTTCACAGGTCGCACAAGCTGCATTGCGTTGCGTTGAATAGCGTTGAGCCCTCTTGCTTCTCGCGTTTACATTCCTCGAGTATTGACAGGTGCACTGCATTGCATTGCTTTCAATTGCATCTCCTTGCATTCCCCTTTCATTGCATTAGCAGCGCATTGCGTTGACTTGGGGTTTGCGCTTGCACTGCATTGCGTTTGATTGCGACGGACGGACTTGCCTCTCCCCGTCCCCGTACCTCACCTTGCCTCCTCTCGAGTTACGCCTTGCCTTGCGCACGTCCCTCAAATCCTTTCACCCCCGCCTCCCATTCCCGTCTCTTCCTCCCCCTTTCCCTTTCCCCTTCCCCTCCCTTCCCCCAACCCCTCGTCTCCCCTCACTAGTTCGCCATGCCATACCTTGCCGTAAACGCCTATCACCAGCCGCCCCACAGGCGCGCCGTCCACGGCAATATCGAGAAACACCTTCTCCGTCACTCGCGGCGCGTCCCCCGCCGCGGATCCCGCCGGCGATCCCGCAGCGACTTCTTCTCCCGTCACCGCCACCGCTGCTTCCTCCGCGACCGCCATTCGCGGTGCCATCAGCAGAGTCGGCGCGATCGCCAGCGCTCCGAGAACTTGCCGCCGGCACAGCGCATCTGCCGCCGCATCGTCCGGCGCATTGCTACCAGCGCGAATTGCGGACGGCCGTTGGTTATTATCAGCAGCAGCGACAGCGTGAGATGGTCGACATAGCGACTTCTTTACGAGACCCGCGGAGCGGAGCGGTAGCAGCGAAGCCGCATTGCGCAGTCCGCCTCCGCCGAGGAAGGGGGACGACGCGCGGAGCGAGGAGTGCGCGGAGGCGGAACACGCCTGCGCAGGAGGAGAAGCCAGAGCCTCCATGCGGTGAGTGGGAATGAGGGCTCGAGCGTGGGTTACGCGGGCAAGGGCTGAAGAATTGCGTTGCAGTCAGTGGTACTGATTTTGCTGTAGCAGTGCAGATTGGAGAGTGATTTGGTTTGCCTTCAGTGTCACTCGAATTGACTCAAATTGGCAGATTTTTGTGACTTTGTTGAAGGGTCAATGTGTGGGGATGAGTGAAGCGAAGCAAATCGAAGGTTTCGGGTTTCTGGTTGGGAGTGTTCTGGCTGACATGGACCCTAAAGAATCCCTAGGCTCACCATGCATGCATCTGTATCGGTCATTGGAGATACATGTATTGGAGGACCTGTCATATCAGATAATATTGATTTATTTTAGCAGTGAAACATAAACAAGACTCTGTAATGGTATAATATCAGCTATTATATTTTGTGAAATAATTATGAAAATAGGAGCAAGCGAATGGAGCTGAATGAACAGCACTATAAATATGTTCATGCTATGCTGTTGCCGTTTATGTTTTTCAACGTTTATGGGTTGTACCTAAATGGGAACACCGTTTCACGAAGGGAGTTCTAGAAACGAATGAGTTGCTTCTCTTGCCGAGTTTATCGCTGTGGGATTGAATGTCCCGTCAAATGCTTCGTTGCTTCTGCAATAATAATTCAGGCCTTTTATCCGCATCTGTCACATGTTCTCAGCCCCTGGTGACGTCCTCCTTGCGTATTTTGTAAATTCGTCAAGGAGATAGGGAGAGAGCGAACGAGGGTGCTTGGGGAGAGTAGGAAAAGCAGAAGCGAGGGAAGGAGGGATAGAGCAAGTTACCGCTCGTACGTAGCGTGCACATACAAAGAGGGAGTCAGGAGTCTTTGGTGGATTTCTAGGGAAGCTGGGCTGCGAAGGCTTTTACTACGTAACACTTGTTAGTTAGTGTTCGCATGGAGTTGCAGAGTGATTCAGAACCACGAGTGTGAGTGGTAGTAGAATCCGCAGAGCTTCAGCAGCAACTGCAGGAGCAACAGCAGCAGCAGCAGCGGCGAGAGCAGAAAAAGGAGGTTACGAATCGGTTCAGCCGCTTCTCTTGGTGCCTTTGTGGTGGATTCCTCGCCTCTAATCGCTTCTCACCGATCCTCCCTCCAATGAAACCCCTCGGTTTTCCCGCTGCGTTTTGAAAGTCTAGGCCTCTGACTCGTTCCAGGCCTTGGTGACGAGTTGCCTCTTGGGGCTTCTTAAAGATTTGCCTCTAAGTTAGTGCTGAGTGCTTAGTGGCGTGGTTAGTGCCTACACATAACGGTTGCGGGTGCTGATTCCTTAATCAGGGGTTGGGGGTAGGCCGGTTGAGTGGAGGGTGGTGGAGGAAGGAGGGAGGGGTGTGGAGGGGTGAGGAGGAGTGTTGAGCCGTGAATCATGGCAGTTCCTACGCTCAATACGCCGTTTCAGCCATATGTGTACCAGGTATGACGTGTACCAGATATGACGTGTAACAGATATGAGGTGTACCAAGTTGGATACGTCAAATAACAGATATGTTAAACAGGGCGTGATACCTGAACTTCAACTGTATTTAGTGAAAAGTGGTATCTCTCCGCTTCCTCCCTCCTCCCCCTTTCTCCCTCCCTCCTCCCTCTCTCCCCGTCCCCTGCACAGAGCCCTCAAGCAGTGCTCACGCCGTTTCAGATACTGGGAGGGGAGGCGCAGATAGTGCAGATTATACTGAAGCCAGGGGAGAGAGTGCGCGCAGAACCAGGTGCGGTTCAGTGAGTTGACTCGGGATGAGAGATTATGCGAGGGGAGGGGAGGCGCAGATAGTGCAGATCATTCTGAAGCTGGGGGGAGAGTGCGTGCAGAACCAGGTGGGTTTCCAAGGAGAACCAGGTGGGTTTCCAAGGAGAACCAGGTGCGAGTCGTTTTTGTGGGTGAGGATGAAAGAGTGTGGAGCGGGGAGGAGGGGAGGCGCAGATAGTGCAGATTATACTGAAGCCAGGTGAGAGAGTGCGCGCAGAACCAGGTGCGGTCCTGAGCAAAAGGGGGTGCGGGTCAGTGTGCTGGTTGAGGGTGAGATGAGACGAGAGGAGGGGAGCGAGGAGAGGAACGAGGACGGAAACGAGGAGGGGAGGTGCAGATAGTGCAGATCGTTCTGAAGCCAGGGGAGAGAATACGCGCAGAACCATGTGGGGTACTGAGCAGAACAGAACCGGTAGGTGCGAAGAGAGGCGAGAGAAGAGGTGAGAGAAGAGGTGAGAGAAGAGATGAGAGAAGAGGTGAGAAGAGAGGGTGAGAAGAGAACAGAAAAGGAAGAAAGGGAGGAAAAGAGGAAGAGGGAAGGAGACAGTGGTTACATCATCATCCTCGCGCCAGTGGGGAGAGTGTGGGCGGAACGAGTTCTGAGTCAGCTTAAGACTCGCCAGTGCAGAGAGTGTGTGTAGTGTAGTTACCAGTGTATGCTACCAGTTCTACCCCCCACCCCCCCCCCCCCCCCCCCCCCCTCTCTCTCTCCCCTGACCCCCCTCTCGTCCGCCACCAACACCCCAGGCGCCATGTGTTACATGAGTGGAAACATGAGCGCAGAGACAGCAATGGAGGATGAGAGAATGGATGAGAGATAACATCCCCTCCCCCTCCCCCCCTTCCTCCCGTTTCCCTCCCAGGCGCCATGTGTTACATGAGTGGTAACATGAGCGCAGAGACAGCAATGGAGGAGGGCAGTGTGTGGCGGTGGCTGTCAGGAGAGAGCTTCTTCACCAACACGTGAGCGCCATGGGGGGGGGAGGAAGGGGTGAGGGGGTGGTATGGGAACAGGGGATGCAGAGTGAAAAGAGAGAACAAGGACAGTGAGAGGGAGCGAATGGAGGGCAGTGTGTGACTGTGGCTGTCGGGAGAGAGCTTTTTCACCAACACGTGAGTGGTTTGTACTTTTGAGGGGGAAGGGGGAAGAGACGGGAGGGAGGGAGGAGGTGGGGAGGGGTGTGGAGTGGTGGGACGGGACAGATAGGTAAGGTGACCTTTGAGTCGACTAAGGAACCAGGTGTGTTTTGAGTCGACTCAAAACGAACCTATGATGCAGCACCCCAGAGTTGATTTTTGAGTCGACTCAAAACACACCTGGTTCCTTAGTCGACTCAAAACACACCTGGTTCCTTAGTCGACTCAAAAATCAACTAAGGAACCTATGATGCAGCACCCCAGATGCCGCAATACGTTGTTTCTTTATGCCCCGCAGTACGATTGACTTGACTTTCATGGTGGCACATGGCACATACCACATCTGGCATGCCATGCCAAGTTGCACTTGCACTTGCACATGCACATGCACATGCACATGGTTATGGTGCATCCAACCTGCCAATGCCATGCCATGCCTAACTTTCCTAATGCCATGCCTGTTGCCATGCCATGTGTGCTGACAACATGCAGGTTCTTGAACCAGGGACCAGGGGAAGGATACATAGGACTTGCAACACCCACCATGGCCAAAATACTGCCTGTGAGAATTGCCCTTGTCTTGTCCTCCTTCTCTCCCGTCCATCTCTCCCGTCCATCTCTCCCGTCCATCTCTCCCGTCCATCTCTCCCTCTCGTGAAAGAAGGAGTGTTTTGAGACGTCTCAAAACACTCCTTCTTTCACTGTGAGAATTACCCTTGTCTTGTCCTCCTACTCACCCGTCCATCTCTCCCTCTCTCACCCTTGACGCGCCCTTTCTTACCAACTGGAACTCCCATTCTCTCTATCCTCTGTCAGCCTTTTTCTTTGTACCATTACAAGTCCCCTCTTGTGACCATCGCCACCGCTCTTAACCTCTTGCAAACACAGCCAGCCCGACCACCTCGTGTCTTTTGAGTCGACTCAAAAGTCAACGTTTCTTCCATGACTATGTAGCCCTTCTATGTACCCCTTCTATGTACCCCTTCTATGTACCCCTTCTATGTACATAGTCATGGAAGAAACTTCTTCTGGCATGGTAACCTCTTCTTGTCTGCATGTCTGCCCGTTTAACTGACTGTCTGTTCTGTTCCCATGCCATGTACACATGTACCCCTCCCTGCAGGTGGACTTAGCTGTGCATGGGGGCGAGATTATCTGTCAGGTATTTCCAACCTCCTCTGTTTGCCTGCCTGCCTGTCGGCCTGCCTGCCTGCCTGCCTGCCTGCCTGCCTGCCTGCCTGCCTGCCTGCCTGCCTGCCTGCCTGCCTGCCTGCCTGCCTGCCTGCCTGCCTGCCTGCCTGCCTGCCTGCCTGCCTGCCTGCCTGCCTGCCTGCCTGCCTGCCTGCCTGCCTGCCTGCCTGCCTGCCTGCCTGCCTGCCTGCCTGCCTGCCTGCCTGCCTGCCTGCCTGCCTGCCTGCCTCCCTCCCATTCTCCCTCAAACAGTCCCATGTTTCCAGGGAGCGTCGACCCATCTATCCATCTTTCCCTGCCTGCCTGTCCAATGTTGCGCATGCAGGAGTTCCATCCACTCGTACTACTTCATGATTTCCTTTTCGAGTCCATTCTTGGGTCGCTTTGTGAGGTTGTTTTCTTCTGTGTGTGCATGACTGTGTGCGTGCATGACTAAGTGTGTGCATAACTGTGTGTGCATAACTGTGTGTGCATAACTGTGTGTGCATGACTGTGTGTGCATGACTGTGTGTGCATGACTGTGTGCGTGCATGACTGTGTGTGCATGACTGTGTGTGCATGATTGTGTGTCTCCATGCCTCCAACCACTAACCATCAGAGGGACGCGTACCTCTGTTCGCTCAACGACGTCACAGTCACAGCAGAGATGACTCGCAGGCCCAGAGTGGGTCTCTTCGCCATGGACGTACGTCTTCCCTGTCCCCTAGTCCCCCCATCGCCCCTCCGCCCCTCCCCCGTATTCATCTGGGATGCCTCAAACTGATGACTCGCAGGCCCAGAGTGGGTCTCTTCGCCATGGACGTACGTCCCCCCTGTTTCCCCCTCCGCCCCTCTCCTCCGCCCCTCCCCTCCGCCCCTCCCCTCCGCCCCTCCACCCCTCCACCCCTCCACCTTACTCATCTGAGATACCTCAAAGTGATGACGCAGGCCCAGAGTGGGCCTCCTTCCCCATGGACGTACGTCCCCCTACTCCACGCTTCACTTGACTTTCGACACACCTCAATTAGCTCTTTGAGAATTGCAAACGAACACTAGCAGGCCCAGAGTGGGTCTCTTTGCCATGGACGTACGTCCCCTCCCCGTCCTCCCTCCCCTGTTCCGCCACCCCATCCATCCCCCGTCGCCCTCCGCCCATGTCTCTCATCTCAGTCCATGCTGCCATGCCACTCACCGCCTTGTCGATCATTTCATTCTGAATGGAAACAGACTCTCCACGTCAAATTCTTACCATTCTACTACCATGCTGAGTCTGTTTTGTTTTTAGAATTCTAAAAAACCAGTCTCTCCACATCAAAATCTTACCATTGTACTACCATGTTATCCATTCCCTTGTATGCATACCACAAGTTCTTATTCCGTGCCTTGTGAATTGACACCTTACACTTCATGCCATTACTGTATTGACACCTTACACTTCATGCCATTACTGTATTGACACCTTACACTTCATGCCATTACTGTATTGACACCCCAGTACCATGTTGTGATGCTGAGTTGATGCATCACCCTGTTGTCTGAATGAGGGTCGATTTTGAGACTTTGAGAACTTTATATCCTATGATGCCATGCCGTGCCATTTAATATCACATCACACCATGCCATGCCATGTATACAGGGTCTGTTCTACCAAAAGCTTAAAGGAAGAGGCCTCGCGTTCATCTCTGGGGGAGGATCAAGTGAGTAAGAGTGTGAGTGAGTGAGTGAGTGCCACCACTGCTGCTGCCACCACTGCTGCTGCCATCACTGCTGCTGCCACCACTGCTGCTGCCACTTGGTTAACACCGTCAATCTCTCGTTCTTTCCACCTCTTTCCCACCACTGCCCACTCTCTCTCCCCGTCTTCCCTACGCCCCCTGTTGTGCAGAAGAATCTAGCAGCAGGCGAGGTGGTGGTGGTGGATGCGGGCAGTGAGCTGATCGTACTTCCACTGCTGCTGCCAGTTTGCACTTTCATCTGCTCGTCTCCACTGCCGTCCTCTCTCTCTCCCCCTCTCATCCCAGTTGTGTAGAAGAATCTAGCAGCGGGGGAGGTGGTGGTGGTGGATGCAGGCAGTGTGCTGGCGCTGTTCCCACTGCCACTGCTGCTGCTTTTGGTTTGTACCTTCAACTACTCATTGTCTTCCTCTCTCTCACCCTTACCCCCTTCCACCCCCAGTTGTGCAGAAGAACCTAGCAGCAGGCGACGTGGTGGTGGTGGATGCGGGGAGTGTGCTGGCGCCAATGCTGCTGCTGGTTAGAATATTCACTCACTCATTCCCCATCGCTGCTGCTGTCTGCTCTCCTCCCCATGTGCCCACCCCCAGTTGTGCAGAAGAACCTAGCAGCAGGCGAGGTGGTGGTGGTGGATGCGGGGAGTGTGCTGGCGCTTCTTCTGCTGCCAGCCACTGCTGCTGCCTTTACTTGGCACCTTCAACCATGCATTTCCCACTGCTGTCCTCCCTTTCCCCGTGCAGTCGTACAGAAGAACCTAGCAGCAGGCGAGGTGGTGGTGGTGGATGCGGGGAGTGTGTTGGCGCTCACGCGCTCTGTTGACTTCGACGTGCGATATGTCGGCTCCATTAAAAAGGCTCTTTTCGGGGTGAGCTGACTTTGGGGATGGTGTTTGGCTCCTTTGACTCAAACGTGCGATTCGGTTGTCGGCTCCATGACAAGGGCTCTCTTCGGGGTAGGCTAGGCTTTCTTTGGGGTAGGCTAAACTCTGCACCCAACCCTGCATCCAAATCTGCAACCAACTTTGCAAACCACCTTGCAAGCAACCGCTTCATCCATCACCCCTCCATTCCCCGCGGGGCGAGGGCATCAACGCGTATCTCGCCTTGTACCCGGTCCTGCACCCAAATCTGCAGCCAACTTTGCAAACAACCTTGCATGCGTCACCCCCCCTCTGCACCCCTCAGGGCGAGGGCATCTGTCGCGCGTATCTCACAGGGCCCAGAGTGGTCTTCCTGCAGAGTCTACCCTTCCACAGGCTTTTGGGACGTTTCAAAAGCCATCCAGTTCATCCGTCACCCCCCCTCTGCATCCCTCAGGGCGAGGGCATCTGTCGCACGTATCTCACAGGGCCCGGAGTGGTCTTCCTGCAGAGCCTGCCCTTCCACGGGCTCTTGAGACGTCTCAAAGCCACCCATTCATGCATCAGTCCCCCCTCTCTGCACCCCTCAGGGCGAAGGCATCTGTCACGCCTATCTCACGGGGCCCGGAGTGGTTTTCCTGCAGAGCCTGCCCTTCCACAGGCTCGCACGCAGGGTGGAGAGGTGAGCAAGTGAGTTTCGATGCTCTAGTGCAGACGCACCAGTAAAGCGTCTCCATAGGCTTTATTTCTCAACCCTTGGATGAAAGCCTTTTCTTCCCACTGCTGCGGCTACCTGTCCATTGTCCACCTCCTTCCTGCACACTTGAAACCTACCCCAGCTTAACCCCCCTCCACATTCCGTCCATCCATCCCTTCTCAGGGCCATAGCGAGCCCTCAGTTGCGGGAGGCGCCAGCACTGTGGCTGCGACTCATGCTCTCCGTCCTGCTGCTCTCCATGCTCCTCGCTGCTCTCTTGCTCGCTCAGAGCCAGCTCAACATGCTTGACGTCCGGTTTAACCTGCCTTAGTATAACCTGCCTTAGTATTGTGAATAAGTGGGTTTTGACAATATAGGGAGTAATGATACGTACCGTACATGTAAGAACTGAGCTTGGATTGATACATACGGTACCGTAGTGAGCTCAAGGCTCTACCGGAAATGAGCTTCTACCGGTACTGGCACTGCTCATGGCTGGACATTTGTACGGTAAGTATACAGAGCAGCATGCACATGCAAAGTTATGCACCCTGTGCTCAGAAAAAGCACCGCAATCTGACATGATTAATAATACGGCCAGTACAAGCCTATATGTGTTATGAAGTGGCGGGAGAAGATTGGGATGCGATGCGAGGTGCAGCATGGTATGGTGTGGAGGTTGTACGGTATCTGGGCTGGGGTATTTGTTGTTCAGCTAAGAACTTAGACACAGCATTTAATCATGATACAAACAGCAGGTGCTTTGCGAATTGCGGATGCAGATAGGGGTAAAGCTCTTGAATCCTGATTCAACGAGTACAGAGAGTGTAAGCAAAGCACACAGCGTCACTCAGGTCGCATGGTGCCTGCAAGCAAGCAAGTGGGTGGTGTGGGAGGGGAAGGTGGGGAAGCAGGGGAAGAGGGAGAGGGGGGGGGGGGGAGGGAGGGAGGTGGGGAAGGGGGGAAAAGGGGGGAAAGGGGAGGAAGGGGGGGAAAAGGGGAAAGGTGGGGAAGAGGGGGACGAGTGGTAGTGTCATGCGGAAGAGAGAGTAATGGTCGTGCAGGGAAAGAGGGGGAAGGGGGGCGGGAGTGTCCTGTAATGGTACCGTATCGTTGAAAACTAATCAGCGGGGAGAAGAAAACTATTGTTGTGAAGGAAAAAAAGGGGCTTTAGATAGATGGCCTGAAAAGAAACAGGGGAAGGATAGATGGTGTTCAAAAAGGAATCTACAGGCAATCTCCCGCTTCCCCCCAACCCAACCCCTGGCTGCTCACCCCACCCTCTCCCCAACCCCCTATATCCCAATGTGCTGCTTTCCCCTTTTACCATCCCCCACGCACCAGTTGAGCACTCCCCCCCGCCGGTCTCCCCCACACCCAATCCCCTTCCCCCTGCCATCCCCACTTGCTTCCCTCTCTCCCCCCCCCACCCCACGCACCGATGAAGCGCCTCTTCTGGGCGGAGCGCGCGGCCTCGATCTGCTTCTCCAGGTCCGCCGCTGCCTTGGCCTCAAACGCCACCAGCTGGTTCGCCGCGTACGCGCCGATGCCCATGCCCAGCAGGTGCTCCCAGGGGTCTGCGGGAAGGAGAGGGGGCGAAGGGAGTGTTGTGTGTGCATGGTGATGTTGCATGGGGAAAGGATAGCTGGTTCGCCGCGTACGCGCCGATGCCCATGCCCAGCAGGTGCTCCCAGGGGTCTGCGGGAAGGAGAGGGGGCGAAGGGAGTGTTGTGTGTGCATGGTGATGTTGCATGGGGAAAGGATAGCTGGTTCGCCGCGTACGCGCCGATGCCCATGCCCAGCAGGTGCTCCCAGGGGTCTGCGGGAAGGAGAGGGGGCGAAGGGAGTGTTGTGTGTGCATGGTGATGTTGCATGGGGAAAGGATAGCTGGTTCGCCGCGTACGCGCCGATGCCCATGCCCAGCAGGTGCTCCCAGAGGTCTGCAGGAAGGAGAGGGGGCGAAGGGAGTGTTGTGTGTGCATGGTGATGTTGCATGGGGAAAGGATAGCTGGTTCGCCGCGTACGCGCCGATGCCCATGCCCAGCAGGTGCTCCCAGGGGTCTGCGGGAAGGAGAGGGGGCGAAGGGAGTGTTGTGTGTGCATGGTGATGTTGCATGGGGAAAGGATAGCTGGTTCGCCGCGTACGCGCCGATGCCCATGCCCAGCAGGTGCTCCCAGGGGTCTGCGGGAAGGAGAGGGGGCGAAGGGAGTGTTGTGTGTGCATGGTGATGTTGCATGGGGAAAGGATAGCTGGTTCGCCGCGTACGCGCCGATGCCCATGCCCAGCAGGTGCTCCCAGGGGTCTGCGGGAAGGAGAGGGGGCGAAGGGAGTGTTGTGTGTGCATGGTGATGTTGCATGGGGAAAGGATAGCTGGTTCGCCGCGTACGCGCCGATGCCCATGCCCAGCAGGTGCTCCCAGGGGTCTGCGCGAGGGAGGAGGAGAGTGAGTAAGCGAGAGAGAGAAAGAAAGAAAGAAAGAAAGAGTTGTGTCTACTGTTTCGTTGATTCGCCGCGTATGCGCCGATTCGTAAGTGCTCCCAGAGGAAAGGTTCAATCACAAGTGAGCAGAAGCGGCACAGGGGGGAAGTGAGGAATCAGAGGGAGGCAGAGGGGAAACGAACGGGTCAGAAGCGCAACGGACGCATAAGTAGGGAGCTGAGTCGCAGCATGAGTGGAGCATGGAGGGACGGAGATAAGCAAGGGAAGGGAACAACAGCATTGATAAGTCCTCCAGTTTCTTTGATTAAGGGGATGCGATCATGTGGAGGTGACGAGTGGGAGTGGGAGCAGAAACAGATGAGTAAGAGGTGATACGACTCTTTCCCTAATGGTGAATGCAATGGTGAAATCCAACTAGCTTCCCGCAACCCAACGCAATCCAACGTGAAGCTAGCTACAATGGTGAATAGACAACTCGTGTCGGTAATGATGCACGTGTGGTTGAGACTCGGTGGTTCTTCACGCAAGTCATTCTAGGGTTGGTAGATCCGATCTGAGCTGTAACGCGGATGACTAGAGAGAGAGAGAGAGAGAGAGAGAGAGTCGTCTCAGAAGTTACGGCGATGCGAGGCGATTAGGGTTAGAGGAGCTGAAGCTTGAGACTGAAGCTAACTGTCGTTTGATCATAAAAGACGCGACACGTGACGTTGCTGCTGCTGCTGCTGCTGAAGCGACGCGGAGCGCGATAGCCTAATCGCGTCATCCCGCGATCGCCTAAATCACACGAAGAGTCGCCGAGAAGAATACGTCGCATGACCTACCTCACACCCCACGAGTGAACTCACGTCGCATGAGAGGGAGCTTTCGCACGGCGTTACTGTAGAACTGCACGCCCAGGCCCATCGCGGCGCCGACGAGAGTCGCAGAGGCTGGCATGATGCCCGAATTAGTCGCACGAAGCTCGCGAAACCGTTAGATCGTGCGACAGAACGAACCAGTAAACCTAATTCCGGCCCCCAGCGAAGACGGCGAAGTAACGACTAAGCGTGGCGGTGATGACGTGGAACGTCGCAATGTGAGCTTGTGTGGGATGTGCGCGGTCGACGGAGGACAGGCGGGAGGGGAACGGGCGCGGGAGAACAGTGGTAACGGGCGGGCGGGTGCGCGGGCGGAAAGAGATTGGCGGGAAACGGGGGAAAAGGGTGGTGGGGCTGCCTGATTAGAGAGGAGAGGCGGGTGGAAGGAATGGTGTAGTTGGCGTTCTTAGCGGAGGTCTCCTTAGCGGAGCATGTACACCACTTGATGGCTGTTATCATAAGAGCTCTATTAATGTGTTTGAATTGTTCTGAAGCGTATGGAGGTCTAGATCTAGATGGCTTCTTTTTTCAGCGAAGCAGTCTTATATCAAGGAAATGTTTATGCAGTGGTGCTGCTTGGATGGAGCTTGTGGTGATGTTATTGGTGGTGGTTACCACTGTAGCTCCTGCCCCTCCAAACATTTGGCAGCCTCGCTCCAATCGAGCAAGGGCAATCCACCCACACTAGGCCACATGGCCACCGTAGAGCCCACCGCATCCAGGAGGGCAGCTGCTTTGTACAAAATATCAGCGTGCCCGGTCCGCGCTGGCCTGATTGGCTTGGAGTTCGGCGGACAGCACCAAACTGGCGGCAAAATCCTTCATCCCACGGAGCGCCCGCGAGATCTGGAGAAAACCTGCGCTGGTGGGATCAGCCACGGCATGCTGTGACTCTCTCTCCCCCCAGATCTGTGGCTGAACACCGTCAAAGCTTGACGGACGGAGACGAGAAAGGAGATTCTCTACAGTCATTTCTGGAGCTGGTTTATCCAGACTTCGTGGAAATCAGGCAGAACAGAATCATCTGGTGAGGCTAGGAAGGAGAACCATTCCCCTTGCACTGCACACATCCCACACAAATTCCTACCCAGGAGCTCTTTCATGGTTGAATGACGACGCTTGCTCTAAAGCATATCTCTCTTCTCAAGCCCTTTTCTGGGCCTGCCGTTGCTCACTCAGTGTCTTCCAAGGCTTCTTTGTCGCCGGTTAGCTCGGCGTTTCCAGGACGAGTTAAACTTGTTGTTCGTGCTTCTGCTAGAAGTCCCGTCGTCATGGCGTTCGAGAAGATCGTTGTCGCCAATCCCGTCGTCGAGATGGACGGTACGAGATTAGATATAGTCGTGGCTAACTTCTAGCAATTAGGCTGTACGCGTGGATTCTTGGAAAGATTTAAATCCACATCTACATTGACTCATGGGATATATTCGCGCGCGATTCGTTGACTGCAGGTGATGAAATGACGCGGATAATTTGGGAGATGATCAAGGAGAAGGTGAGTCATAAACCCTAGACCGCTAGTTGGTGGCTGCTTTCATACAATTGATCAACTAACTGTCGGTTTCCGATATTCCCTTTGACAGTTGATCCTTCCTTTCCTAGAGCTCGACATCAAGTACTTCGATCTTGGCCTGCCTCATCGCGATGAGACTGATGACAAGGTCACCGTTGACGCCGCAGAGGCGACTCTCAAGTGAGCGTTCTTTTCGAAGATGTGTTCAGCGTTGTGAATGACGCCGATTATAAGCAGTGCATTTTTGTTTCCAGACTTGGCTCGTTGCTTATCTCCTAATGTAACACCCTGTTTCTTTTCTTCGTTGTGTTAACCATGAATTCCAGGTACAACGTGGCCATTAAGTGCGCGACCATCACTCCAGGTACGGTTTAGCTTCATGTATTCGATTTCGTGATATTGCGTAAGCTTTTTCACCCTCAATCGACATGTGTTATAATCCGGTTATGCCTTTCAGATGAGGCACGCGTGAAGGAATTCACCCTAAAGAAGATGTGGAGGAGCCCTAATGGCACAATTCGTAACATTTTGAACGGTACGATTGGCTAGGGTGCATCTTTCGAGCCCAATTTCCGACTTGTTGTGTGCATGCGAGCTCCTGCTTTGCGTATTGATGAAACTGTCCATTGCTCATCTTCGCTCGGCATTACCAAACCTCTTTTATAATTTCTGCAGGGACTGTATTCCGTGAACCCATTCTGATGTCCAACATCCCTCGGCTTGTGCCTTGTAAGCAGTCAGCTCTATCATTGGTCATTGGTCGTACGACATCGTTATCCACAGGGTTTCTGGTTTTCTGGTATTCTCTCAACCCTGCATCCTAAGTTGTTTGCTTTGGCTTAATTGGCAGCATGGAAGAAGCCCATCACCATTGGCCGTCACGCTTTCGGCGACCAGTACAGGGCCACTGATCTTGTGATCCCTGGACCTGGAAAGCTCAAGCTGGTGTACGGTACGTTTCTATTGTGAAAAATTAATCATCTTGGAAAAGAAAAGAAGGAACGACATTGCATGACCAGATGATTCATGGAATTCAAGTCCTATCTTTGTACCTCCGCAGAGAGGGAGGGAGGTGAGCCAGAGGTGCATGAGGTCTACGACTTCAAGGGCGCTGGCGGTGTTGCTCTTGCCATGTACAACACGGACGAGGTAAGCACCAGGACTGCCTCTGAAATCGCGTTTGCTATCTCGTCGATTGTTTTCTCTCCTGCTGATATGACCGAGCGTTTTGTTCTCCTGACAGTCGATCAGGGCGTTCGCCGAGTCTTCCATGGCTCTGGCCTATGAGAAGAAGTGGCCGCTGTACCTTAGCACCAAGAACACCATTCTGAAGAAATACGATGGAAGGTAAGCGATTTCGTGTGACTGTTGGTGGTCCCAATCCAGTAGCTCTACAGACCTGGCAGCGTCCTGCCAGCGTCCTGCCACAAGCAGCCAAGCTAATTGCAATGCGTCTGTGACTGTGTAGGTTCAAGGACATCTTCCAAGAGGTTTATGAGAAGGAGTGGAAGGCCAAGTTTGAGGCGGAGAACATCTGGTACGAGCACCGCCTCATTGACGACATGGTTGCGTACTGCATGAAGAGCGACGGCGGGTATGTGTGGGCGTGCAAGAACTACGATGGAGACGTGCAGAGTGACATGCTTGCTCAAGGTACGACGAGATTCACACATTTTGATCTTTTTCCCATCACGTAAAAGGCATGCATATTGCTTGTTGCGGTGCCTCGGACGCCTTTTGAATGTTCCAGCGCGTTTTTGTGCGGTTTACCATGAGATATTCTGTCACTGACGCTCGTGGCTGTCTCTGATTGCAGGGTTTGGGTCCCTGGGGTTGATGACCAGTGTGCTGGTGTGCCCGGATGGCAAAACCATTGAGGCAGAGGCTGCTCACGGTACTGTGACGCGCCACTTCCGCGTGCACCAGAAGGGCGGCGAGACCAGCACCAACAGCATCGCCTCCATCTTCGCCTGGACCCGTGGCCTCGCCCACAGGTGCTGCTAACACGCCCCTGCTCTCGTTCCTGCTGGACTTTGTATAGCCGTTGGTGTTTCTTGGCTCCATGCCCCTGTGTTTTCCTGCAGTATGTTCCCGAATTTGACTCCCTTATCCTGTGAACCGCGTTCGCCCGTAACAGCCCTTGATTCTGATATGCTCTGCCATTTTTCTGCCATTTTTCTGCCATTCCTCTTTGCTCTTTACCCCAGGGCCAAGCTGGACGAGAATGCGAAGCTGGCGGATTTCTGCAACAAGCTGGAGGCAGCGTGCGTGTCCACAGTGGAGAGTGGCAAGATGACCAAGGATCTCGCTCTCATCATCCACGGGTCCAAGTGAGTTCACACCCGCTGCTCTGCGTCTTCTGCCCCACAGTTCCGTCTGCCCCACAGTTCCGTCTGCCCCACAGTTCCGTCTGCCCCACAGTTCCGTCTGCCCCTCAGTTCCGTCTGCCCCACAGTTCCGTCTGCCCTACAGTTCCGTCTGCCCCACAGTTCCGTCTGCCCCACAGTTCTGTCTGCCCCACAGTTCCCTTTGCCCTACAACCTCTCTGCCCTCTTGATTCCTCGCAACAGTACCTGAACCTCAAACCTTCAACCCGAAACCTCCCTCTCGGCCTCTTTAGTCTAACAACCTACCCAAGTACTCTCTCTGGCTCTTGTTCCGCAGCACTGCTCCTAAATCCCCTTTTGAACGTCCCTCTCAACCTCCCTCCTTATGCATGTCCCTTTCTATGTCTTACCGGTATGTCCCCTTCCCGCTAACCCACGTTTAGCCGCCCACCCTCCCTGCCATACCCTGTCCCATATCCTTCTCATACAGTTTTCTTTCCGTGTTACATAAGGTATTCATACATGCATATGCTGCAATGGCTGTGCTTATGGGTGATGCATAATCTCCATTTTCTGTGTCCCGTGTTGTGCAGTGTGGCTCGCAAGGACTACCTCAACACCCAGGAGTTCATTGAAGCTGTTGCTGAGAAGCTGAAGGAGTCTCTTGCTTAGAAATTCCTAAGCGGAATCGGAACAACGGCTTGTTACAGAAAGCAAGGGAGTTGGTTAAAAAGTGCAACTAATGGTTTGGGGGGACAGGAAGGCACTGGTTTGTACTGTGTTTTTGATAGCTTTGGCCTTGCTCTAAGCTTCCTCACATAGTTTGTGTCTGGATTTAGAAACTGGTGCAGTACCTGTCTTCGGGGAAGTGAATGGTGCAGCTGGTGGTTTTCCCCACAGTTAGTGTCTGTTTAGAAACTAGAATCAGGCTGAGCAGCATCTGGAAACAAGCAGCAATTTTCACATCCATGGGGAAGTGAGTGGTGCAGTTGGTGGTTTCAACTAGAATATTCCCGAAGCAAAACAAGTTAACTGTATGTGTCATCGGCACACTCGTTACCGAGCACTTTTGTAAGGATTTACAGAATCCTTACTGAGGCAGTCGTTAGCGAAGCCATCCCGAGGGTCACGCGTCGAACCTGTCCTTCCTAATTCGTCGCACCGAACCACCCCCGAGTCGCCTCCGCACCAATCGCATCCATCACCGAGCCATCCTCGCCCAACCTCCCCGCCGCTAGGACTTCCCCAATTTAGGCCTCGTCACTTCCATTGTATCGTCATTCAGTAATTCAGTAATTTCCATTCTCGTTATTCGTTTTACTGCGCACTCTGCAAGTTCATTCATAAGAATTTTCATGTACTTCCTGGAAACTCGTGCTGGTACCTTGCCGTGCAGCTTCGACAACCGCCCCATGTCGGCACGCCTCACGGACCATTAGGGATCTGGTGGCTTGGTTCGAGTCCGGATCGGATGTCAGTATGATTAATGGGTGCGATGCGGTATGATCGACGGAAACGGGAGTTCCAGGAGGAATGAAACAAACATGCTAAATACGTAGCTGCTGCTGGGTGTCAGACTGGGTGTTTCATTTTTCTAGTTTCAAGATTTGGCAAGTGGATGCAGTACAAACCCATCTCGACGGCTAGATGGTTCATTCCTCACTGTTTTCAAATTCAGATCGGAACGCGGAGTTACGTACCATAGAAGCTCGCGATTCGCTTCGTGTCGCGCGTTCCTTGCTAGAGAACAGCAGCTTTCTTGACGTCGCCACGCCCGTAAGATGCCTGCCGTTTGATCGCGCGCTCGCTGCTCGTCGAGACCGTGGGGCATGCGACTAGCTGACCTCGCTTCGCGCGCTTTGCTGACCGTCGTATCGTCGTAGGTCTTGCGCTGCTGTTGGCGCTTGTCCTGTTCTTCAAAGATAGGATTCTCACGATCCATCACGCCAAAGATCCTTTTCCTGGCCTACCAAGTGGAATGTCTCAGCTTCAACGTGCCGCGTCTCGCCAAGGTCTAGGGAATAGGCGATAAGCCCAATTGCAACGGTCGTTTCGTGGAGCAACTAGAGAGCCTTCGTATCGGCGGGCAGCGAGCAACGCGCTTGTTCACCTCTCACCTCGCTCTCTCGCTCCTCGTATCGCCCACATCGTCTCGCGTTCTCATCCAGCGTCCCGCCGGCCTCTAGTTTTGAGTGGATCCATAATCTATTCTCGTCCATCCTCCATCCTCTGTTCTCTATGGACGAGCCTGTGTCGGCCGTGTCGGCCGCGCTGTCCTGTGCGGCACCCGCGTCGCCGTCATCATCGGCGGCGGCGGCGGCGGCGTGGGTGGGACCAGCGGCATGGGTGGGATTCTCGTGCGCGCTCGCGCTCTTCATGGCGGCGCGAGGGTTCAGGAAGCGGTCGCTCTCCTCATCCGGCGCTGCAGCGGCGTTCGTCGTGGGATCGCTCACCATGACCGCCGGCGCCAGGTGCGCTGCGGGGGCTACGTGCGCAGGGGGGAGCAGGTGCGCAGCTACGTGCGCAGGGGGAGCCAGGTGCGCCGGGGTTTGCGCTCTGCGTGTGTTAAGACGACTGAAAATGCTTGAGAAACTTTCGAAACTGGATCGCACACTATGACTGCTGGGGCCAGCCAGCCGCGCTGCGTGCTCGATTCAGGGCTGGTAGGATTGCGGAAGAATCGCGGGATTCCCGGCTGATAGAATCGTGTGAACAGGTCGTATGAAGTATCGTTGCCCCTCTCCTTCTTTTAAGGCCGACCTTCCACTTTCCCCACCTCCCCGTTCGCTCCGTTCCCCATTCCCCCCCTTTCTCGTCGTTCCCATTCGCGCCGTGCGCGCGCGGCGGCAGGTTCGGCGTGACGCTGATCGCCTTCTTCCTGTCGTCGTCAAAGCTGACGCGGCTCGGCGCGCAGCACAAGCGCCGCGTGGAGGAGCGCTTCAAGGAAGGAGGCCAGCGCGACGGGTGAGCGGAGAGATGTGGGGATAGGTTGGGTTCGATGCGGTTGAGCGTGGTGAGGTGGGGTGTGGCGTGACTCAGCTTGGCGCACAGCACAAGCGGCGCGTGGAGGAGTGCTTCAAGGAGGGCGGTCAACGCGACGGGTGAGCAGGCGGGGGAGGGTGGGGGAGAAAAAAAGTGGGAGTGGCAGCGAGCGGAGGGACGCGGGTGTGGGTTGGGATTTGGTGCGGTTGGGCGTGGTGGTGGGTCCCGTGGAGGGCTGTTTCATGGACGGGCGGGTAGCGGGAGCTGGATGGGAGCAGGGAGGGGTTGGGTAGTGAAGGGGAGATGTGGGATGGGCTGATGTGAGTGAGTGGCATCGGGGTGTGTGTGACTGAGCAACAGCATCGCCGCCGCGCCGCCACCACCGTGGCACCATCTCTGTAATCCCTCCCCCCTCTGCTACTCCACCATTCCCCAGATGCCAGGTGCTGAGCAACAGCATCGCCGCCACCACTGCTCTTCCTGCTGCATCATGCACCGTGGCAACTATCGTGCCAACCAACCAACCATGTGCATCCCCTGCCTCCCCTTGCCCCGCCCCCTCTCCCCCTCTTCTTCCAGATGCCAGGTGCTGAGCAACAGCATCGCCGCTACCACTGCTCTTCCTGCTGCATCATGCACCGTGGCAACTATCGTGCCAACCAACCAACCATGTGCATCCCCTGCCTCCCCTTGCCCCGCCCCCCTTCCCCTTTCGTCAGATGGCAGGTGCTGAGCAACAGCATCGCCGCTACCACCGTGGCTCTGCTCTTTCTGTTGCTCGTTCTCTCTCCTGGCAGCTTCCCTGGTGTGAGCTGGCCTGGCTCCAGGGGCGGCGGGTTTAGCAGCGGCATCAGCAGCAGTGGCATTACAAGCAGCAGCAGCAGCAGCAGCAGCAGCAGCAGCAGCAGCAGCAGCAGCAGCAGCAGCAGCAGCAGCCAGTGCGGTAGCAGCAGTGTTTCTAAACCACCAGGGCAGTGGTTGGAAGAGGGGGGAGCGGCAAGCGGAGCAAATGAGGGGGGGAGCGGAGGAGGGTGGGGCAGAGAGGGGGGATGGGGATGGCAGGACAGGTGTTGGGAGAGTGGGGGAGGGGAGCAGCAGCGGTGGGAGCGCATGTTATTAGCTGCGTTCCTAGCACACTATGCTGCCTGTGCTGGGGACACGTGGTCGTCTGAGATTGGTGTGCTCAGCAAGAAGCCTCCCCTCCTCATCACCACGCTACAGGTATGCTCCCTTTGTCTCTGTTGCTCTCCTGGACTCCATCTACTGTCGCCCCTCCTCCCCTCTGCACCCCCTTAAGCAAGAAGCCTCCCCTCCTCATCACCACTCTGCAGGTACGCTCTCTTTGTCTCTCTTTGTCTTTCCTGAACTCCATCTCGCCCCTCCTCCCCTCCCCAACCCCTTAGCAAGAAGCCCCCCTGCCTTATCACCACTCTGTAGGTATGCTCTCTTGCTCTCCTGATCTCCCTCTACCCCCCTTGCACTCCCTTCCCTCCCTCCCTCCCTCCCTCCTTCCCTCCATCCCACCCACCCACCCACCCTTTCTCCTTCCCTGTTTACAGCACACACTTACCCCAACCCCCTCGCTCTCTCCTCCCCTTTCCCCCCTGCACTCCTCTTTCCCTTCCTGCTCTCCCCTTCCCTTCCCCTTTCCACGCCCTGTTTTTCAATCGGCCCAACCAGCAAGTGCCTCGGGGCACGAACGGGGGAGTGTCACTCATGGGTCTAGGGGCGGCAGCAGCAGGGGGGGCGTTCATGGGTGCTGTATTCCTTACCTCTGGCCTCCTCTGCTCTCCCCTTCCCCCTCCACCCCCAATCCGTCCAACCAGCAAGTGCCTCGGGGCACGAACGGGGGAGTGTCTCTGATGGGTCTAGGGGCGGCAGCAGCAGGGGGGGCGTTCATGGGAGCTGTGTTTCTTGCCTCGGGTCTCCTCTCCACTGCCCTCTGCTCCTCCAACCTCGCTGCTCCTTCTCCTCCATTTCGTGATGCCACTGTCACTCCCTTGCAATGGTCCAGCAAGCTTACAGAATGTAGTGTTAACTCCTCTTCCTCTTCCTCCTCTTCCTCCTCCTTCTCCAATTCACTGGATTCGCTGGAAGATGCTTCTAGTGCGGGCCTGGTTGCTGGTTCTGCTAGTGCTGCTGCCGGTGCTGGGAGTGAAAGACGAGAGCAGAGTGAGGGGCGAGAGGGGAGAAGAGGACATAAGAGTGAGCCGCAGAGTGCAGAGAGGAACGAGCAGCAGCAGCAGCAGCAGGAACAGCAGCAGCAGCAGCAGGAGCAGGAGCAGCACCATCAGCAAAAGCAACAACAGGGACAGCAAAGACAGCAGCAGCAGCAGCTGGTGTGGCTGCAGGTGCTAGCGGTGCCGCTGGGGCTAGCAGCAGGGCTGCTGGGCTCGCTGTTGGACTCGCTCCTGGGTGCCACACTGCAGTATAGCGGGTTTTGCCAAGTCAGGAAAAAGGTGAGCACCTAGGAGTGTCCTGTGGCTGCTGCTGCTGCTGCTGCTGCTGCTGCTTTTGAGAGGAGTAAGAACGAAGCACCACATCATTTATGCCGTCTCGCTAGGGACAGGCAGCAGCAGGTCTGCTGAGTTTGCTTCTGGACTCGCTCCTGGGTGCCACGTCGCAGTACAGCGGGTTCTGGCTAGTCAGAAAAATGGTGAGCACCCACCCACGACTGGCCTGTGGCTCCGTTTGGACCTGTGCTTCCTTGCGAGGCTGATTGAGTGTCCCATGCTCCTTGTGTCTCTCATGCTTTGCACGTGCCATGCCATGTCCCATGCTCCTTGTGTCTCTCATGCTTTGCACGTGCCATGCCATGTCCCATGCTCCTTGTGTCTCTCATGCTTTGCACGTGCCATGCCATGTCCCATGCTCCTTGTGTCTCTCATGATCTGCACGTGCCATGCCATGTCCCATGCTCCTTGTGTCTCTCATGCTTTGCACGTGCCATGCCATGTCCCATGCTCCTTGTGTCTCTCATGCTTTGCACGTGCCATGCCATGTCCCATGCTCCTTGTGTCTCTCATGCTTTGCACGTGCCATGCCATGTCCCATGCTCCTTGTGTCTCTCATGCTTTGCACGTGCCATGCCATGTCCCATGCTCCTTGTGTCTCTCATGCTTTGCACGTGCCATGCCATGTCCCATGCTCCTTGTGTCTCTCATGCTTTGCACGTGTCATGCCATGTCCCATGCTCCTTGTGTCTCTCATGCTTTGCACGTGCCATGCCATGTCCCATGCTCCTTGTGTCTCTCATGCTTTGCACGTGCCATGCCATGTCCCATGCTCTTTGTGTCTCTCATGCTTTGCACGTGCCATGCCATGTCCCATGTTCCTTGTGTCTCTCATGCTTTGCACGTGCCATGCCATGTCCCATGCTCCTTGTGTCTCTCATGCTTTGCACGTGCCATGCCATGTCCCATGCTCCTTGTGTCTCTCATGCTTTGCACGTGCCATGCCATGTCCCATGCTCCTTGTGTCTCTCATGCTTTGCACGTGCCATGCCATGTCCCATGCTCCTTGTGTCTCTCATGCTTTGCACGTGCCATGCCATGTCCCATGCTCCTTGTGTCTCTCATGCTTTGCACGTGCCATGCCATGTCCCATGCTCCTTGTGTCTCTCATGATCTGCACGTGCCATGCCATGTCCCATGCTCCTTGTGTCTCTCATACTTTGCACGTGCCATGCCATGTCCCATGCTCCTTGTGTCTCTCATGCTTTGCACGTGCCATGCCATGTCCCATGCTCCTTGTGTCTCTCATGCTTTGCACGTGCCATGCCATGTCCCATGCTCCTTGTGTTTCTCATGCTTTGCACGTGCCATGCCATGTCCCATGCTCCTTGTGTCTCTCATGCTTTGCACGTGCCATGCTAATTATACCCCATGTTATGCATGTGTCATGTGTTATTCTGGTGGTGTGTCACATTGGTAACAGGTGGTGGCAGCACCAGGCCCATCAGTGAAGCACATATCGGGCCTCAGGTGGCTCTCCAACGATGCTGTCAACTGCATATCAGCACTCGTCATGTCACTTGTAGCCGCGGCTGTCATGTCAAGCCTATAGTGGAGCTTCCAGGTCAGGAACTTTTGACTCGACCAGTCCGTGCCAGGCAGGCCCATCAGTGAAGCACATATCGGGCCTCACATGGCTCTCCAACGATGCTGTGGGCCTCGAATGTACCGTATCTGCACTGCACTCATCATGTCACTTGCTGCCGCTGCGGGCGGTGCCGTACTGCGTGCCGCACCGCACGGCTGTATGCTTGTATAAGGCTGGTGGGATTTGTATGTACAGCTTCAGTGGGAAGGAATTCGCATACCGTCATCACCCGGATATAAGACAGTGTTGAATAGTAGACAGGGGTTGTCTAGTATACGGGTGTCTCTTATAAACGGGGTAGCCTCATTATAAGACACCTATTTGTGTGTAGGGGCAAATGGCAAATGTATAACGAGGAAGTATCTTCTAAACGGATTTGTGTCCATTTATGAGACTGATTTTTTTAATGTATGAGATAAGACATACATGTCTTATATCCAGGCGATGACGGTATTTGTTGTCACACTGTCCATGCAAGATTGTATACCGGAATCTGCATTCAGACGCGCATATTGGAATGTACAGTACGAGAGAAGACTCCCTATGTTGCAGCAGGATTTGATTTGTGTGCGAAAGACAGGGTAGCAGCTGGAATGACAGGGTGACAGTCACCAGAGTCCTACGTGTCGAGGCCCGCATGTACAGTAAATCTTGCTGTAGACAGAACACAACTCAGTCAATACACTGTCAAAAGAGAGCAGCAGAGAAGAGCATGTGATTCCCGCCCTACGCCCCCAAGTGCCCCAGACTACACTTCTAGCAGCAGAGCACTACTTTTACGGTATCACTCTCAGTACAGATAAATACCGGTAAACACAGTACAGTAACCGCTCTAGTACACTTGAAGAGCCGCAGTTGTGCAATTGAGCAGGTATCAAGAATTGGGTGGTCTGAATGAGCAGGTATGAAGGACCACAGCTTGGTGCGAAGGGTTTAGGTATGAATAAGCCATGGTTCATGCGCCTGTGATTCCGTAAGCGAAGCTGGCAGGTGGCACTAGATAGGTGGAGAATAAGAGAGCGGTACAGTCAGGTCGCGGGGAGAAGGGAGCAAAAGAAAGTGCTGAGAAAAGGAGATGGATGGAGAGAGGAGAATTGGAGAGATGGGAAAGCGAGAGAGGGGAAAGAGAGAAGGGATACGGAAAGGAAGGGAGTGGCAGAGGGGAGCATGACAGAGGGGGAGCGTGGCAGAGGGGGAGCGTGGCAGCAGCTGTGGTGCTGCTCAGGAATGCGCGAGAGCGTTAGCAAGACCCTTGGCCTGCCAGACACATGGGGTTGGTGCAATGGAGGGGAGGGATGGAGAGAGAGGGGAGAAAAGAGTTTTGAGGCATGTGAAGAGGCTTTGAAAGGTGCCAGAAAAATGGGGTTGGTGGGAGGGAGGCAGGGCTGGAGGGAGGGATGGAGGGAGAGGGGAGAAAATAATTTATAAGCAACACACATACCACACCACACCACACCATACCACAGCAAACCACACCCTGCACCCCACTCTCCTCCCCTCCTCGCCCGCAACCCCCACCATACACACCTGCGATTTCAGCTCTTGGGGCAAGTCATCCCACACCCCATACAAACCCCCCCCACCACATCCCACAGCATGTACTGTACCCCAACCCTGCCAGCACACGCGTGCACGAGTGGGGCATCTGAGACGAGTGAACCCCATCTCCCTGCTCCGGTTGCGGCAACACACCCCACCCCACAGCACACAGCACACAGCACACGCCAGCACTCCCCACACAAACCCCAGCACTCCACGTACCCGCGACTGCAGCCTCTGCGACGAGTCATCCCCGGCCATCTGGTCCAGGTGCCTCACACCTAGTGCCTTCCGCCCACTGAACCCTAGCGCCTCACACAAGGCACACAAACACCATGCACTCCCCCCATACACCCCCCCCCCCCCACGCACGACACATACCTTGGTTTGCAGCCGCTGCGACGAGTCATCCCCAGCCATCTCCTCCAGGTGCGACAGCAGCGTGCCTTCCGCGGCCACCACAGCAGCGCGGCACTCCTCATCGCCTTTAGTCGCCATGCGCAGCAACGTTGCCGCCGCCATTTCCCGCGCCAGAGACGACCCGTCCTCCCCCACCACCAGCCCCACCAGCACTCCTACTCCCCCCACTTCCCCCTGCGCTTCCCCCTGACCTTCCCCCTCCCCCTCCCCCGGCCCCTGCGCGCGGAATGTATAGATCCGCCTGAGTCCGCTCCCCGTGCGTCCCAGCTGCGCCAGCAGCGCCGCCACCTCATCTAACACGTCCACGTCACCGCTCACAGCCAATCGCAGCGCGAGCTCCACTCCCCCCTCCTCCACCATCTCCTCCCGAACCTCCTCGTTCCCCGCGAGCCGCGCAAGCGCGCGCAGCGCGTCGCGCCGCCCGTCAGACCCTTCCCCGGACTCCTCCGCGAGATCCAGCAGCGCGCGCACCGTCCCCTGCTTGTGCAGCGACGGCACCTGCGCCGCGCCGCCGCGCGCGACCAGCGCCGTGATCGCCGCCGCGGTATTGCTGCGAATCGACGGATTGTGCGACCGGCACAGCACGGTAGATAGGCTCGTCAGCGCGCCCGACACGAGGAATCGATTCGCGATGCTCTTATTGCTCAGCGACAGATTAAGCATCGTCAGAACCGCATGCTCCGTCGCGGCCTCGTCCGCGCCGGGATTCAGCATCTGCAGCAGCGCGATCAGCCCCCCCGCGTCGCAGAGGAATTGTATTCCGCGCTCCGAGCATTTGCTCAGGTCTCTAAAGCCCTCCGCGGCTTCGCGCACCTCCCCCACGTCTTTGCTCTTCGCCTTGCGGATCAGCGCGGGGAGCTCCTCTAGAAGCTCCGCCTCTCTCTCCGCGTCCTCCCCCGCTTCCCGCCCCAACTCGTGCCCTTTCCCGCCGCCCCCTCCGCCTCCGCCCGCCTGTCCGCCCAAGGCCTTTCCGCCTGCCCGCGCAGCTTTCCCCTTTCCTTCGGTCGCGAGCGCCCCCCAATCCGGTTCGTCTTCGAGGCTGAAGCTTCCGCGCCCGCCCCCGCCACCCTGCGCGATGCCCGGGCCTTCCCCCGCGTCGCACTCCCTGTGCTTGCGCGCGAACGTGCGCGCGAAGCGGACAGGTGGGCTGCGGGGACGGGCGAGGGATGGAAAGATGGGTGGGGCGGGGAAGGGCGGGGAAAGGGGGAGAGGGGCAGATAACCAGGGTACGTATGCACGCACGTACGTACGTACGTTCGTTCGTTCCTTCGTTCGGTATGCGAATGTGCACGCGGACAATGGGCAATGGGCATACGTGCGTGCGTGCGTGCGTTCGTGCGTGCGTGCGCGCGTGCGACGTGCGTGCGACTTACGATGAGGATGCTGCGTTGGCCTTGGTTTCCGCCTCATGCGCGCGCACCTGAAGAGGGAGCGAGAGGTAGTGCGGAGACAGAGACAGCGAGAGGGGGAGGGAGAGAGGGGGGTGAAGGGAGGGACAGGGAGGGACAGGGAGGCAAAAAGGGATCTGGCAGCGAGACTTGGGAGAAAATAAAGGAGCCTTAGTAGCAAAAAAAGAGAAATATAATATAAAGCGGCTACCAAACAAAAAGCGACGACAGGTGCGGGGTGGGTGGGGCTGTTGTGTCGACGTTACGACACATGAGAGGTGTTCCCTACACTCACCACCTCTTCTATCTGCTTCCGCATGGCGCGCGCGGCTTTGCCCTCCGCGGGGGACGCCTCGATGCGCGGAGGCGCTTGGCCGGTGCGCGACTTGAGAAAAGCATGCAGCTTGCCACTGTACGTGTGCGTTAAAACGGGCCCAGTCCCGGCGCCGCCGCCACCGCCGCCGCCGCCGTCAGCGGGGCCCTGCGCTGGGCGCATGTTGGGCGCAGCGACGAAGCGCAGCAGTCTATAGCACGTCAAGTTAAGTCTGACCTAGTGTTCGCTGAGTCGCGTGTCGAAGGGAAGCTAATGGTGTTAAAGGAATCTAAAGGAATTCGTCAGCAGCAGGCGAATAAGTTGGTCCGATCCGAACTTGAATGGTTGCGGGATTTGGAGCGCAAGGGGAGCATAAACACGCGAAGACAGCTGGTGCCACCACCACAGTTATCTGAGCACTTCTCTTGCGCACACGCTGGCACGCAAAACTGTCGGAATGATGTGTGCAGTGTGCGGTGATGGAAGAAAATAATATCCGAGGCAGTTAGTATGTGCCGTTAAGACGAGTTACAAGGCAAGACAAGCAGCGAACGAGTTACAAGGCAAGACAAGCAGCACCGAGACACAGAGCGGGAGACAGCAGAAGTGCGTTGAGTGTGGAGCAGGCTGATAAATTACAGCATCAGGCCAATTCAATACAAAATTTTGCACGATCTGGTGCATGTAGATATCGAGTGCAGAGTGAACAGGTTTGTTGGACCATAAAACGCTTGACGCGAAGCTCGCCGTAACTGACGCAGGAGACGATGGTTATAGCGGGTACACTGAGGAGGATGTGTGTGTTTTCAGTTGGTGCCCACATGAAAAAATTAATCTGTTTCTAGAACACAGAGCAGTAAAACATAGGCCATATCTCGGAGCTATTTTAACATAGTTTGCAACAGGTTGTGAAGTTTTCTACAGTATACGATTTTTGGGTTCCAGCCCAGCATTCTCATCCGTCACGAGATTCTCCCCCATTACCTCAACAGAAACACAGGCGTCGCACATTTCGGCCTTTGCTCCAGTGGTGCCGCTTGTCGTCATGCCAACAGAACAAGAGTGGTCGAACAAAACGGGGCAGGAAAAATCAGTGGAGTTAAGGTTTAAACTTTTTTCCATTCCTTCTCTCACCACCCGTACAGTGCATATTGTATTCAATTCCTTCCAAAGGTCAACAGCACCTGGCCTTGGTGCAAGCACACCGCTACAGCACCGCCTTCTAGTGCATGAATGCACGACTGCGCGCCGCATACATATTTGTAAGGGGGAGTGGAGAGGGGAAGCTGGCGTGGCGTTGTTCAACAATTGAGGAAGGGAGGGGGGAAAGCTGGCGCCTGCGCGGCGGAAGTCATGTAATACTCGTTATTATCAGCCTCCTGCCAGAAGCTTCCATTCAGGATCTATAGATATCAACCAGCTTATAAATGAACAAGGAATCCCCAGTAGCGAGTTGAAACCGAAGGCCTAGTGCACCACAACTCAGCTGCCGTGCAATATCCTTTCCACAACTGGCAATCGTCCCGCTTCCCCGCCTCCTTTTCCTCCCTCCGCCTCCCCTGCTTCTCCCCTGCTCCTCCCCCGCGCCTCCCCGCGACCCGATGATATGCCTCGCTTATCCCGCTCGTCTCTATGCCACTCCTCAACCGTCCGTCGGTCCACCCCCCGTTAGTGTCACGAATGCACACTACCGCGCGGCCCGGTTGGTTCAGCGGTCACCTTTCTCCTCCCCGCGTTCGCGTGGAACAGCACCGTTGCTAACCGCATCGCATGTCTATCGAGGCATCCCTGTCTCGCAGCCGCTGATACGCGTTATAAGCAAACCGCGCCACCGGTTCAGCAGGTGCGCAATTCCCGCCGCGATTGCCGGCGAAATGGCTCCCGACGGGAGCGCCTCTGGCGGCAGTGCGGGAACAATGGCGGCCCCCGCAATTGACGTCGAAGCGTCGGAGGCGCGGATGCGAGGTGGTGTAAATCCCGAAAAAAGCCGAGATGCGGACACCGGCAGAACAGATCCTAATAGCAAAGAGGGGAACAGGAGCATTGAGACGGGCAGGAGGGTCGAGACGAGCGGGAAGAGCGGCGGCGGCGGCGGCGGGGGCAGTTGGGAGGAGCCTCGGAGCCGCATGTGGGAGTGGCGGGAGAACTGGATGGTTCACTACGAGGTTGCTGGGGATGAATCCGACAGGTGATTTCGCTTGCCTCCTCGCCTCCTCGCCTCCTCGCCTCCTTGCCGCCTCCCTGCCTTGCCACGTTGCAGCAATGCGGCTTGAAATTTCCTGTGGTGTGGTGCATGTAATGTGCTCTCTCCTCTCCTGCATGCATGTAGTCTCCGCTTCCGGTGCCCTTTCCACTTGTCCCTCTTGTCGCTGTTCATCCTGCTACGGCTCCTACTCCTTCTTCTGCTCCCTCGCCAATTCTGACGTCTCAAAAGTCTCTGAAGCTGGACGATTGTTAAGTTCCCTCCCTCTTCTTCCCTCCACCCCCTCCCGGCTCCATCCCTTTTCCCCCACCTCTCCCACTTTTTCCTCCTCCCCCGCCCTCCCCGCAGTGCTGCTGCTGCAGCCCGGGTTCGGTGTGGGGTCCTTCCATTTCGAGCAGCACCCTCCCGTACGTTCCTCTCTTCCCTCTCTCCCCACTCCAACCCGTTTCCTCCCCTCTTCCCCTCCCGAGCATCCAGGTCTCTCCCCGCGGTGCTGCTGCTGCCAGGGTTCGGCGTGGGGTCCTTCCACTTCCAGGAGCAGCTGCGCGGACTGGCGGCAGGCACAGCAGCAGCGCCAGGCGCAGCAGCAGGCGTAACAGCAGGAGCAGGAGGAGAATCAGCAGGAGAATCAGCAAGAGGAGAGGGAGCAGAGGCGCAGCAGCGGTATCGGGTGTGGGCGATGGATTTCTTTGGGCAGGGCAAGTCATGGCCTGCCAAGGACCCCGCCCCCTTCCCTGCTGCTGCTTCAGCCCGTCTTGGTGCTTCTGCTTCTGCTGCAGCAGAGGAAGAGGAGGCGTTGCTGCGAGGGGCAGAGGAGGGGAGAGGGGGGCAAAGGGAGTCAACAGAGTCAAGCAAGTCAACAACGGCGGCTGTAGCGGACTGGGGGTTTGGGCCCAGGCCGGAGCCATGGGCGCGGGATTTGGTGTATGGGTCGGACATGTGGTGCGAGCAGGTTGCAGCCTTCATCTCCCAGGTGAGTAGGCGCCACCAACCTGGTCGTGCCTCAACTTTTGAGAACATGCTCTTTTTGAGAATTCTCAAAGAACAGCAGGTTGCAGCAGCCTTCATCTCCCAGGTGAGCTGGCGCCAACTTGCGGTTGAGAGCATGGGAATGTGCGGGCGTCCATGCGTGTTTATGCCTGCCTGCCTGCCAATGCGTGCCTGCCTGTGCATGCCTGCCTGTGCGTGCTTGCCTGTGCTCTCATGTACACCTGCGGCCTGCCATACACCTGCCTGCCTGTGCAACCTACCGTCCTGCACCGTACCCCACCCCACCGCACCCAACCAGGTCATCCAGGAGCCGGTGTTCATAGCAGGCAACTCCCTGGGCGGCTACATAGGCGCGTATCTCGCCGCCTCGCACCCGCACCTGTGCCGCGGGCTCATCCTGCTCAACGCCACGCCCTTCTGGGCCTTTTCTCCCAACCCCCATGCTCCCGCGCGCTCTCTGCTTGCGCGCCTCTACCCCTTCTCCTGGCGCGGCACGCTTCCTGTTCCGACACTCCCGCGGCTCGTAGCACGGCGATGGTGAGTGTGCTGCTGCTGCTGCTGCTGCTGCTGCTGCTGCTGCTGCTGCTGCTGCTGCTGCTGCTGCTGCTGCTGCTGCTGCTGCTGCTGCTGCTGCTGCTGCTGCTGCTGCTGCTGCTGCTGCTGCTTCTGCTGCTGCTGCTGCTGCTGCTGCTGCTGCTGCTGCCTCTCCTCCTGTTCTCTCTCGCCGTGTTCCAGAATGTGCCTGACCCAAAGGTCGGTCTCGAGAGGCACACAACCAAGGTTAGAAGGTACGGTCGTATTTTTGAATCTTCTCTTCAATTTCTCACACGAGCCTATCACACAATACCGTGTTTTACGGTAACTTTCCGAAAAAACGACCGTATTTTTTGCAACCTTGCACACTACACGTGCTCCATTGCAACCTGCCGGTACAACGCACTGCTCTCACCCCTCCTCTCCCCCTCCGCTCTCCCCTCCTCTCCTCGTCCCCCCCACTTCACGGACTCCACTCCACCCCCCAATGGCACAGGTGGGACAGTCTACGCCATCCCACCACGCTGCGCTCGCTGCTCACTCTCGTCTACACCGATGCAGCACGGCTCACCCCCGCGCTCATAGACTGCATAGCCCAGCCCACGCAGCACCCCGCCTCTGCTGCTGCCTTCGCGTCCATCCTCTTTGCGCCCAAGGCGCGCCTCTCCTTCGACGAGAATCTCACCACGTGAGTTTCAAGAGAACGCCCCACCTCAAATGTCAGGTATGCTGTTTAAGGCTCTACTCTACTCTCTTCGCACCCCAAGGCCTGCCTCTCAACAGGTTTGCTGCCTGTGCGTCCAGTCAGTCAGTCAGTCAGTCAGTCAGTCAGTCAGTCAGTCAGTCAGTCAGTCAGTCAGTCAGTCAGTCAGTCAGTCAGTCTGTCTGTCTGTCTGTCTGTCTGTCTGTCTGTCTGTCTGTCTGTCTGTCTGTCTGTCTGTCTGTCTGTCTGTCTGTCTGTCTGTCTGTCTGTCTGTCTGTCTGTCTGTCTGTCTGTCTGTCTGTCTGTCTGTCTGTCTGTCTGTCTGTCTGTCTGTCTGTCTGTCAGTCTGTCTGTCTGTCTGTCTGTCTGTCTGTCTGTCTGTCAGTCTGTCTATCTGTCAGTCAGTCTGTCAGTCTGTCTGTCAGTCTGTCTGTCAGTCAGTCTGTCAGTCAGTCTGTCTGTCTGTCTGTCTGTCTGTCTGTCTGTCTGTCTGTCTGTCTGTCTGTCTGTCTGTCTGTCTGTCTGTCTGTCTGTCTGTCTGTCTGTCTGTCTGTCTGTCTGTCTGTCTGTCTGTCAGTCTGTCTATCTGTCAGTCAGTCTGTCAGTCTGTCTGTCAGTCTGTCTGTCTGTCTGTCAGTCAGTCAGTCTGTCAGTCTGTCTGTCTGTCTGTCAGTCTGTCTGTCTGTCTGTCTGTCTGTCTGTCTGTCTGTCTGTCTGTCTGTCTGTCTGTCTGTCTGTCTGTCTGTCTGTCTGTCTGTCTGTCCTGCTGCCTTCGCCTCCATCCTCTTTGCGCCCAAGACGCGCCTCTCCTTCACACGCGAACATCCGGGCCCATTGTGTCTGGCGTTCTGACTAAAAGACTTTTGCTTACGGCTTCCCTCATTTTTCCATATTAGTACCGGTAGACTTAGTTGTATAGATCGTTCTTTATCTCTTAGAAGGCTTGCAGCATATCGAAACCAGCTAATTTCAACTGTGACGTCTCTGCAACTTGCCGCTTTGGCCGCCAGTGTGTTTGACTGCTGGTCTGGTTTCGTGATCATAGCGGGTGAGTTCTTCTCGGGCGCTAGTTTTACGAGTGGCCCCTCTGCAGGTTGCTGCCTGTGTGGCCGTCCATCCACTCCGCTCGCTGCCTTGGCCTCTAGTCTTGGTCGCTTGCTGCCTTAGTCTCTTCAAACCCAAGTCTCTAGTCACCCAAGGCCTTGGGTGAATCAAGCCCAAGGCCTGTCACCCAAGGCCTTGGGTGACTTTTGAGGCGCCTCAAAAGTAGTCTCGAGTCACCCAAGGCCTTGGGTGACAGCCCAAGGCCTTTGACAAGGATCGTAGCGGGCTAAGATTTAAGATTTTGATGAGAAGCCATAGCTGGTGAGCCTCTCCTGCTCGCTCCCAGCATCATCTCTCTCTCTCTCTCTCTCTCTCTCTCTCTCTCTCTCTCTCTCTCTCTCTCTCTCTCTCTCTCTCTCTCTCTCTCTCTCTCTCTCTCTCTTTCTCTCTCGCGGGCTGCCACTGTGCAGTGCTGTGCTGTGCTGTGCAGTGCTGTGCTGTGAAGTGCTGTGCAGTGCAGTGCTGTGCCGTATTCATTCCCCGGGGACATCCCGGGTGGGCCCCATGTACACCTCCAAGGTCCCAGGAGTCTCCATCACCATGTTGACTTGTTTGCCTCTCAGTCTCTAAACATGTCAACTAAACAGTCTCTCCTCTGCTCTACCTTTGCTCTCGCCTCGCCCTTCCCCATCACAGCACAACCTCTCGCGCCCTGCCGGTGTGCATCATCCACGGCCGGGACGACCTGTGGGTGGGGCCCATGTGCGATGTTGAGTCAACTAACTAGCCTCTCTTCCCCTCTCCCCCCTCGCCCCTCTCCTTCACAGCATCACCTCTCGCGCCCTGCCAGTGTGCATCATCCATGGCCGGGACGACCCCTGGGTGGGGCCCATGCTGACTGTTGAGACAACTAAACCGTCTCTCTTCCCCTCTCCCCCCTCGCCCCTCTCCTTCACAGCATCACCTCTCGCGCCCTGCCAGTGTGCATCATCCATGGCCGGGACGACCCCTGGGTGGGGCCCATGCTGACTGTTGAGACAACTAAACCGTCTCTCTTCCCCTCTCCCCCCTCGCCCCTCTCCTTCACAGCATCACCTCTCGCGCCCTGCCAGTGTGCATCATCCATGGCCGGGACGACCCCTGGGTGGGGCCCATGCTGACTGTTGAGACAACTAAACCGTCTCTCTTCCCCTCTCCCCCCTCGCCCCTCTCCTTCACAGCATCACCTCTCGCGCCCTGCCAGTGTGCATCATCCATGGCCGGGACGACCCCTGGGTGGGGCCCATGCTGACTGTTGAGACAACTAAACCGTCTCTCTTCCCCTCTCCCCCCTCGCCCCTCTCCTTCACAGCATCACCTCTCGCGCCCTGCCAGTGTGCATTATTCTCAGCCGGGACGACCCCTGGGTGGGGCCCATGCTGACTGTCGAGTCGACTAAACAGCCTCTCCTCTCTCCCTTCTCCTCTCTCGCCCCTCGCCCCTCACTATTGCAGCATAACCTCTCGCGCCCTGCCGGTGTGCATTATCCACGGCCGGGACGACCCCTGGGTGGGGCCCATGTGGGCGGCCAGAGCAGCCAGAGCTCTCCCACATGCCGCCTTCTTTGAACTCTCCCCTGCCGGCCACTGCCCCCACCACGAGAGACCACAGGTGAGTGCGTGCGTGCGTGCGTGCGTGCGTGCGTGCGTGCGTGCGTGCGTGCGTGCGTGCGTGCGTGCGTGCGTGCGTGCATGCGTGCATGTGTGCCTGTGTGTGTGTGCGTGTTGGTGCCCACATGCGGCCTTCTTTTAACTCTACCCTGCCGGCCACTGCCCCCACCACGAGAGACCACAGCTGACTGTGTGTGCGCACATGTCTGTGCTTTCCTGTCCGTGCGGTCCTGTCAGACCCAATATCTGCAGCAACACCACGTTTCCTTTCCTCACGCATGCTTACCCCCTCACCCCTGAATCGTAGTGTGGATTCTCCACGTTCCTTCCTGTGTGACCCTCTACTTTCCCCCCATCCCGCATGACTTGACTTTTGAGTCCACTCAAAAGTCTTCGCCACGTTCCTTCCTGTGCGTCCCTCTACTTTCCCCCATCCCGCATGCCCCTACTTTCGAGTCCCTTCTGTCCTCTGCTCATCCTGCTGCATCAGCCTGTTTTTTGAGAACTCCAAAAAGAAAAGATATTCCAGCCTCTGCACGTCCCTTCTCCCTCACCCATCTCCTTTTCCCCGCATTTCTCCTGGCTCTCCCTGTCGGTCTCAATTGCCCCCATCTCTGTCCTCCCATCTCTCTCTGCTCCTCCCATCTCTTTCTCTCTCTCCTCCCTAGGTGGTTAACTACCTCATCTCCTCCTGGGTCTCACACGTTCACTCCAACTTCTCCAACCCCCTGCCCCTCTCTCCTGTGCCGCACTTCACACACTCCCTCTCCGACTCCCCCTCTCCCCCTTCACTTGCTTCCTCCTCCTCATCCCCCCCCTCGCAACCCTCCGCTGATCGTCCCTGGTCGTTCCCTTCCCTATTGGGGGAGGGGGAGTGGGAGGAGGGTGTGTGGATAGACGGAGTGGGATTACGCACCTCATCAGCAGAGAAGCAAGGCAATGTGACTGTAAAGAGCGCAGGAGGTTCGAAGCGTGTGGGTGCAGGATCGGAACATCCGTCTAGGATTCAGGTGATGAGGCATATGAAGCCGCCACCCCACCCGATTCACCTGGTGGATGCTGCAGTGGAGACAGTGTCGGCTACTTGGAGACGAATTGCTGGGAAGGGTGATGGCGGTAGAGATCGCGGGATGAAAAAGTGCAAGTGATGCGCGCGGGTGGCGGTCGGAGTGGCAAGGAGAGGGAGAAGCTGGTGTGGGGGGAGGGGCTTATGCTATTTATTGACGCACGATACTGAGAATAAGACAGCAGCACATACTGACGGCCATAAGAAATTGAGTGTGTGTGTTACTGCCAGTAAGATATGTACAAGGCGCAGTTTACTGAATTTGGCGAAGTTTTTTTTACCACAAGCGTTATTGCAAGCTCAGCATACTCGAAATTGTAGCGAGTATAGTTCTCGAAACTCCCCTCTCTGCTTCGTAAGTGAAGTACTTGCACCTGCCTGCCGCGAAAGGAGTCATTGTTGTATGGTTCTTGTTGTGACCATCACGCGTCAATTTCGCTCGCCTGCACTGATCACGGTTGCCATTGGTATTTGCGTGTCTCGATTCCCTGAGCCATCCTCGTGTCGTATTCTTACCACCGTTCGACACCGTTTGAAACCGTTTGACACCGTTCGACACCGTTTGACACCTCCGTTCGTCCTGTACCAGTACTTATCCTTCAGCACGTCGTAACCAGGTCCTTGCGCCGGTCGGAGCACAGCACATCGCAGTGCGAGGCGCTTTGAAACCATGGCGCGGAATTCACTCGCGACGGTCTTCGTAGGTAATCCTCGCGCGTCTTTCCAGCTAAACGTATTCGCGGTTCTCGCACCGCGCTTGTTTACCAGCCCACGTTGAAGTTACGGGAACTAGGCGTGACTGGCCACTGGTCACACATGATATGACATTCAACGAGACGGCGCGTTTCTGTGAACCGATTGTTTTAGTCAACGAGACGGCGTGTGTCTGTAAACCGACTGGCTCATCTTAGCTCACTTTCACCCTGAATTTCCATCCTCTCCCCCCAATCTCCTTCCCATCCCCTTTCCCGTTCCCCCACCAACAACCCCCGTTCATTCCCCTCCACTTCGCCGCACTCGCTTCCTTCCCCCTACCGACTCCCTCCCACCCTTTCTCCTCAGGAAATCTCGACCAGCAAGTGGAAGATCGGATCTTATACGATTTGATGCAGCAGGCGGGCCCTCTGGTGGATCTACACGTTCCACGGGATAAGGCGTCAGGTCAGCACCGAGGGTACGGATTCGCGGAATATGAGACGGAGGAGAGCGCGCAGTACGCCGTGAAGCTCTTTTCAGGGCTCGTCAGGCTCTTTAATCGCCAGCTGAGGTTCCAGGTATGGAATTGTCAAGTGGTGGAGGAGTGTTTGGGAATCGTGTGCGGGTGGTTGGTTGGTTGGAGTCAGGTAGAGCTAGTGGAGTGAGATGGGGTGAGGTGGGATGTGGTGGGGTAGAGTGTTGGTGGGTGGATGGGGTGAGGTGGGGTGAGGTGGAGTGTGGTGGGAGTGAAGTGGAGTCCCTGTCAGGCCGTTGCCGTATTTACTGGTAGGTGGTGAAGGTAAAGTTTAAATGGTTCTGACTTGATTAGCTTATAAGTGCTTGAATGCTGGGGGTAACGGAGGTGAGGTGTGAACTGCAGTGTCATCTGAGCTGTTGGAATGGGTTTCCTATTCAGGGTATGATTCTCTTTCCTGTTGAGTTGTTTCTGTTTGTTCAGGTGTGAGCTTGTTCTGGGAGGGATTTAGTACGTATGTATGTTGTGGAAACAAAGCTGAATAAGGATATCTGCTGCTGGGCCACCGTGATGCCTTGTTGCACTACGGGTCTGGATTTACTCAAAGCATTCTTTGTTTTTCCATCCCTTTTTTATCTTCAGATATCCAACTCCGGAGCAAAACCTGCAGCAGCAACAGAAGATCCTGCTGCCACAGGCAATGGCACGGTTGCCACCACTGGTGTCGCCCCAATTTCTTCCGCACTTTCTTCATACGACCAGCAGCAACAGGACCTTCTGAGATGGCAGCTCCAGCAGCAGCAAGCAGCATTACTCCTCCAGCAGAGTCGTGGTGTCATGCCTATGAATGCATCTTGGTCTCAGAACCAGTTGCAGGCTCATGCTCAGGCAGCCTCTATGCTCTACTATCTCCAAGCTGCTGGTCGACGTTAGGGTTAGTGAGATAGCAACATTCAATTGTACCCTTCCATTTAAAACTACTCAAGAGCAGTGTATAAGATTGTGTGCAAATAGTGTATCAGTCATTGCTTTTTGCGGAATCATATCTTTATCGGAGAAGTTCGCACTGGCCGTGTAGTCCAGCTTTCCCGCCATCTGACGAGATTCAACGCAAACACATTTCATCCAAGCCTGGAGCAAAAGTCTCTGCGTCGGTCTTCTGTCCCGGAGTAGGTCCGGTTTGGCCCTCCCGAGGTCACGGAGCCTCTAAGACGCCGCCATGCGTCTTGCCCTCACAACCCAATGAACGTGAACCAATCATAGCCTATCAAAAGCCTCGAGACAGCTTCCGAGCCAGCAGGTTCGCCAGTTGTTCCTAGTTACCTTGCCCAAACCACTCCCTTCCCTCTCCCCAGCCCTCTTCTCTTCTCACTTCTCTCCTCCCCTCTCCACTAGACATTTCCCTAGACTTTCACTTCTACCGATCTCTTGTTCAACCACCTATTGGTGCCTCTCCTGAATCTAAGGATCTTTGCCAGAGCCCTTGAGTGCGTAGCATAGGCGATAGTTTTCACCCCCAGTCAGAGGGTTTGGAACTTCGGATCGTGTTTTAGCCACCTTGATTTTCGCCGCGAATCAATCGACTGGTCCGTGCACGCGAAGGCGGATAGCTGCGCAGAGTCTTAGCCTGCCTTCTCTTGCCTGTTGGCGTTTAAGAGCCGCTACATCACCATGTTAGGGGAGATCCTTACCGTTCAGCCTCTGGAGCTGAAGTTCACATGTAAGAATCTGAACTGTCAGTCAGCGACCATGTTTTTTTTTCCATGTTGTTTAGCAGCGAGCCTGGTGTTTCCTTATATACTGAATGGCTTCCGCGTTTGTTCGCTGATTACCGGTTGCCACTTGCTGAGCTTCGCTGCTTGAAAGCTATTTTTAAATAATAAGCGTGACGTTCAACTTTCTCGAACCTTTGTTGCCTGGTCCCGTGTGCAATCCGCAGTTGAGCTGAAGAAGCAGGTGTCGACTTCCTTGCGGCTAGTCAATGTCACTTCTGAATATGTCGCCTTCAAGGTTTCTGAGTTTCTCTTTTCTACTGCTTTTTCTTTGTATTCTGTTGCCAGATCCTTTTTTATTGTACTCGTAGTTGTTATAATCATGTCATCGTCTTCACTCATCTGCTTATGTTCTCGTCTCCTTTATAGCAGCGCCTGCCTTTCAGTATTTATTCTTCTTCGTTTTCGTTTCTCTAACGGCTCGCTCACTTTCGTAGGTGCTTTTGTTTTTTTCGTTCTTTCCTCCATTAAGGTTAAGACAACGTCACCGAAGAAGTACTGTGTGAGGCCCAACACGGGCCTAATTCCACCTCAGAGTAGCGCGGAGGTTGTGGGTGAGCGATCCTACTCGCGCTCTTTAGTGCCTCTTTCCGCCTTCCTGATTTCTCATTGTTAATCCGTCCTTGCTCGTTCTCAGACATACGTATATCCCTTGGTTTCTTGCCTTCTGTCTCTGTTTTTGGCTTCGGATTATGGGATGTGCTCCCACGGCGTGTCCGTGCGACCGCAAGCATGATCGCGTGTAGTCGCAAAGTGGCTGTAATCAGCACTGACCGTAACCATATCTCTTGAATCACCCTCTGGCAGTGACCATGCAAGCGCAGAAGGAGATGCCAGCGGATATGCAGTGCAAGGACAAGTTTCTCGTGCAGAGCGTACTCGTGCCGGGCGGAGCTCCCAAGGAAGCCAGCGCCGATTTCGTAAGTCACACCTTTTTTTATCGGGTTGGAAAGCTGCAGGTCTATGTTATGTCGTGGTGATTATGTGGTATGGTAGTCAAGTTAGAATGTTGTGCAGGGCTTGTGGACGTGAGGCAGAAGTTCCCTTTAGGTCTAAGAGTGATGAGGGGGCGGTTGTCGGAATTTTTCTATCGTCACAAATTCCGACTCGACCCATGGTCCGCTGTTGCTGGCTCGCTGCTGAATCAGTGTGCAGGTTTCTCAGCTGTGGAAGTGTGCCGTTTTATTCCACGAAGCGTGCGAGCCGAAGTGCCTTCTGTGCCGCCTCCTTTCGACTCTATTTCCACGCTGCTTTTTAACGAATATTCATTTTCTCCGTCGACCTGTGTCAAAGAATCTGCGCGTGATCGAGTTTGCTCCTACGTAACCGCCCTGCCGTCCGCCGCCATTCTGTTCCGAGCATGAATTACCTCCTGCGTGTGTTCTTCCCCCACCCTCAGTTGTATACTTGCCCCTCGCGTCGATTCATTTTCCCCCCCACGCGCCAGTTCAACAAGGAGAACGGGCGCGAGGTGAAGCTGCGCGTTCTGTACATCCTTCACCCTCAGCTTCCCTGCCTTCCGCCGCCTTATTACACCCCCTTCATGTGTTTTCCTCCCCACGCCCACTCGATTTTGCGTCCGCCTGGCAGTTCAACAAGGAGAACGGGCGCGAGGTGCACGAGGTGAAGCTGCGCGTGCTGTACGTCGCGCCCCCGCAGCCGCCGTCGCCTGTGGCGGAAACCGCGGAGGAAGGCGGAACGCCCAGCTCGTTCCCCCCCACGGCCAAGGCGGTCGCTCCCACTGACCCGGTGAGCTGCGGAAGAACGGCCGTGTCCGGTCTGAACTAAAATAATCGTTCCCGCGCACGGGCCCACGGCCAAGGCGCTCTCTCCCGCTGACCTGTGCGGGTTTATTTTGAGGCGACTCAAAGGTTCTCCCTTTGACCTGGTGAGCTGCGGGATGCTGCTTGGCGCCCGCTGCGGGCTGCGCTGTCTGGATGCGGGCTCAGCCATGCATTCTTCCCAGTCTGAATGCGCGCTCGCGAGTTCCCGCGCGTCCTGGAATCGCGCGTCCTCACTCCTGCTCTTGAACTCATTTTCGCGTAGTACGCGAAATCGAGTGCGTAGTGGCAAACATGGTATATATTTTTCATCCCCCTGTTTTTTGTGATAGACATTGCATGCAAGCTGTGCAGCGATGTGGAGGAGGAGAAGTCTTGCGTTGTTTGTGCACAAAAACATGGATGTGTTGTTTGGTCTGATTGGGTCGATGGCGAGTCATGGTTTGCCCTCAACGGTCCTGATTACAGGTCGAGGGGTGTACTCTTGCTGGTGACTCATAGTTGTGAACTTCTGGTCTGTCTATGCGCGTGTGCAATGTGTGCATGTGTGCGTGCGTGCATGTGTGCATGCGTGCGTGCGTGCGTGCGTGCGTGCGTGCGTGCGTGCATGCGTGCATGTGTGCATGTATGCATCTGTACGTGAATGCATGCATCTGCGCATGTGTACCATGTGCGTCTGGGATGATGGCCGTGATGATGCTCTGGTTCCATGGCTAAACGCGCTCAGGGTTCCAAGGACGTCACGGAGCTCAAGGCTAAACTCACTGAGGTGTGTAGAAGGGAGGCTAATGGCCAGGGGAGAAGGGGCAGAACGAGGGGGGTTGAGTGACAAGGGGAGGTGAGGGAGCGGGGCAAGGGATTTGAGGACATGGGGGTAATGGTGACTGCGAAGCATGGAATTTAAAGGGGAGGGACAGAGGAAAGGGAGGGGGGTCGGTTTTGTGTATCGAGATAGGGAAGCCAGGGCAGTGATACTAGCAGGAAATTCCAAGAGGGCAGCTAATAGGAACCAGGGCTTTTGGGGGGAAAGGTTTTGATGCGCCTGGGCGGCAGAAAGGGAAGGTGAGTTGGGCTGCTTTTTTAAAACTCAAATGCCACTCTTACGAGGAGAAAACAGTGAAGGGGAGTCAGAGCAGAGAATCAGGGTAATTGAACGTATGAGGGAAGCGAGGGATGTGACAAAGCAAAGGTGCGATAAAGGAGAAGAGCAATGGTAGGCAGGCTGTATGGGGGAGATGCCAGGAAGGGAAACGTGCTTGCGAGTCAACAGGTAGCATGGGGCACACATTCTTTTCGGCAGTGAGCTTTTGGAGAACATTGCAGTACAGAAAGAGGGTCCCATGTATTGTTACGCATTGCTGGTTACACCGATGAGTCGCCGATGTCACTCTTTGCAGTGTGCACGTCTTCCCTGTTCTCTCCCTGGTGCATGTCAACAGGCGAAAGCAGCGCTGACAAAGATGACGGACGATAGAAATGCAGCAGTGAGAGAACTGCAACGACTCAAGGTAAACCTCCCCACATCCGCCATTCTTCATCTGTCATCCCCAATCATCCGCCACCCACACGCACTGCCCATTGCCTATCCATGCCCCAAACCACCAGCATGCACCCCTCGTTCCCCATTCTACCCAGCCACATCTCCATCCTTCCTGGCATGTCCCCTGGCATCACTCCTCCCTTCAATCCTTACAGGAGCAAGCGAGCAAGGCAGGGAGCAAGGCACCAGTGCAACGGCCAAAGGGATGGTCCTTCACAGCGCTACTGCTGGCGGCACTGATCTTCTTCATTGTGGGGTTCCTGGGGGGCAAAGGCTATCTCACCTCCTCTCCTGCTGCTGCTTCCTCCACTGAGCTTTAAGACTGAGTTTGAGCGTTAGTGTCACAAGGCTCGATATGTCTGCCGTCCATCCGTCTCTCCTCGGTAGTTCCTTTTAGTGGCGATTTTAGCTGACCCCCCTTTCGTGCCTAAGCGGCACATGTGAAGGCTTGCTGCTACACATGCACGCTGATGCACTATCCAACAGCACTCACTCTGTGCTGTGTGCCTGCCACTTCATTTTCACTTCCTCTCATTTTGAAGGTGTCTAGGACTCGGCAGTACAGGATGTATGCTATCCCTTTTCTGGTTTGAAAAACGGCTGTCTTCATTTCTTTTGATAACATAAATGCTTTGTAGTTCTTGATCACTAATTCTGGACAAGAAGGTTTATCCTCGCCCGAAACCGCTTCCGGTTGGATTATGGTCAGTGGTTGACCATAATTGATAATGGTCCTGGAGGAAAATATCGATAACATCTACAACATAAAGCTCCCAATATACGGTAAAAGTTTTCAGAATCAGCACTAGTGGTGTTATGAGTTGTGAAAGGAAAGAGTGCGCAGAATTCAATAACGCAGAACTGAGCAAGCAACGAGGCCTAGGCATAATACAGCAAAGCTAGCTAGGCCGAGGTCGCGGCGCAGAGTCGCGCGAAGGTTGGGTGCAGGTTTGGGGTTGGGAAGCCCGAAGGCGACGCGGGGGACGTTCGGAAGGCGAGGTCGACGGACCGAGCCTGAAGTCCGGAAGTTGGAATTGTACGCGTAGAGGCTGCCTCAGTAAGGAATTAGCAAAATTCCTTACACTACCCCCCCCCCCCCCCCCCCCCCTTAAGAAAGGTGGTCAATATCAGGCACGCGTCGGCGGGAAAGATAATCCCGAAGTACCGAGTGGCCTTGCAGTGAGTCAGCCGGGACCCACGTGTCATCTTCACTTGTGCGATCCACCCAGCGTACCGTAGGAGTAAGTCGACGTGGCGTCTAGTGGGGGTCGCACGAATGCGGTGATTCAGAATTTTCCAGGGTTGAAGTGTCGGATCTGCCACAGGTCAGACACTTGGCGCGATGTTGGGTCGAGCGACGTCGGACGGCTGCGGAGCCACGTAGTGGCGAAGCAGACTGACGTGGAAAGCATCGTGGATCTTCCAGTCGTCCGGTAGGAGAAGCTTCGCCGTGACCGGGGTCAACATCCGAAGGATGCGGAATGGTCCCACGTAGCGGGGACGCAATTTTGCAGGCTGTGGCAGTCGAAGATTCCTCGTGTCCAGGTGAACCATCTGCCCGTCACGGAAGGGTAAGTTCCGTCGATGTCGGTCGGCGTAGCGGTTGGCGGCAGTATTAGCCTTTCGGATAAATTCCGCTGCCTTGTCGCGTGCTGCTTGAAGTTCCGAAACAAACTGCTGCGACCGTGGTACCGGATTTTCAGGAGTCGTTGAAGAGGGTACCACCGGATCTATCCCGTATTTGAGGTAAAACGGCGATTGATTGGTTGTCGCAGACGGGGCGTTGTTGTACGCAAATTCGAGCATGGGAAGCGAATCTTCCCACTTGGAGATATCGGGTTGGTCAGCTCGGTCTGCTCGTCGGTTTGCGGGTGGTATGACGACGAAAACTGTAGGCGGGTGCCGTACTGTGCCCATGTTTCCTGCTAGAACTTCGACGTGAATTTCGGGTCCCGATCACTGATGATCGCCGAAGGTAACCCGTGTAGTCGCACGACGGTCGAGATGAAGAGCTTTGCTGTTTCTTCGGTTGTGATCGTCATGCGGCATGGTGCGAAATGCGCCATTTTCGTTAAGCGGTCGACGACGACTAACATCGAATCGTTGCCACTTGCCCCAACTGGCTGTCCGGTGACAAAGTCCATTGTCACATGTTGCCACGGTCGTTCGGGTGGCTCGAGGGGTTGTAGTAGTCCAGCTGGGCGTTGCCGTGATGATATAAATGCTTGGCAGGTCGGGCAGGCGGACACGTAGTGCTGCACGTCCGATGCCATGTCGGGCCAGTAGTAATTCCGCTGCAGCAGCTTCAATGTTTTGTCGACGCCGAAATGCCCGGAGAGATTGGAGTCGTGTACCTTCTGCGTCAGCAATTCTCGTAAGGGTTGGTAGGAAGGTACCCAACTCGGTTGGTACCGACTTTTAGGTAATAACTCCCATGCGATGTGGTGACCCGTTGGTGCTGGTTGGTCTTGAAAAACCTGTCAGTCTTGTAGCCATGCTTGAAGAGTCTTGCCAATAATAGGTTAGAATGGGCAATTAGTACCGTATTCTCCCGGATAAAACACCCTAGGGTATTATGAAAACCACTAGAAAAAAATGGGGGGGGTCTCCTCAAAGGAAAATCCTATATAATATCCGGGTCTTATGATATGGTATATTTTTTATAAAACAGAAAAGATGTGAAACAAAATCAGGGGTCTGACTTCACTTCAAGATTGTTGATCAATGCCGCAAAACCGAGTACGAGGATATTGTGGGCCACTTGGGCCACTTCACCTCTTGGACCACTTGAAGTGGAAGATTCGCCAGCGTGGCGACAGCGAGATTTTGGGATTCACCAACGTGGCGACAGTGAGATTGTGGGAGGGGGGATATCTCGGCTGATTCTAAGTGAAAGTACATGCGAAATTTCTTCTAGGGAGTGGTTTTCGCGATATCCTCCCGTAAGGAATCGGACTCGATAACAGCTATAATAGGAATCTATAAGAAAAGGGGGGTGTTATAGAGAATCACCCCAAAAAGGGGGGTATAGTACTAACGGGGTCGGATATAACACCCACCCCGTATAAGCTACCCAGGGGTGTACAATTACGGGGGGGTGTTTTATCCGGGAGTATACGGTACTGCTGCGGTCTGCATGGATGGGCGGGTCAGGGCGTCGGCGATGTTGTTGGCGCCCTTTTTGTACGTGATGGTGTAGCTGAAGTTTGACTCGAGGTAGTCGAGCCACCGGATTTGTCGCGGGTTGAGCTGTGGTTGGCTGCGCATGTACTGTAATGACTTGTGGTCTGTCCTGATCGTGACGTCGGCTCCCGTAAGGTTACAACGCCATGTACGAAATGCATGCACGATGGCGAGCATTTCTTTGTCATGTACTGGATAGTTGCGCTCGGGCGGCTGCATTTTTCTTGATTTGTACGCGATGGGCTGCAGCCCTTTGCCGAAGTCCTGTAGAAGAACAGCGCCGACGGCGAAATCGCTGGCGTCCGTCACGACTTCGAACGGTCGGGGTGGATCTGCCAGTCGAAGTACCGGGGGTGAACTCAAAATTTTCTTCAGCTCGTCGAAGGCCAGCTGCCCTCTCTCCCCCCAACCAAATTGCACGCCCTTATGCAGAATATCGGTTAACGGCCTGGTCACCCCCGCCATATTCGGTACAAAACGGCGGACGTAGTTAACGAAGTCGAGGAAACTCTGCAACTCCGTGATGTTCGTGTGCGGCTTCCACTCCGAAATCGCTTTTACTTTGCGAGGGTCAATTTTAATGCCCTCCCCTGAAACCACGTGCCCCAGGAACTCCAGCTCCAACTGTAACAACTCGCACTTAGAGCCCTTGGTAATCTGCCGGTTCTGCTGCAAGCGCCAGAACACCTCCTCTAAGTCCTGTAAATGCTGCTCCGGAGTTTTGCTGTACACCAGGATGTCGTCCAGGTAAACAATAACCTTTTTGTCCAGCATGTCCCGAAACACCCCATTCATGGTGAGCTGGAAGGTCAAGGGTGCGTTCGTCAACTCGAACGACATCACAGTGTATTCGTAACTGCCGTAGCGGGTGTGAAAAGCAGTCTTTGAGCAGTCGTCGGCGAACACGCGAATTTGATGGTAGCCACCTCGCAAATCGATTTTCAAGAAGAAGCGAGCCCCGCGAAGCTGATCTAGCAGGTCGTCCGCCCGTGGGATCGGGTAACGCGACTTGATTGTGACCCGATTCAACACTCGATAGTCGATGCACATGCGCAGGCCTCCGTCCTTCTTCGGCGTGAACAGTATCGGGGCGGCGTAAGGTGACGTAATCAGCCGGATAAAACCCTTTGAAAGCAGATAATCCAGCTATTTCTGCAACTCGTGGAGCTTCGGTTGGCTGAGCCGCCACTGTGACCGCACAGTTGGGTTGGCGCCTGGCTCCAGCTCGATCCTGTGGTCTTCTGGTCGCTGAAGTGGCAGCTCGTCAGGCAGGTCGTCCACGAAAATTTCGGGGTAACTCTGAATTATGCTCGCCACGTCGCCCGGTACAGCAGCGCAGAGCGTGTCAAAGTCGGCAATTTTCTCGGACGCCACCACCTCGTACAGCTGTACGGCGTAGCCTTGCGCTCCTCGTTTGATCGCTCTTTTCATTGTGATTGCATTGACACGTATTGTCATCGGCTCCGGCTCCGCCCATTTCGGAAGTGTCACACACCCCTTGTTGCACACCACCGTGATCGCCCCCGTCGTCCATTCGATCGTCGGATTAAATCGCTGCAGCCAATCTCGCCCCAGCAGCACATCGCAACCGTCCAGTGTTGTCGCCAGCATGCGCATGGAAAACCCGAAATTGTCGCCACACTTCATCCGAATTTGTCGGACCTCGTCCTTGATCGCCACCGGTGTCCCGTCCACCAGTCGCGCGTCAATTTCGGGGCAGACACCTGTCCAGCTTGACTCCGATTTTTTTGGCCGTTGCCAGGTTGACGAGGCTGTGGCTCGCCCCACCGTCAACGAATAGTTTTATTTTTTGTCCGTTAACCCTCCCCACAACCAGCACAGGGTGATCCACGTGTTCATCCACCTTATTCTTCCGGTTGCAGTCGATAGCCCGTATCAGTACCACGACTCGGTGTGGATGTTGATTGCTGGGTGACGGGGTCTCGTCTGTAGGTGGCCCGATTGCTACTGACTCGTCTCTTTTCCCAAACCCTCTCCGTCGTTCCTGTTGTGAGAATAAGCGAACAGGAATGAATGAACTAGCAGTGAAATGAGTACAAGTAGGAAACCCTAGAATTGTGTACCCCCTATAGGCTAACCCACTGTAGCCTACACAAGCATAACATATATAATGTTT